AGCATGCTTACCACTGTTCCTGGCTGATCACGGCTCCGGATACCAACGTCATCGAGGTCAACGTACTGGCTACCACTGGCAGCAGCCCACCAATTTCCGTGTATTCGGACGTTGCGGGCGCTAATGGCTCACTGCTGTTTGATGTAGAACAGGGCAATCTAGGAATCTTGTACGCAAACGTATCTAGAATTAAGATTGAAGCGAATTATTATCCAGACGATTTCCATGATCATAGCTTCAAAATCTCGTGTGACATCAAACTAACTGCATTTGCCGAAAAAGGTTAGTAAACTATACTGTTGCTAATTTTTTTTTATATATATATAAAAAAAAGGTCCGCACTATATACTAAAAATACCAGATCAGACACTTTCCTGATAGAGCATTTTATTATGTTAAATAATAACAACTATTCAAAACAAAATTACGAAAACATTCAACATACCTCTGACAAAAAAAACACATTTGATAGAGAATTTAGTACTTTTGTTACCTGGTGTTTTTGTTACGCTGGCAACCGGGAAAACCTACACTTATCTTTGCCCTGGGAAAGCCAACAGCAGTTGAAAATACCACAGGAAAACAAATTAAACTAAAAAAAAAAAGCAGAAAGAGGAAATATTTATCTTAAAGTGAGCAGGAAATTTTCTCGGGTGGGACTATATTTAATTGACAGTATTATTAATTTTTGGTTTCTAATTTTTCCCACGTGACTCTGAAAGAATGTGGTCCCGACGACTTTCAGTGTATGAATCAGCAATGTGTGGCGGGTACCAGACTGTGTGATGATATCTATGATTGCCCGGTTCACGAGGACGAATATGGATGTGGTAAAAACAATAGGCCTTTATTATGTAACCAAAATCATAAAAATTAATACGACCAAAGCTGTAGAGGAAATTGTCAAATTGAAATTCAACTATTGTATTATTTTAATAAAGTTACATTTTATGACTGGCGTCTTCTCTGAAGCTTTGAGGTGAAGCAGTGAACGAAATCACTTTTCTGTTTATTGCAGATATCAATTGTTCAAGCGTTCATCAATATATGTGCCCAGTGTCTGGCGAGTGTATTGAATCCGATTTAGTCTGCGACGGTCGTGGGAATTGCCCAGGCCTTTTCGATGAGTTCGATTGCGGTGAGTTGTGCAAGATGGCGTGGAATGAATCTTTAGCATTTCAGTTTCACATTTTGCCGAACACGGGTTGGAGAACAATGAAAGCTCAATGTCGCAAAAAAGTAAAGAATAGTTTTTCATGTTTCCAAGCATATCATGAAAATGCTGAAAATATTTTTTAAATAACCAAAAAACGCTATACACAAGATTTTATAAAACTGCCTCTTTCTTACATAATGATGCTGTCTAGGCCTATATATGCCTTTTTTGGGGGTAAAGTCTATGGGCAACCACGGCTAAAACGCCCTCACGTGGCAGCCCATGCAAAATGGCGCTCAATGTTTACAAGCCGGAGTACATACGGCCTATTGGCAAGGAAAAGCTCTCAAAGTAGCTTTGAAATATAACTTTTTCAATGAGTACTTGAGCCATGGAAGATTATTTTAATAAAGGGTACAAAATGAGTGGATAAATAATTGACACCGGTTAACCCCGACATTTTGCGTTATTCTTTAGGGCGTTGTGGTGATCCCTACATCGATCTTAGCCTCATTCCAGCCGTCAATATCACTCAATCCATCGACAATTCAGTGGATTGTCTTTGGCTTGTCACAGCATCTGATCAAACCCGAAGGCTGCAAGTCGAGATTCAGCATTTACCCCTCCTGGAATACTACGAAAGAGCCGACCCTCGGGAGATAGCATGGCTGTCCCTCGGCTACGGGCATGACCCAAGCGACAAGCGTACTGTCGTCAGAACCCTGAACGACACCACACACCCAGGAGTCATCACCTTTGATAACTCGACTATCTGGATAATACTAACTATCCAGTCCAATCTGATGTTAACAGCAACCCCGATCTATATTGAGTTTACAGTCTCAGAATACAGCATCAAAGGTACGAAACTCATCCTTGTATATTGAATCTATAGCCCATCCCAAACTAATTAAAACTAATTTTGCTGTTGTTGTAACACTCAGAAGCCCAAAAGTATTTCTTTTTTAAATTGTAGTATTCAAAGTGCATAATACATTTTAAATGGCAACTAATGTATGCTACAGAACTCTCGGTGTTTTTTGAAGACAAATTTGTAGCAAAGGCTCAATTAAATCACAGATCTTTGCTGAACCACCTTTGTCACATTTGTTAATAATGACCTTTTCTATCTTAAGGTTGCGATACCAACGAGTTCTCGTGTTCATCCGGGCTTCTTTGCATCGATAAAACCAAGCTCTGTGACGGAATCGCAGATTGCCCGGAGTTTGACGACGAGCTCGATTGCGGTAGGCTTTTCAAATATATCAATCAACCCAATACATTGAATTTCTTGGAGTGACTTTAGTCTGCTGTTCTGTGTCTGCTGTTCCACCAAAAAGTGTTTATACCGCATTGAAAGCGAAAAACCGTTTGGTGCATCGTGCCACAAAATGACTGCCACATTACAATCCAAGAATGGAAATCGATACCTCATAGCTCACGGTGTAGATTCACTCCTTCCTTCTTTGCATTAAAATTTATTTAAGTATTAACTGCTTTAAATATAATCATTTCAAAATGTAAGATTTTTTCGGCATAAACTTCATTGTGTACTCTGTTGGGATATTTAAATAATATTTTACCTAAAAACTAGCATACCTTTTCGAAAGAATAATAAACTGTTTTTGAAACTGTGTTAACTTTTTTACACTAGGTTGCGGGGCCAACAAATTTCGATGTCGGAGGAGTGCCGACTGCGTAGATGCATCCATGCTGTGTAATGGCCAACATGACTGTCCTGACGGTTCAGACGAAGGCAACTGTGGTAATACTCTTTCATTGGTATAGACCATTGTCATGTTGCAGCCATTTTGATTTCTCCCATTCAAATCAATGTAGCGAAAGCGAGACTAGAAGGAAAATAGTCTGGTTCCTGAAGATTTGTTCCCACCTTCGGCCCTACTAAATGATCCTGCACTTGGTATATACAACAATTTATTGTTAAGTTGATACCCGTGCTCTTCATAAAACTTGAATTTTTTATTTTCCTAACAAATTTTCAATTAATTGTGTGACAAAAAACAACAACATTTTTTTTCGATTTTAGGCGTCTGCAACCAGGCTCTGAAAAATTGTCTTCCTTCAAAAGTGGTTATGAACATCAAACTACCTATCAAGCAAATTATAAAATTGTTTGAAGTCATTCTTAATGATTGCAAACTACCAAGGTAACACGAACAGGGTAAATATAACACTTTTTACCCTAAATTTATTTTAAAAGAATAATAATGAACCGTGTAATACGTAAAGACTTCGCTTTTCTTAGAGCCCTGTGGAGTTGGCATCATCGATCTGTCGTCTGGTCCCTACCTCCTCACCTCAATTGGGTATCCCGACGGATACCCAGTCAACATACGCTGCACCTGGTACGTGTACACGGAGCCGGACTATGATGTAATGGTCGTGTTCCAGGACTTCTATACTGAGGAATATTTTGATTATCTTTACGTCAGCGATGGGGTCCGCTCATCAACCCTCACGCTGAGTGGTGACCGATATCCGCAGAGGGTTTCGCTATTTTCAGAGGACGTCTGGCTTACTTTTCAATCAGAATATTTGTATCCATTTAGAGGTTTTGACATCAGACTAGAACAGGTCGAAACGGGTAAGTAAATGCAAAATAGTTCTAAGAGCTATTCCATGGACTACGTTATTTAATATTAATACTACACACAAAATAATTCGAAAGGTAACTGTGAGTGAAACAATTTTAAGTTAAAGACCTACCAAAACGGTTTTGGAAAAACCGAAGTAAGTAGTATACCTTGTAAATGATGTATCAAAGTTCCCTAAGATGGCTTTTTTTGCTGTTTCCCATAATTTATGGGAAACAGTCGGCTGCCAAAGTGCAAAGAAAGGTGCTGTTTAAGTGCTTGTTCTAAGCTTTAGTCATAATCATCATTATGCATTATCACACTATTGCCGTGAATCACATGATATTCTCCTTTCCCATAGAAAAGGCGGGGTTATCTTCTGATCACAATAGCAATATTTATTGATTGATCGATTTCTCTTTGTTGATATATAAGCATCATGTGCTGATGGCGAGGTTGCGTGCAATGGTACCGAGTTGCTCTTCTGCATTTTCGAGGCTGATGTCTGCAATAGAAGAGGAGATTGTCCGGACGGGACAGATGAAATTTATTGCTCAGGTAAACTCGCTTGCACTTTTCATAACGAACTACATGTATAATACTTTTAAAGTTTTCCTCAATGGTTTTCCTGACACTGAATAGTTAAAGGTGATATCCGTGTTTGTCTAGTTCCTTTTTAGGGTAATCTTCGTGCATCTTTTTTTTTCTTTTAGATGGCTGTGGTGAAACTTTCATTGATATTGGAGAGAAACCTCGTGAACTATTTTCACCTTATTACAAGAGCGGGGAATATCCGGCGTCACTGGAGTGTCTGTGGTTTGTCAGGGACAGTGAACGAGACAGAATCCAACTGGACATTCAGTCCTTCGAGTTGGAGGAACACTACGACTATCTACGTATCGGGATCGGGAACGATAGCTACAGCGGATTTGTGGCAAGTCTAACCGGGACCGCCAAGATATCGACAATTGTGTTCCAAAACTCTCCCATTTGGCTGCATTTGTATACAGACGAGTCCGTATCTGGCAGAGGATTCAACATCAGCTTCAAATCAGTGGGTAAGAAATATTTTAAATTAGACCAAAAATGATGAGGGTATTTTTAAAGCCCTCCAGTAGACGACACCCTATAGATATTTAAAAAGATGTCATTTACTCTGAGTTCTGTGTTACAAGATAAACCAGCGCGTGTTCTTATTTATTAATTTAATTATTTATTTATTTTTGCGTTCACCTGCAGATCAGGACGGCGACACTAGTTGCTCTTCCTTGTGTGGTCTGCACACTGACGCCGCTATGTGTCTCCAACCGTACGCCTACTGCGATGGTGTTTGGGACTGCATTTACGGCGAAGACGAACAAAATTGCGGTAGGCCACATTATATACCAGATGGAAGTGTAAACTGCGCTTTGTCGCCGAGGCATCTTCGCTTGTTCCAAGTCCTCACAAACTAGACTGTGCATACTGATTTTATTAGTGTTGACTTCAAGCTAGTTCAAATACCGTTCGTTCGGCGGACCTTACCGTTAAAAGTTGTGCAAAAAGTACCTGCGCGAGAGAGTAAAACGTAACCCAAAACATCTCCAGTTCAAGCAAATGTTGTTACTTTTTAGCTGCGGCATAGCAGCTCAACAAATCATTGTGTCTCTCAGTTAGTCCGTTAGCGTTGACATTGCCTATTGCTTCTACAAATGTTGACCGATTTCAACCAAATTTTTCAAAAGTATCAGTAGCCCAGCCCCAACATGTCACATGACCAAACTAGGGTCAAGGATCATCATGGGTTCATTGGGTCAAAAATCTAATGATTTTTTTAAAAATGAAAACACTACTCCTTCCAGAATTACATGGCACAGTCACGTGACTCATGCGCGAACCAATAGTACGATCGAGCTTGTTTCCTCGCAAGCTACATTTTCAAAAATAAAAAAAAAATAAAAAACGCATTCCCTCAAGAAGTACAGAAACTTGGTTATTTATTTTGTTAATTGATTTAGTGAACGTGACTTGTGGAATGGAGCAGTACCTATGCCAGGGCAGACAGCGATGCATACCGTATGAGTCGATCTGTGATGGGACGGTGGATTGCATCCCGTTTCGTGACGACGAAGAAAATTGTGGTAAGACCAAATAGTATCATTTGGAAATAACGACAAAACAGTGAGGGGCGATGTGCTGACGAGTTGTCGGGATGACGACGAAAATGCGGACATTTTCCGGACCTTTACAAGTTGAAACACGAAAATCAGAAACAAAAAGTTCGGGTCAGGGAAAGAAACGTTGTCAACCCTTTTGTACTTATGAAATTGTGCCTCTTTTTTGATAGAAAAAAGGAAATAAATTAATGATGCAAAATGGGACAGTTGCACGTCTACTCAATCTTTCTCCATATTTCCATTTACTTAGAATACCACGGGCGCCCCGCTGGTTGTGAAAGCCTGATGGTCGGTGAGTTGCTTTACGTTGAATGCAAACACGGCTGGAACGCTTCTACCGTCGGCAACCTCGTTCAAATAACACATTCTTTGTAAGTCCATCTTTTTTCTTTTTCTTTTTTACATGGATACTCGAGTCCATTATTTACAAGTCCTTTAGTTCCAATTCAAATTACAAGCTATTCAAAATAGCGTTGACAAAGGCAACTCTATGGACTTATGATTTACTTGTGACTGGACTTGTAACGGACTATACTACATCCCTGCAACATGTCATGAACATTTATTTATAAAGTTGTTTGTCGTTTGCAATTTGTGGCAGCCAGATTGTTTCATCATCCGTTAGTTTGTTGTTGATGTACGACATCAAATGTCTTTTTGAAAAAAGAAGCAACATTTTCAGCCGTTGACCATGCTTCACAAGTTTTATTAAATGTTCATGGTGTCGTTAACTTCTCTCAATCGAAATTGCCATTTTTGGGGGGAGGTGGGGGCAACTTCCATAAAATCTCATTTCGTTTGATTTTAAGAGTCAAATATCAGTGGGGGCATTAAAGGCTGTTACCAATGTAAAAAGTGTGTCTCTGCTACGAGAAGTTGTCGGCTGTCGCCTTAAGACTCTCAAAGAAAACTAAGAAAAACAGAATAAGAATAGAAAATAAAACAATTTGCCTCTTCTTTGGTTTGACAGAGAGCTATCTGGCGGGAGCGTGCCAATTTTGGAAGGAGGACTATTTAAGCGACTTGGAATGCTACGTAAATTGTGAGTTCAAGATATTCATTCATTTTTATGAAGTTGGAAATGGGGAAGCAAATCCTTTCGTCCAGCAAAAAATGCGGGTCATCTAACACCATGTTACGAGAATTAAACCGGATTAAATTGTATGTATCATTTTGTTGCAGATCCTTAAGAAATAACAACATATCGCGTATCGAACTCAATGCATTCACCGAACTGAAGAATATGACGTCGTTGTAAGTATATCGTTAAGTCTGTTCACACCTTTGGGAAATTGGATTCTTTGATAGTTGTTTTACTCATTGGGAAAGGCAGATTACTTGTGGGAGCAAAAAAAAGTAATATGTTTCCAAAGATGAAGACCAAGAATAAGAATGACCCGCCCGAATATTACACTGGTTACTCTACCGTGCGTACGCATTTGGATTAATTTCGTCCCACAGAAAGTTATTCGTTGCGTAAAACTGACAACATTTTTTATTCTTCCTCGACCAAAGTATCAGTTTACCCAAACTAGCAAATACGAGGGCTTTAGCCACGGAACACTGTCAGAATAATAAATAATTGGTAAACATTGATGATATTTTGGCGTGATATATTCTTCCCCAGAGACATATCGGAGAACAACATTCAGGAATTGCCAGGAGACATTTTCCGTGAATTGACGATGCTGTTGGAATTGTGAGTACAGAAATTCATAATAACAAATAATTCTAAAACACAGATGACATTGGTGCCTTGTCTTATTAATGATACCAAAATGTTTCCGTCAAACTTATTTCTCGCAGGGCAATACGGTCAGTACCGGTTCAGTTCATCAGGGCAAACGCATTTGCCGGCTTGACACATCTCCAGAAATTGTAAGTCGTTAAAACATTTAAAGCATTTTCGTTGGCTTTTTTCGCAGAACACAGTTTTGGCGCGATACTATAGTAAAGCTCACGAATTGGCATATTCAGATCATTATAATATAAGACCAGGTACGCGTATTCATGAGCAACAACATTTTCCATGCATGGTGTGTGCAGTTCAGAAGTTAAATTAGAACTCATGTTAGTCTCATTTCAGACGGCTTCGTCTAATACGAAATTGTCTCTGATTGCACTACAGGGTGTTGATGCGTGGTAATGGTACAGCCAATGCCATCTCGTCTTCTCTATATGATCGGGCGACTGAAGTCGAAGATCGAGCTCTGAGTGACTTATTGTCGTTACAAAAAGTGTAAGTATCATAATTAATTGTTGGTGTGTTTCAAAAGAACAAAATAAGAAAACCAAACAAGATGTGTGCATGCTCATGCCTTTTGCTTTCTTGTGCGCTTCTATAATGACGGAACTACTTCTCCTTCTTCTTTGGAACTATCAGATATGTTGACGACCATCGCCTGTGCTGTGACTTCAGATCGGTGCTTCCAGACGACAATCAGTGCATTAACATCCAGCTTCAGTCACCGTTGTTCAACTGCGGCCGGCTAATGCCCAACACTGTCCTGCAGGTCTTTATGTGGATCCTGGGCTGTAGCGCCCTCATCGGCAACCTGTTGGTCATCGCCTGGCGGATCCGGGAGGACAGCGGCAAGGGCAGCAAGTACGTGCACTCGTTTCTGGTGCTGAACTTGGCAATGTCTGATCTCCTGATGGGCGTGTACATGGTGATCATCGCCACCGTTGACGTCATCAAGAAAGAGGAGTACTACCTGACAGCTACGGAGTGGAGGAAAAGCGCCCTCTGTAAGGCAGCAGGGGTCATTTCAGTGATGTCCTCAGAGGCCTCCGTGTTCTTCATCACCTTGATCAGCGTGGATCGCTACCTGTGTATCGTCCATCCCTTCAGCCGAGTGCGCCTCCGAGAAAGATCAGTCTGGGTATCCACAGCCTCGATTTGGATCGCATCGCTGGTTGCAAGCCTCGTTCCCACACTCCTGGTAACCGGCGACTCCGACATCTATGGGCTATCCGATGTCTGCATTGGTCTGCCGTTGCTTACTCGTCCTGATAGTTACACGTTCACCGAGGCCGATGTTGGGTCATCATTAGGTAACGATACTTACCTTATCCCGCGACCCGTTGGCAGCCGACCCACGTGGTCCTACTCCATCGTTCTGTTTCTCGGCATCAATTTCCTCTGTTTGTTGACCATCGCCGTCTGCTACGCGTCCATCTTTGTCAAGGTCAAGAGATCGATCCGGCGAGTCAGGCAGCACTCACACAGAGATGAAGAGATCAAGATGGCATCCAAGATGGCAGTCATCGTAGGATCGGACTGTCTGTGTTGGATGCCTGTCATTATTCTTGGTATCCTGTCCCAGACCAGCGCGATTCGGATCCAGCCTGATGTCTACGCCTGGTTGGTCGTCTTCGTCCTGCCCATCAACTCCTCCCTCAACCCGTACCTCTACACCATCGTGACAGCCGTCAGCCGAAGACGTCAAGCTAACTGGAGCTCATCAAGGAGGAGCTCCCACAAACCAGAAAAGACCCTCAACAATGATGTCCCAATGGAAAGGCGTGCAGATTCTGGCTGCTGGACTATCACCACGCCCACTGCCACGCCCACCGCCACGCCCACTACCACGCCCACTAGTTCAATTTATCGTGGAAACTTTGAGCACATGTAATTGCAAATTGAATTGTTGAAGCGCAAAGAGTTTTCAACTTCTTTTCGATGTTTTAATAACATGATGGAAAAATACAAAGTTGTAAATATGAAATGTAAACAAATTGGAGCTGTACAAAAAAGTATGCCTGATTGTTTTCATTACAGCACGCAATCTAACTGTCAGTGAGGAACTTAAAATATATTATTGTTGTGTCGTAGTGTCGTGAGTAAGACTTGAATCAAAAGTAGACTTAAATTAATTGATATTAAACATATTTATTCGATTTTTTTTATCTATATATTATTTTCAGGTCGATCAAGTCAGTTAGCAGTTTTCAGCAGTTTTATTATTGTTCAAAAGTAATAAAGTTGTAATTAGCCATGCTAGTCGTAACCTTTTCTTGAAATAAAACCGCCCACTGTCGCATTAAACAAGCCACACCCCCTCCATTACAGGCCGGATTAATTTATATGACATCTGTATGGCATGTATATGACATATACATGACATGTATATGACGTGTATGTGACAACGAAATGCTTGCTTGCATGCTTGAGAAGTGTGGCTGTTTCTTCATGCGCTATTGAAATAATTAAGTCGGAAGCATCCTCACTACAGGGAAGGGTTGGAGGGCCAGGGTTTAAAAAAAAACTATTCCCCCACCAAGATACGGGAGGGACAAAGGATGGAGGCAGACCCACATCAGAGAAGAAAATCAAGGGAGGGGACTTGACCATGGGCGTCACGCGTCGCCAGGATAGGGCAAGGGGCCCCGGCCGGAAAAGCCCAACAAAACCCCCAAAAAAGGAAGAAAAAGAGAAGCTAATTGGAACAAATAGAGGTGTGAAGTCTTATTTGCTACATCTAATAAACATAACCGTTAAAAATGGGCGTCTGCAGGGGTGTCAATGCGCGTGCGGTTTGGGTGGGTAAACGTGTCGCGGGCCCACGCCACACTCGAGAAAAAATCATATGATGCTGAAGGTACAAGGATTTTTTTTGGAGGTGGGGGGTATGTGCTTTGCCCCCCCCCCCCCCGAAAAAAATCCTGGCGACGCCCATGGACTACACATCCACATACCTGGGGGTTAATTCCTTCCTCCATGGTTGGAGACAAAGGAAGGGATAACTTCATGAGACACACTAATCTTAAGTATATTTGCCAGTAATCGCCCATCCCTGACTTATTAACTGTCGCCTCAGTCGAACCAAACGTGAGTGCGTTCGATTAGCTCACCCGGATCGCCTCGGGTTAGCCCCGTGCAGTTTATCAACTCTGGCATCATTGCATTATCTTGGGGCTCACCAGGGTCAGCCACCATAGACCCTGCTCGTGGAGCAGAGTCAGTGGTGGAAGTACGTCACACGCAGGAGTGATTCATTCAAAGAAACGGACAAATATAGTGGCCGGACAGCGGGAATCTTAAGTGGACCCAAAAATCAACTTTATTTGAAGTCTATATAATAATGGTAAATTGCTGCCTATTTTTAATTGACACAAGAGGATGTAATTCCAGCCCAATTTCTGTGAGTTTTGCAATTGACTGAAACTAAGAGAACAGTTGTATTCATGTTTTTACCCAAGTTCACTATAATAATTATGCTAGTTGCCTTGCTGTCATTTATTGCATATTATGTGTGTTTGTAGCTTTTTGGTTTGTATTTTGTCTCGTTATTTTTGTATGTCTAGTTTTTGGATTTGTTCTGTACATGTATATATATTTTGTCTGTTCTTGTTTTTGTTTTTTTGGTGCTGTTTGAGGTCGAATAAATATAATAATAATAATAATAATAATAATAAAAACGTGAGGATGGTGATCGATTGAATTGAGAGTTCGCCTGGTCTAATAATAAGGTAGCCAGGTGCAGCGTGAATTTGGATTCACGTGAGAGGTTTAACCAATAAAAGGGGAAAAGGGGTCCGATTTTCAGGGAGTCTGATTTTCATAAAGACACCGGTTGCGCTCATCGCGGCTGTGTCTGCGCGCTGCCTCTATCTAGTTCAGGCATTCAGGAGAGTCGCCGGGTGAGCTACTCGAACGCACCCTTATTGAATGAACGAATATTTGCGCGCGCCCTCTACCGTTACCGATCGATATACAAGCCACTATCACTGGTACTCGTACTCTGACACATTATTATCGCTGTAATTTGCATGGAAACCATGAAGCAGTAACGGAATGGCGACTGGTTTAATCCGACAATTTACGGGATTTCTGTCATGCCTTCACTGCTTCAGACTTCCCAAACGTTGAGTTGCTGCAATGGAGAAAGGTCCTGAAACATAGAAATGGTGATAGATCAATTTGTCAGAATTTTGTTTCAACTGTAATAAGGTGAGCTTCCATCCAATTTCCATATGTAACGACTATCGTAAAAATGACATGAATGAGTATACTCGGTACAGTGAGTCAGTCATCATGGATGGAATTTCATTAAGTCAAATCGCCCCTTATCTCAACAGCCATGACAGCCGGCCCCCTAACTTTCCCCCTCACCAACTCGCCTGGTGACAATGCGAGCAGCATGGCCAATCATATTATATTAAATTATAACCTTGGCTGGCCCTGGGGACAATTATGATAAGACATGAATCTGGGACTGAGAAATATTTCCAATTTTATAGGCCTACTTTTCTTGACTCTGTACGCAATCGCAGAAGTGGCGTCAGGTTGCAACATTTTTTCCAACAACAACATTGTTGCCATTAGCGTACTGAGTGGAGTGCTAGAACTTCGGTACCCTCCGTACTAACACTCCACCGATTTGGCATACTTTGGTGACAGGTACCGGTACACTGTATGCATTTTGTGCACACCCTTGCGAGGACAAAAGGCCCCCAAAAAGAGAAAGAAACATGACAAATGAGAAAGACAGTAACCCTGGATAGATCCACACATTCATGGCATTCCTTAAGACCCCTTAAATTGTTCCAAACAACCGGTAATTTTGAAAAAAGAACAAAATATTCTGAACTTACCGTTCACAATTAAATGTATCTGCCGAGTTGTGCAGTCCATTTCATTGATATAACTATCGAGCGCATGTGACGTCAATATTGAAGAAATCAAAATTGTGAGCCCCCCTCAATGCCAAATCCTAGGTGCGCCACGGATGCCAACATAGTTTTCTAGGAGGCGGAATAAGCTAAGTCCGCATCAATTGTTCATGTGTTACGACAAATGTGGCTACTTTTCAATGGAACTTTTCATTTTTCTTGGTCTTCGGAAACCATTATTCCGATAATCGTTCTTGATATTATAAATGACATTTAAATTAATTTGAAGACAGTTAAATTGTATACTATGGATTGATTTTTATTGAAATGATTGTGTTGTAAATTGGATGTGTATGGATAATTTTTTCCCTTTATTTTTGCTCATCATACAGTCTAAATCACTGATCAGGTCACATGACCTGGATATTTCCATTTGATTGGCTGACAGCGCTGTTTACATCATAGTACAGATCATGTGACCTACTTATGGCCATCTGATTAACTGAGAGTTGTTAGTAACCTCATGGGTTGCACTGTTTACATGTACATTCGGTACTTTAAACAAAGCGTAATGTCATTAGGCGAAGTAAAAAAAAAAAACATGTTTAGCGTCCCCGCCCGCTTCCTTTTTAGAGGCCGCCTCCTTTTTTTTTTTTTTTTTTTTTTTTTTTTTTAAAGACAAAAATTGATAAATTTTAACGATCTCTGCGCAGAAGAGATGTTCGGTTCTGCATAGTTACATCATTTTGGTCACATTTTCTGTTGCATCTTGCCCATAAGAAGCCAATATGTCATTTCCTGAGTCCAAGTGGCGGCCATTTTGAAAAAAGCTGGTAACCATCTTGAAAAATAGCCCGGCCGCGTTGTCTTGAAAAATGTGTCGGGCGGCCATTTTAAAAAGAAAAAAAAAGAAAAAAAGGGCCTCCTCCTTCCTTTTTGTCAAAGAGGCAGGACGCTAAACATGTTTTTTTTTTATTTTGCCTTATGTCTCGGGACTTTTGCACATATTACACAAACAATATATAAGCACACGGCCGGGCTTGTGCTCCGTGAATGGGAAAACCATCGCTACACATAATACGAGGTAGGGTATAATACAAGGTTTTTCTGAGAGTTTGCTTGAGCTCGTAGTACGTGTTTGACTGTATTATTAATAATCTTTTCAATTCTTTCCACACAGAGAATCACATCAAGTCAAAATGCATCCCGGCAGGCGAAGCAAGACCAAACTTCCCAAAACAAGTTTTTCAAACTTGAAGACAGTGGAGGTTGGACGTGGTCGTAATGGCTACGGCTTCACGATGACTGGCCAGTATCCATGTGTTCTTAGTAGTATCTTACCTGGTAGCCCAGCCGATATCGCTGGACTAAAGTCTGGTGACTGTGTTATGGCTGTCGACGGAGAGAATGTCACACGTGTTGGACATGAACAGATCATTAAACTAATAGGATCAACATCAGGTGTTCTTCGACTTACAGTTGCTTGCTTGGATGAATCAGAGTCTTCAGATGAGGAATATGTACCCCCTCCAAGGGTGCGATACAGCAGATCAAAGAGCACACCACCAAATGCAGATAACAGAGATGAACTGGAGAGAGATGAATTAAAGCGGGGAATTTTCCATGAACAGCAGTTACCATTGTATGATCACAGAAATGAACATCTGCAGTCCATGACGCCTACGGGTCCTGATCCTTCCAGTAAATTTTCACCAGGACACTTAAGTCCATACAACCAAACAGGGAAAGCAAAGGTCGTGCTTCAGAAGCCTGCGAGTGGTTACGATTACACTTACTGGAACGGAAGGAGCTTTGAAAAAATAGGGTCACAAAAACCGCGAAGAGTTAAGCGTCATGCAGAGAGTAAACAAAGGCAAAGGGCATACTCTACACAAAGTCACACCAGTTTCTTCGCTGAAGAAGATGAGGCCGACCAAGGCCTCCGACCTTTGACCCCAGTAGAAGTGTCCAATATCAGGTATCCATCGCTTCGTCCCAACTCGAGGCAGACGTCTCGGCATCCAAGATCAGCTGGCCCTCCTAAAGAGCGTCGGGTCATAATGCATGCTGTGGTGGGCTATCTGGGATCCATTGATATTCCAGCATCGGCTAATTTACCCACGGCAAGCTTGCAAGCCATACGTGGTTGCGTGAGACGCCTGCATCTTGAGCAACGGGTCCATTCCTTAATGTTGATGGAGATCACTAATATGGGAGTTGAGCTGGTCAATGCCAATCACAAAGTGACAGTAGTGTACCCGTCAGACAGTATTACCTTCTCAGGAATTTGTCCGGATGACAGACGCTGTTTTGGCATTGTAACCGCACAAAGTCAAGCACAGATCCCTGACAGTCTTGATAGCGACGAGGAACCCATTGGGAGCTCTTGTCATGTTTTCCTTGTTGACCCTTCCCTGAACAATCACAGTGTTCATGCCCAAATGGCTGCAAGATTTGGCATTCAGTGTGTGCACGATGACGCCACAAATTCATGTCGGCAGTTTCCGACGTCTTCCAAACCCCTCCTGATGCATATTGCCCAGCTGCATAGAGGTCACAGCGACAGACTGCACTTTGCTGATTTCTACGGCCAGTCTGCGTATCCTGCAGGTCCCAGACGCTCAAACAGTAACAGTAGTAATAGTGACAGTGGATTCGGTAACGGTAAGGAGAATGGCACGGAAGCCAACCAACACGGAGAGAGAGTTATGATTGTAGATGTAGCAGGACATATCCGTAATCAACGGACCCGAGGACAAAGCGCAACCAGTGATTCTTCTCCCAATAGACACGTTGTTCATGCTGAAATCAACACGTCCCAGTCCTCATATTCAATGTCTTCCGCCTCCCCATCATCTCCAGAAAATTCACCTCAAAACACGTTCAATCAGAAGAAGATGTCAGATCCTTCAGGACGCTTAACTCCACGGGCAAGACCAGATCCTATCTTGAGAGATCGGAACGGCAGCGTGACGCCTCTTGCTAGACCCAGTTCAGCTGTCTTTAACACAGCATCGGGTCGACTGACTCCTCGAGCAAGACCAGACCCAGTCGGTTTCTGCAGTCCTCTCACTGTGCCAACCTCTAATCAGTATCGCCCGCCAAGCAAAACTCTTGATAGTAACACCAACCAAAATCTTGCAGACGTCACCAATCATATGAACGTTCATCTACGAAACAAACCAGGTGATGTCAGCAATGTGAGCGGTCGACCTCCTACTGGAAGACACTCCTTGTACGCAAAGTTGGATGCTGGCCCAAGAAGCTCTGAGTTGCTGAATCCTAATAAGAAAGCAGAGGCACAAAAGATGACACAGCTGCGACTCAAGATCCACCGACAGGTGTGTACACATAATCTTAATCATGACCCCCTTTTGAACATGACTTCATTCAGGTACCCATCATACATCTAAGGAGGTAAATACCGGTATAACTAATTTCATGAGGGAGATTTTGCCCTCTTGAACTTTGTAAAATGTGTTTTCTTATCTAGTATTCATGGTATTTATAATAAAAGGCTGAAAGTTAAAGGGAGTGGCATTCATGTTACAAAAAAGATGCAGAAGCACCTGATCTACACAATGTTTGTTTCTATCTATAAATGCAAGTGTATTTAAAATTGTTTTCAGGATTTCAGGAAAAGTATGCTGATTTCCAAGTCTCCGTGTACATGTACATGTGTACATTTTGGAACTACATGTACATGTATAATAACATACATGTACACGTCTGTGCATGTTTTTTTTTTTTAAAGGCAAATATTTTAGGGTTGCATTTTTTGGGGTCACCCTGTATAATTTCAAAATGTATGAAATTTCTTTTAAAATATTAGTAGTTTCTGTAGTTCTTCATCCTATTTAGTTTAAATTCAAGTTTGCGTCTGCATTTGTGACCCGTCGTGTGCGTTCTCGTGTAATGGCCCGCTCAATGTTCAGAGGGTAAAAAGTTCATGAAAATGTGATTTTCATTGTTTGTCATGAATAACATAGAGTGTTACCTAAAGTTTCAGGGTTCAATCACTGAAATGTTGATTTCAATGAATAAAGTGCACCTTGCCCAAATCTACAACAGAGCCAGCTCTTTCAAAGCTTGTTTTTCTTGGCTGTGTATTTCGAACTCCAAGGAAGTAAGGTCATATCTCCAGAACGGAAGGGGCTATGGAGCTCTATTATATACCTAATGAGAGCTTACATTGTGGGCTTTCCAACCATGTACATGTGTATGATAACTCAATTTGTTTGCATTCCAGCATGACTTAACAAGACGTAACAGTGACTGTTCCGAATACAGTTCTTCCAACTTAAAGATGTCTCAGCAAAGATCGCAGAGGGGTTCACAGCTCAACATTCCACTCAACGAAGCAGGAACTAGACAGGTAAGTTTTGAGTAACTCGTAGAATTCTAGCAACATTAACTTAAGAAGCAGATCATGTGCTTAAAGATGCTAATTTCAAGTTTCATCCAAAAAAAATAGATTTCTTTTCTAAATAGCTATTTTTCCAGCTACGAAAAAGTTATTAACTTTTGAATGAGACTTTGACCAAACAAAATCGGCCCACATTTAGTTATTGAATTATTACTTTACAGTTTTATATTACTGGCTTCCAAACGACAATTTTGTTCTAGCGGTGTATCAGTATCGATACTGTATGGACGGGAAGCCAGTCTGCTTGCAAAGCGGATCTGTTTATGCCTAAACCAAAACCCTTTTTCAGAGGATGGGAGAATGGAGATCTATGTCCGAAAGTGGAAAATAAGAGGTCTTGGGGTTGGAATGAAACATGATGCGCTCAAGATTTCACTTTGCTTGTGAGTCGAAGCATCCTCGAAAAGGTTTGCGCGGACACCACCGGACATCAGGAAATTCTTTTAGGCTGGCTTAACTTATCTAGCTTCCAGACCCCTTTTCGTAAAACTCAGTAAACTGCCGTCAGGTCGACCTTGCGACAGCACGAAACAGTCCGCAACTGACTTTCCAGGATCAAGTTGCGCCTGAGCTACGACCGTTGGGAACAGAGTATTCGCCAATTATTTTTGCGACCTGAGTGCAACTGTGATGATATTGAAATGATTGGCAGCAGTCAGTGCTCGAAAAACTCAACAGTCACAAGAGTAGGAAAATTTCAACTTCTGTGACGTTCCCGACAAGCGGGAATCTATCGCAGTCAAACCTATGTGATGTTACGACATCGCGCACGCATCCGGATCATCTTATTTCAACGTGTAGCCAATCAGGTTGCGGTAAAAATGGCTGAATGAACGGATGTGGCCGTGAAAGGTCATGTGATTGTTATCAACACGCTTTAACCGCTATTGAAAAAGAAGTCACATGACTGTCTACGCCAAGGAATCGTCGTATTATCATGGCTAACACAATCAAGGTTGCGATTATTTTGTGTAGCGATGCCACTGTTCCACGGGAATCACATGATTTTTCAGATTTGTGACCTGAGCGTAATGGGCTGAATTCCACTACACGATCAAAGGGTTCAAGTTCATTCACTTCACTCTGGTATTGAGTGGGAAGGGGTATGGTTTAACCTTGTTTCCTAGTCATTTGAAGTTATCTTTTTTGCTCAGTTATTATTGAAATATACCTACGTTTAATTCACAAGGAAGCCATTTTTGATCGTGTTCCCTGAATGTACATTTGTATCAATTATTTAAATTTTATGAATTGTAAACTGTTAAATGGGATGGTACCAGACTATTTATGTGTTCCAAGCCTCACCTTTTTTTTTTTTTTAAATGTGGATTAAAACACTACAGTACATGTATGTTTAATCACAAATTCAATTATTTATCAGAGCAGACTGATATTAATTTGTAATTAAGTTTATGCCGTTGCTTTCATTTCTAAATTTGCAAGTCCCGAGGACTATTGCAGGCATTCAGTCTCCAGCACGGTCATCTTTGTCACCGTAGCCATCTATTATTTAGTTTAGTCAGAAAAGCTAGGTACATGCACAATGTATTCACAGCTTCAATATAGGGCCTATAAACAATCAATTTTGCCCAATGAAAAGCTACTGCATACTCCAGAACAACACCGTGTTTGTGAACTTTTGTAAACCGTGTCATGTACATGTACATGTACATGTACATGTCAACTTTATCAACGCTATAGCAGTTGGCTATACATCAAGGCAATGCAATGCAGAGCAATGCAGTGCAATGCAGTGCAATGCAATGGGGTACAGGTAGTCAAGCAGTGTTTGTGTGGGCTGTAGTGCCACTTGATAAAGTAAACCTGATGACAATAGACACAAATAGAATAGTAATCATCAATGGGGATATATTGATTAGGATCAGTGGGTACCATTGGTGGGAATGGCTACCTATATTTACATCGTAAACATAACATGTGTAAAAGTATCGGTAGTAGTGAGCTAAAGTTAGGAATGTACATGTACTATCTGCACATGATACATGTACATGTATACACGTACATGTACATGTACATACATGTACATGTACATGTGTGTACCTACATGAACATGTAAGGCCAATTAATTGCCTTGAAACTGTCAACCCCCCCCCCCCCCAAAAAAAAAAAAGAAGTGAAGGGTGGGGGTCTTGGTGGACAAAGTAAAGAATCACTATTTGACTTATTTCACATTTTGTTTAATTAAAGCAGATTTAAAAAAAAAAAAACACGTTCTGAAATTTGTCAAACACTCCACATCACCTTTAACATGTTGATACAACCTTTATACAAACAATTACACGGCTATTGATGCAAACAATAATGAAAATTGGAAATACCACCATCCATGTCACGATCATAGAAACTGAAGGAAGGAATACATTTGTAATTTATTGCCAAACGTAGATCCCTGAGTGACCTTTTGAGTTTTGTGCTCGAGGATTTTTTTTCCTTTCTACAATGTATTTTTAAAGAAACTGACCTGAATATTGAAAAAGAAAATGAAGTTATTCTGAGGTACATGTACATGCGCGTACATAAACACATATTGTACGTGTGCACATAACTTTGTTACAAAATTTTGTGTGAACAAAATTCAACAAGTATAAATGAATTAGAAAGATCTAAACTGGGGTAGTGTACATGTACATCTACATGTAATTTCTTCACTTTAAAGGTAATAACTAATATACAACATTTGCTTTCGTTGTAATTTTCAGAAGTGGATGGATTAGGGGGTAGTACCGATATTTTACAGCACGTATTGTTACACTGACCTGTGTAGAGTTGTGTGTTCATAAACTGATAAATGCTGGAACAACTATGGGAAAAAAATGCTGTTTTTGTTGTCTGGCTCCTGTGACTACTTCAATTTATAGATGTCGGGGAATAGTCAGGTCAGGGAACCAGACTACATGGATGTGTAACCGATTGCAAAAACAATTGTGGACTAACTTAATTTGGTAAATTGGGGGCAGTACTTCAAAAAAAACTTTTTTCCAAAGATGGTCGGCTGACCATCGTTGGAAATTGATACAAATATGCCACTTTTCTTGAAAATGGCAGTACGCCAGGCACCATGATTTCACAGGATGCTTGAGTCTATCATTCACTTACAGTCAAGTAAGGTAGTCCAAAATAATTTGGTAGTTTTGTTTTTAGATTTTTGCAAATGTTGTTTATATTACCTTCAACTTTAAGCATTGCTTCTTTGGCTACTAAATTCACATGTACATGTACTGTGTAAACAAACAGGATGAGACCTTGAAAAGTTAAATGCCAGGTTTTTGTGCTCTGTATTTTATATAGTCATTCAGCCATGCAGTGAGTTTTATGAAAATAACAGGCTAACTTAGCCCAGGGAATTGTGTACATATCCTTGTACGTAGGTGGTTTGAGGAACTGAATAGAAAAAAAATACAGAATTGTGTCAAAGGGGATTGAATTCAACTATATGGATGTATGTACAGTGCGCACCGTATACAGAGCACATTGACATTACTCAGGTACATTGTGTAGTTTGTGTTCTATTGTTCATTCTCCTTACACTTTCTGTGTGTCGTGACCTCTTGTGATTTACCAGGAAGTAGAACAAGTTCCTGTCTGATCAAATTGTAGTGTTACACGTATGGATAGATCGAGGACTTGTGCATTCGGTGGCAGCAGTGCGGTTGCTGTATACTCGCTCTTCCTGCTAGTTTTAGCACCTGACGTCCTACTTTTTGAGACATGACAAGAACGTGACTTGTTAATTCACTGATTAAATCAACACTCATCGTTAAGACATCGGAGAAGGCTGTGGATGGCTGCAACGTGTCAGTCTACATTAATAGACACTGTCATTTTTGTTGTGAACTTGGTGAATTGTTCCTGGAAAGGAACAATCTAACAGGCTTTTTCCAATGAGTGCCTTCCATAAATTTGCCAAATCCAGAAGCTCACAAGCTTCTGGTTGTAGCAAGCTTCTTGCGTTCAGAGTAAGTAGTATATACTTAATTTGTAAGCAATGTGTAACGAATTTGCTTAAATGAACATATTCGTGGCACCAAACCCAGTACTATACAATCGTATGAGTACAATTGTACATGTACTCAGGTTTATTCAATACTGTGCTGACAGCCAGTGAAAAGTTGAATGTTGGCCCATGGAAATTGTTTATGCTTGTAATGTACAGGGTGACCCCTAAAATTGCAACCCTGAAACATTTTCCTTTTTTTTCCTTCAAAAGTGTGATCTGTGATCCAAAACATAGGTATTAACAGATCACGTTTTTGGGGAAAAAAAGGCACATGTTTCAGGGCTGCATTATTTTGGGGCTCACCCAGTAGAATCAACAATTTCATAATTTGGGTCATGAGTTAAACATGTGAAAAGACACAAGTTGAAATAAAATTGCATTCGAATTAATTGAATTTTCTCTTGGAAACGGTCCTCTGTAGTACAGGTAGGTTGGTGTGCTTTGTTTACTGGAGAGTGTTATATTACAGAGACAAAGGAAACACAAAGCATTGTCCTCGAGAGTAAAGTAAAACACAACTGGGTGTGCCTTTTGTGACATTGAAATTGAATAACTTTCTGATTTTGTTTCTTTTTCCTGCTAGTCCCTGGCAGCATCCGATGGAGGTGAGCTACACTCCTTTGCTCTTTGTGTCGAAGAATTCACAGAAATGCCAAAGTTATTTGAAAAAGACAAGTGTTATATTTAAGTAGAAACTGAGGGCGTGCCATTGTTTTAATGGCACCATTAATTGCTTGATTTTCATCACTCACTACAACATTACAATGTACTTCCTCTTATAATGTCCTCTCCGGTCAAATCCCAGAAATCACAAAGCTGACTTTCATTTCATGTCGTAATTTTACCCTAAGCCACAATTCACCTCGCACAGTAAGAAGTCATGGTTATTTATCCGTGTCGTACATGTGCACACTTCCTTTCAAATGAATGCAAGAATTAACATATCCTGATAATTTTTGAAGGTTAGTAATGTTTTTACAATTCAAATTAATGGTTTATAAATTACGTTGCGATTTTCGGTCCGAGTTTTGAAACTGGTATTGTCTTGCCACAGAACTTGACGCAGCGGAGGGGGAATCAACGCTGAAGAGTGAAACCAATCGATCCAATCCTAATCTTCTTGAAATCGGTGGTAATCAGGAAGTTGGGAGAGTCTCCAGTTGGGCTGTCAGCTTTGACCATCTCTTACAAGATGAACTTGGCCTGGCCTGCTTTACAGTACGTACTCTTGTTGACTCAGTCCTAAGAAGCTAACACTGATACACAGATGAAACTACCCTTAACGTTAACTCCCTGTAGGCCCTTTTTGCTAGGAACCAATCCTCTATCCTCCAAAATTGTGCACTTACATACATTCAAATGAAGGATAGGATACCCACTGCCTCAAACCTCTAACAGCCATGCCTCTCAAAATTCATTCAGCCTCAATCCTCCAAAATCAACTGATACTGAATGCCCATGTGCCCTCAATCCTCCAAAAATTGTATGTTGCATTCCTCCAACATCCTTAAAAGCCAGTCGTGACCGTGTTTCAGATATTTTGCTATAGTACATACATGTATATGCACATGAGCAAGATTACATTGCCTACATGCATACTGATGTGAATTTAAAAATGACGGTTTCTCAGTCTCCAGTTTAAAAAGAACTGTTTTTATTCAATGTCTGTTGTAGGAATTTCTCAAGCGAGAGTTCAGTGAGGAGAACATCATGTTTTGGATTGCCTGTGAGACAATGAGTAAGATGACCAAGAAAGACGACGTGAGTGAACCTTAGGAAATAACAACATTTGTTTGAAACATTTAGTTACACACTATGTAAACCACATTTGTTTACAACACTCGACAGACTGGGTACAGCACTAGTACTTACAGACTTACATTCACAAGTAATTCAATTTTTTGTTCACGGTAATGCCCTAGATGTGTCCACGTATGTTGGTAGGGAAATAAGTTTTGTTTGTGTTTGTCAGTATGTTAGACTTATTTTGTATAAATTACAGTATCTTTAACAGAATTATGTTTAATTAACCTGTTTAATTGTTTAATTAACAAATGACACACGCACAAACTGACATAGGGAAGACTTCTATTTTTATTACAATTTTTTTTTACAATTTTTGAAGACTTTCTATTTTTATTACAATTACATTTTTTTTTACAATTTTTTGTAAGATGTGTCAAAAAATATGTTAGGTCGAAAGTTTGCCTAAAAAATCCAGGTAGGTCGGGTTACCGTAAGCACAAGCTTTTTTAGGCCTAATTAGGAATGAGTTTATTTTATGACTAGAGAAGTATTTCACTCATTGAACTTTTTAAAATGAAGTAAAAATATCCAGCTCATTAAATATAAAGCAAGAGTTTCATGAAGCAGCATTGTTCATTGTTGTTAGACATGTTAAAGGCAAGTCTGAAAACTCATTTTCACAGATTTTACAAACAAAAACTTAATATCTCCTCACACATTTTATTTTTAAGATTCACTATTATGACTTCTTACCACCACTGGATTTTCAAACACTGAATAACAAATTCAGGTGTGATTATCGATTACTGTGTTTGATAGTAGAATAATATAAAATGCACTGGCATCCCTTTTATATGAACCTGTTGGTCCAGATAAGTGAAGTCTCTCTTTTAAAGACTGTTATATTTGGTTTCTAGCTGAAGCGGATGTCACAGCACATCTACAGTAAGCATCTCTCCGACGACTCCTCAATGCCAGTCAACTTGGACAGTAGTTGTGCCTCCAAGGTGACGCAATGCCTCAAGAACCCTACTCCAGATATGTTTAAAGCCCAGCAGCAACAGGTTCGAATTCTGTTTCTTTGCCATGTCGAAGTGCCAGTTATTTCCTGTTATCTCCACGCCACTGTTTTGAAACTGAAACTGTAGAGACTTGTACATGTATGTCAGCTGTTCGTAGAGTTCTTCACTAATTTAAGTCACACAGCCTCTGCAGGATAATGTTCCCTATACATAATAATGCAGAGAGTGTCGTCTCATAGTGTCTGTCTTGAATCGTTTGAAAATAATTTCAGAAGTAAATTGGTTTTATGATCTTGGCTTTATTTAATTTTTGGGTCAAGATAATTATTACTCACATACTTGTTTAACAAACAAAAAACGTTTGTGGTTTTTGGTTTAACTGCAAGTATGTTGCCACAGAATAAGATCCAAGCAATGTAAATATACCCTTTTTTATTTTGCTGCCGTAACTCAATCTCCCAGATCTTCCAGCTGATGAAGTACGATAGCTACTCCCGCTTCCTGAAGAACCAAGTCTACCAGGATTGTGTGTTAGCCGAGATGGCCGGCAATCCACTACCGGTCTTCTGTCGGCAACGCAGTGATTGCACCGGTAGTGTCAGCAGTACCGACGAAGCGACGGGGGACCGTAAGAAGGCAGCACAGAAAGGCAATAAGAAAAAGGTGAGGCAGTCCGTGGGTCCTGACGAGTGCAATCCGTCTTAATAATCCTCTGATCTCTGTAGCATCTTGCTGCCTTTCAAATCTAAATGTAAATGGGCATACAGTAGAATGTCTCTATAAGGAACACCGCTATACCAAAGTTTTGCTATAACCAATATCACCCTTTGGCTTTCAAATTTTATGTACAATTATACCAAACGTTTCTGAGTTATTGGAAAATTGCATTCACATTGTGCATTTGTCTCGCTCAGCATGCCTCTCAACTAAAAAAACAAAATCTCGTTGTCAGTTCTGAAAAACTGGTTCCCGCAGTGCCCCAATAAAGACAATACCAAAATAGAAGGATAAGAACCAGTCTACAACACAGGATCTGCAGTTTCAGTCAGTATATAAAATTAAAAGAAAGCACATTTTGATGAGCATGAGAGACCTGCTGGCGTCATTCCCCATTGAATGGATGAGAAAGTACACACCTGTAGGTACTCTTGTCAACTTTGAGTGTCATGCCGGCTCCAAAAAAAATAGCTAAAATGAAGGACCGCTACAACAAACATTCTGTCGTGGACCTCATCATGTTCAGTATACCGACATTCTACTGTATTGTGTCGTGTGCTAATAAATGTAGTTGCTTTAACCTGCTGAGGTGTGTGGTCTTAAAGTAATATTCAATGCAATGTCAACATTATCAGATTTCAGAATAGGACATGATGCTTTTAGGATGTAATGTATCTCTGTCACTGTTACATTCCCACAAACAACTTACACAGTATAAATTTGCTCGAGGAACTTCAAAATTTGACCAACTCATGTGCATTTCTCATGGGTGTATCATCAGCATGCTATCACACACTTGTACGTTCATTTGTCCAGAATTTACAAAATTGTATTACTACATGTATGCACCGGTCAGTGTATTATTTTTTAGTTTCCTTCAGTGGAAGATCATAATTTTGACATTGCATTTATCAGTTTATATTTCCGAGCTGATTGTGTTACATGTATGTAACCAATAATTAGTCAATATGTGCCACTAATAATTCAATATTTACTCAACTTCAAAAACGTTTGTGCTTTAATACTGCACTCTGCTGACTACTGAGGTGGCCTTACTGGTTATACATTTGTAACGCAAGTAGTTTAGACACTTCCCCTTGCTTTCTTTGTATCATATACATGTACATCTGGCATGGCATGGCACCTGTTAGCTTACTACGCTTAATTGAAAGGTCCTACAGTAAACAAAACAGGTGTATTTGGTAATGCTTCAGGTAAGTGCCTGTTTTGCCTGGTTTGAAATGAGTCCTTCCTTCATGTAGTTCTTTCCTTTTTCTAAGTGGTCGTTGAATTACATCTGATGCACAACTAGCGCTAATGAATTGAAAATTGAGAACTCTGCTACGATCAAAACATAAGGTATCCTTTTTAGCATGTTTATCCAAAGTTTAATTCAGAAAAAAAAGTGTGAATGTATGTCATATAAAATTTGCAAAAATATTACAACTTTCTTAACTCTGATTCTAATCATACAAGTCCAATTTTGGCTGGTGTCAATATGTATTGTGCTCCTGTCTGTAGTCAATTAACGTATTAATTAATCCCTAGAGATTGAATGATACTTTACTGATTGTCTATTGTTTACAGTTTCTGGGCCTTCGATTGTCCACTGCACTCTCTAATCCTTGATGAACATCCATCACTGACCGGCACAAATGAAATATCACAAATGAAACATTCGAAAAGGGTTCGATTTTATTTATTGTAATTACACACAAGTTGGAGGTACACATAAAAGCATTCTGGAGTACACAACAAAGCCTGGTGAAATGTTGACTTTAAATCAGAAACCCTTGGAGATTGTGTTTTATAGCTTCAGGTTGTTAGAAAGTACAAAGGCAACTGGCTGTGCTAATGAATAAAACAAAGCCTTTGTTGCTGTTAATTGTGTCACATGCATGTCATATAGACATTGTATGTATTTCTCATTTTGGTTTTACATATGCCTTGTACATGAACATCCCATCAAAACTATACAGGACACTTTAATGAACCAGCTCCGCTGCAGATAGTACAGACATGCAACTTTTCCTCGGATCAGCTGATTTCCTTGTTTTTCACTTCACACTTAAATGCCATTAAAAATTAAAAAAAAACACTGTATAAAGTCTTGTAAAGCAAGGAATTTCCTCTCTTTTTTCTGTTACTTCCAAGTTACCTGCCTGATAGTAATGTCTAGTTTTCTTTGAATGACCAAACTATTAAATTTGCCCTTGCCAAAGTGCAGTAGTATGCTTGATTTAACATTTGGTATCCTGTGCATAGGGCGTACTTAAAACTGTGGTAAATAATTTAAAAAAATAAAAAAATTTAAAAAATGCAGCAGTCAGGGGTGTCCAGAACTGGACATTTAAAAAAAAAATATTGTAAAGATTTTTGAGCAGCTCAATTTGCCTTTTAAATTACAATTTTAGAATTAAGTGAAGGTTACATCTTTGACCAAATGTACAGAAATGATACCTTTACAGACTTGACATAATAGCATAGTATTTATAATCCGCTGAATGGAACAGCAGCTTTAAGTGTGTTTGCCAATCTTTCTTTGTGAATGCTCATGTACATGTACTTGTTGAATCTATTGTCATGTGTGAGATGCCAGTTGGTCACTGATTCAACCAACACACATAGTCATCCAGGATTTGTCTATACAAATAGTTATATTTAGCAGTAAATAGAATCAGTGAGCAATATGAAATCTTGATGGTTTTGTACATGTATGCCTCCAGTACAGTCAAGGTTCTTTGTACATGTATGTGCATGTAGGCACTGTTTGTACTTTTGTATGTACATGTAGATAGCATAGTATTGCATCTTTGATTGTTAAAAAAAATGCCCGTTTTCCACCAGCTTGTACATGTATATGTGTACATATAAATAAATCACTGTTTCAGTTCATATATTTGTCTGTTTTTCCATTTTCATTGTTGAGTGTTGAAATTGTAGTTTGTGGCAGTCATTTCAATCTGTGCATTTGTACATTGATCAATATTTGTTCTGTGTCTCTTTATAAGCTTGTTCTTAAGCCTTTAACTGGTCACTCAAGCGTCAGTTTCTTCGCTTTTCCTACACGCTGTCTTGTGTTCTCTGTAACCATTTTAAAGCAAAAACTTTCCAGAATCAGCAACTTTCTCTCCTTTGCCGGCTTAGAAAGAATATAAAACAAAAATACTGACAATATTAAAAAATAGTAACAAGATGTTACATGCACCTGTAGAATAAAACATGACTATCATTCACACATTGACTGGTTTTCTCAACACCTTCTGAAACAACTGAAAAATCTATTTCTCTGAACCCAAACAGTCTATTAGCACGCAGGTCTCACTTGTCCATTCACCTGTTAATCATCCGTGTTCATTCATAAATGCCTCATGACAGTTGCCTTATTGAGCACTGCTCTTAAAGTCCGGCCATGTGTGTAACCCATCAATGTTAGGTTGTTAACATCTTTTCCAGTTGGGAACTCTACATTACTGCTGAAAATCTCTCAAATAATTACAAGTAGTCTTCAACAACTCTGCAAAGAGAAGCAACAGATTAAAGTTACACCGTCATGAAAATCACTTTGATAGGTTAAATACCAAAACACCGAATTAGGAGTGTTTAGTGATGATTAGTTGAAAGGTTGGATGTGCAGGCTTTTAGTAAGGGGAATTTCTGTTGGATAGATTAGAGGGGGGGGGGGGACTGGTGTTAGGAAATGACCTTGACCTTTGACCTTTTACTCTAGGTAAACTCATTCAGTATATATACCACAGAATAGCTTGGTGTATGATGTAATATCCAGGTATTGCTCCCCATTACCACTGGCTGGTTGTTATCAAGCTTATTGATAGGATTATGAAACCAAAACGCAATCCACACCAGCTGTGTTTGTTGTTTAAACACAGGAATTGCTCCCATTATCGTATGGTTTTGATGCCTACTCCATAAGGATATCCTGCTTATCAGTAGAGGAAATGACCACTTGGGTATCAGTGTCATGGTAGAACCATATAACAAAATATTCAAATGAGATGTTATATGATAATGAAATGAACGTGTGGTCATACCATTACCAGGAAACCTGTTATATTGATTAAAGGGATGGCTCACGTAGGCTATTGGCCGAGTACCATTTTTATAAAGTAGGAAATGCTCCTGGATGTGATTGGTTTGTGGTTTGTTGTTACAACTGCCAAACAACAGAGGGCCCGTTAACCAGGACACTAACCTCAGTTTTCATTTAGGCTCCCTCTGTCGTTTTCTCATTTTTAATAAGTTTTTCCAAACTTTGTAAATCAATCTAAAGACTGGACATTGCATCATCACTGCATACATTTGGACAGACAGGTTTTAAAGGACAGAGATTTAAATTAAAATTGATCAAATTCTTCATATTAAATGACAAAAGTGATTAACAAAGTGTCAAGCAACACTGTTCTTGTGACTTTTCATTTCTTTATTTTGCAGGTGACAATCAATGATGATTTTGCATCACCATTTATTAGTGTTCATACAAAAATAACCTTGTACTTCTGACATCATTTACTTTTTCCAGCAACTGCAAAATCATGGACTCAACAAGATTCAGCTTCACCGTCTTCAATCAGCTATTTTATTCATAAATATGATTCAATTAATTTTTTTTTTTTCAGTATCAAATATGGAAAACAACCAAGTCCTACAGTTTGGAAGTTTGTGAAGACAGCCCTGACAAGAAACGCAAATCGATCTTGCCTTGGAATAAAGGTACGATTGCGGCATTTTTGAAATTCACAGTTCTAAACATTCTGGATTTGTGCAGTTCAGAAATTTTAGGAAGTGAATAAAAATGGACAAAATAGAAGTAGTGAAGAAAGGAAGGAAGGCTAAAGGAAGGTTGACACTATTTTTCTGCAAGAAAACAAATTAATGACTTTCTCAACAGTGCTCATATAAAATTATGTATTCACTGAATTTAAGTCTAGACAACTTAAAGCAGATCAGTTGTCTTCAAATTGTCAATTTCTTCAAAAACCAAATAATGTTCCCAATACTATATTAGTTAATGTCTCACAGTGATGCAGATTTTCCCCTCATAATTTTGTCATATTTGTTGCGTCCTTTCCTCCAGCTAAAGTCACAAGGAAAACTGGTAAAGATTTTGACCCATCAGCAGATTCAGGTTAGTGATGATATGATGGTCTCTGATCTGTCACGGTCTGTGTGTATGATAAGAAAATAAAGAGGAGAAAGTTGAGCGCAGTTACCATTTTTACATTTTCTTGTTTGCCTATAAAATACTTTGGTTATTTTTCAGAATAACTCAAGATTCTACTTCCACATATTTCATTACCTGTGGAAATATGGTTGTTGACATCTCTTGCCACTATTTTCTAATTTTGTTTATCCACATTGGTTGGTGGCTTCGTTTCCAGTTTCACTTGATGTATATGATCCGCATGATATTGTTTTACTATTAGTACATCTTTCAGTTTCAAACTTGACACTAAATCCTTTCCTAATTTTTTTTCTTTCACTGCAACCTGTGCTCTAGATGGTTTTTTTTTCAATAAATGGAATAAGTGAATTTAAAATAAATGATTATGTTTTACCAGGCTGGTGTTTATCCAATATGTTTTTTATCAACGTTTTAGAAGCTTTGAGGCAGTCAGGAAACGGCCGGAATCATTCAAGCAAAGCATCTTCAGTGACTAGTCAAACCGGTCAGAATGGAAAGGTATGCAGAGGGTCACGTCACATTCAGACAGATGCAGTGAGTCAGAAAGGGATGCAACTCCCCCCCCCCCAAACCCTCCCCCTTCCCTCCCGCTAACCCTCCCCCTTCCCTCCCATGCTTCTGCCCCTGCCACCCCCCCCCCCCCCACCACCATCCACCGCAAACCCCCTTTACCAACTCCAAAATATCACCCATCACCCAGGCCCCCTTCCACTCCACTTCCCCTCCACTACCCCCTCTTCAATCCCTTCCAACCCCCACCCCCTGCCCCCCCCCTTCCCCCACCCCTTCCCCCACCCCACCCCCTCCTTTGCATATGGCACACTGGAGCTGACAATGATATTCAACAGTGTCTGATTGATTGACTTATTATTGGAACACATTTGCATGATCATATTTTTACTCTGAGTATGTTGTAAGTGCTCAAAAATGACTGTGCAAGTCCATTTTTTTTTTTTAACAATTTTTATATCTAATCTTACACTGGTACATGTACATATATGTAAATTTGACTGGAAGATTAGAATTTAAAAAATATTCAGGGGAATTTATTTCCACTGTAGTGATATGTCATTTTGTATGTGTTGATTCAGGCTATTACCATGGAGGGAACATGCCGCTTAGTTTTCCCCAATGACGACGAAGTAGTGTTGCCTGCGAGACAAGGTTTTACTGTACGTGACGTGTTAACTCCTCATCTGGATGTCCGACATCTCAACTTGCAGTCTGTGGAAACCTTCCGTGCTGATACTAAAGAGGTAGATCGTCAGCTGTAGATTGCAGATAAACACTCACTCTTAATGCTTCAACTTATACAGATAGAAACTTTGATTCCTTTTTAAGTAACTATTGAATCAAACTGGATACTTAGCTGAAGATTTTCATGCACTAGGCAGTTACATAAAAGAGTACAGACTGATACATTCAACATTATTGACTGCTGTCATATGAGACAGCCTTCTTTTCTCCCGAGAGGGGCATAGCACCAGAGGCAGAGCTGAGAGTGCTATTAACCACTTTGCGCTGGTGGCCGTGTATACACGCAAAAGTTTGGCGGTATTCAGAACGGATGATAGATAAACACAAAGGGAGTGAGGCCAGAAATATCTGTCAGCAACCCACTCGCAGCAAGCGAGGTCAGAAATATGAGTTGTGCTGCCCGAGGGTGATGGCTTCAACCCGCCTGGCTTGAGGTCAAGTGACAAGCAATCCCGTGCCTCATTCTGTTCTTGTCAAAATAATCCCGGCGAGAACTGGTTAAGGGAGTTTTAAAAAGTCACGCACATGCAAGGTACATGTAGTTGCTTTGCAATGCGGTAAGGTCATTTGTATGCAACGCAGTGTATATGAGGTAAACAGTCATGTTGATAGACTAGACGTGACCATCTTAGACCAATGAAATTACAGTATCCAAGACACCATACAACAATCTTATTTAGTCTCGGTGAATTATCTTTTGCGCTTACGCACTGTATCACTGATGAAGCTTTTCCTTTGCAGGGATCGTAAAATCTTATTTTGTATCAATTAAGTTTAATTTTAAAAACCTGTGGAGTTTTGTTGAGTGTTTCATGTTTATTAACAGTCGCATCATTCTTCCATCATTCTTAACAGTCATATCCTAAGGGCAGGAAAAAGGTACAAAATGTTTGGTCTTTGCTGGTGGCAGTTTGCATGCTCATTATTTATTTTGCTAAAGTGTATCATCATTAAGCAGGTATACAATGTATGTCTTAAAGTGGCCATGGTTGCGATGAAAAGAGTGTGTGGTTAGGGGCATAAAAAAGACGCTTAGTGATTATGGTGATTTCATGTGTATCAGGTGTTTGGTTTCACGTCAAAAAGTCTTACATATTGTAGAGGGATAACTAGTTGTATACTTTTTGTTTTTTGTTTGTTTTTATTTGGGTTATTGTTTAGTAATTTTCATCCATTTCGTGGTTCATTCTTATTGCAAAATATTGCTTTTCAAGTGCTGCAAATCAGTAAAAGCCATTGTATTATTGGGAGTCATCCATGCTTTTCCTTAGTCTATGGAATATCTGCTTGCACACTAGCGTCTATGATATTCGCACAGATTCGGTGATTAATTATGCAAAATAACACCGCGCCTTGATTTCCGGATTCTGACCATTCAGCAGGCGCCTTCTATTGGGTCTTCGGTAACCCATTGCTGTATTACAAAAACATGGCAGCAAACTGACCAATCAACAGCCAAATTTCTGCTCGAAAAGACATCACAATTTCTAAAGTTTACTCTGATTGGCTGTTGCTCGGGGTCGCATAAATTTGCATGCTCACATAAATCAGACGTTGAATACGGAGCGGGCTCTGTTGAACGGATGATATTCGGACTAGCTTTTCCTTTCACTTGAAATATTCACATTGCTTTATGTTGGTCTTTGTTGCTTTTCTACTTATGTACATTTTTTTTTTGCAATTATCATATTTTGCTGTTAAGCCCACTAATTGCAGTGATGTGTATTTCCCTCGGCTAGCAGCATAAGTAGAAATACATTTCTGAGTAATAATCATTCAGTTCGATTTTCAAACATTCTTCTGTTCTTTCTGTTGAATAGATTGTTGACTATCGGCAAGACATGAGTGCCATGGCAGGAGCTGATATTGTTGTTGAACAACGAGTTGTGTTCAAGTAAGTAACCAGGAATTCCTTTGTACTGAAATATGAAATAGACAATTTGAAGCTTGCCAAACACTCAATATATGACGTGAAATCATTTTGCCAACCTTTGAGGCTTCTTGTTACAAAACCAGTTTGCATACAACATCTCCAAACAACGGTCAGTGTGCCTCCATTTCAAATTTTCTGTTGACCAAATCTGGCCATGTAGCATGCCTTTATGCGTGGTTGAATCTTTAAAGGTTTGAGTCACTCCCATTATTGTGCAGGGTTCCTCCTGCCATGGAATTTTGTTATTTTACAAGGGGTCATGGAAAGTTGGTATTGCAAGAAAAAGGGCATGGAAAAGTCTTGGAATCCTGCACAACTAATACATGATGATGCTATGGCAGTCTTCCAGTTTGCATTCCAGTTTACTTTTTTTCCTCTTTATGCATGTATGCTCTATACTTGCTGCTCGTTCAGTGCATCATTGTGATGCTTTTGTGGTGCTCAGTGGTCTTGTGTCAAACTGGAAGGCTGAAAGGGAGTGGCGTCCCTTGCCTCAGTGTGAGGACTGGCCAGTGTGCAGTAAATAGGAATAGGTTATGGAGAGCCCTTAGTTATGGTTTGAATCCTTAGTTATGGTTTGAATTCTTGATTATGGTTTGAATCCTTGGTTATGGTTTGAATCCTTGATTATGGTTTGAATCCTTGATTATGGTTTGAATCCTTGATTATGGTTTGAATCCTTGATTATGGTTTGAATCCTTGATTATGGTTTGAATCCTTGATTATGGTTTGAATCCTTGATTATGGTTTGAATCCTTGATTATGGTTTGAATCCTTGATTATGGTTTGAATCCTTGATTATGGTTTGTATCCTTGATTATGGTTTGAATCCTTGATTATGGTTTGAATCCTTGATTATGGTTTGAATCCTTGAAAGTAACCGATTTTGAAACTTGATTGAATTTCTTCAGGATGGAACTACCAAGCCACAGGGTCATCGGAGTCAAGTCTAAACCAACTAAGAAGCTGATTGAAGTCTTACGACCAGTCACACATAAATACAACCTGCAACTGGATGCTCTGGTGGTCCATCTGGTAAGTTCTGTCATTTATAATCTCGTTTTTTTTGTTTTTATGAAAATGATTTCTCTTAAACTCAACATTAGAAATGGGTTATACATAAACCAACATTTATCTTCATTAAACACCACTCTAAGCATTCCCCCGGGGTTCGAATCCAGCCGCTGGTCATATATTGTGTCCTTGGGCAAGGCACTTCACCCCCACTTGCCCCTCTCCACCCAGGAGTATAAATGGGTACCGGCATTAGCTGGGGAGTAACATGCGATGGACTAGCATCCCATCCAGGGGGAGTAGAAATATTCTCAGTCGTTTCATGCTACTGAAACGCCGGCCTGATGAGCCACATTGGCTCGGGACAGACTTTACTACTTTACTAAGCGTTCCCTGTCAACATAGGTGGTCAAATATTCTACCACGTTGTACTGGTTGTGTATGGTAGCAGTTGTGGGCATTTTCTCAGTGAGCGTTTGTATATTATCAACAACCAAACAACATGGCATGTAAAGGTTACAATTTGTGGTTTTCATGCAACCTGGAGTTGCATTAACACTTTCCTTGCCAAAATTCAACACCTATATTGTTTGGTTTCACAATTTTTTTCAAGTGCAAAAAAAAAAGCCCAAGAAATATTACACAGTGCAAAAAGTTCTGGAAGAAAACAAAATTCCCAGTCTGGGTTTTCTGTTTCCCTCCCACGTTTGGATTTGTCAGTCTTGGGAACTGGTATCAGACGAATGATCAACCCTCTGTCTGTTTTTTATATTCTCGTCATCATCCTAGAGCAATTCTCCAGTTCCACTGGACCTTGATATCACCGTTGCATCGTTAGATGGTCAGAAGATTCTGATTGAAACTCTGGAGCAGTATGGTGGTAAGTTCTTTTAAGGCTCTCTTTAAGTGAATGTGAGACATTTTGCAAATGGATATTAAAAAAAAATCTAGTCTTTTTTTTTTATAAATGAATAATGATAATTTACAACTTCTGTCTTAGCTTATCATGACATTAGTCTCTCATATTAGAGTTAGCGAAATGTAGAGATAATGAGAAGTCAGGCTGGCGCAGTGGTTTTCTTTGTCGCCTTCCACTTCTATGGCCCGGATTCAATTCCTGCCCTGGTCTACATGTGGATTGGGTTTTCAGTCCCTAACTGATTCCGTGGGTTTCCCCAGAATATTCTTCTGGGGTTTTACTCCCTCCTCTCTAAAACTGTAATTTCTTCTCATTGTTTTCTCTCTACCATGTCTACAGGTTTCTTCAGGCTTGCGAGCTACAGTGCCTAGGGCGCTTTTGAGGAATCCTTGGTTTCATTACCAGAAGCAAATGATAACAAGTACATGGTTTAACATTATTACATTTGTCTCTTGTCAGCTGGTAACTACCAGGCGCGGGCAAGAGTGGACCCAGCGCCTGTCGCTGTGCTGCACAAAGCAGCGTCGGACGAAAGCATCATTAGAAAGCAAGATGCTAGGCCTACCCAACAAGCGGCATATCACCACCGACGTCTCTCACAGGTACGTGCACCTGTGTATCATCCAGTAATCATTGTGTATCATCCATAAATGACAGGCTACTCTGACCTCATACATATACTTATCCCATAAGAGCGCTCTACAGCCAGCTTGTGATAGCACCTAGGGTGACGTCCAAATCTTTTGTTTAGAGCTATGGTCTAGGACTTTATCAAGTCAAGGCCAATTGGCAGCTCGAGCCCGCCCAATGATCTTGGTCCAGATTTCCTGGTCCAGCATGCAGGAGCGCACCTCCTCAGCGGTGACCAAGCCGGTTTCCCGTTTCAGCATGTCCATGAAGGAGAGACTTCTTCTCCCACGTGAGGCAGTGCCCCATGTCGGCTCCCAGAGAATGATTGGGTTAGCGGCCAGCTCCAAGTGAAGGATGCAATGTCCTGCAAGCTTGAGACAGCGTTCCCGGATCTTTTTCATCACCTTCAGCAAGCCAGCGTAGAGTTCTACATTCCTCATGTGCTCCTGCAACTTTATTGTATTACACTGTGTTTATTCACTGAAAAATCAGTCAAACCATAGAGGGCTCGGGCCGTTTCAGGCGCTACAGTGAGTAATAGGCAGGGCGGTTTGGTGCGCTGCAGTGATTAAAGAGTTAAAAATATAGACTTTCTTTTTGCAAATATTTTAAACAAGTCCTTTGACTTCGAAAAGTTTTGTAAAGCAGGCATTCATTGTTTACTGTTGCATTATTTTCCAGAATGAATTTGCCAGAGGAGACAAAAGTGCTGAGAGTGAAGGCAAGTCGGGGCATGAGGTCAAGGGCCATGAGGTCAACGGTCAAGTAGTCACCCTCAGACCAAGTAACTCGGATACATCGATACAGACGATGAAGTCGCAGCACAGAAGTTACAGACTGGCCAACAGTGATGCAGACGGTATGGTGGCTCCCATTGAGTTTGGAAATAAGTTTATCCAACAGATCTCTCTTTTTGTGTTGTGAGAAATTTGGCTGATTAAATAACCATCAGCTATAAGTAAGTATAAAATAATTGATTGCTCTTTTTTTTTTATCTTTCCAGAGTTGTATTCTATGCTGTCAAAGGCTCAACGTCGGAGAATGGACGACCAACGTGGTCTGACTATTCGTAATCTTGAACTGCCAGATTTCTTGAAGAAACCCAAAAAAGACACGGCGAGTAATCGTCCACAGAGTGCTCTGGGTACGCCTTACCAGAAATATAGACCAGGCGTCTCGCAGAGCAGCGATAAGAGTAAGAAATTCAAAGACAGGGCAGTGAGATGCAAGTCCACTCCGCCGGCGACTTACAAGGAGCCAGGTCTCGGGGAAGGGTTCATTCCATCGCACGTACAAGCTGAAGCTATATTCGGCGGTAGAGGGCGCTCTAGTGATATCACTCCGTTAACGTTCAACGATTCCATGATGGCAGTGGGTGACGGAAGGTACGACTTCGGTGAGAACTTAGATATGATCGACTATGCATTTGGTTATGATGGTGTTGCACATAATAATGACTTTCAGGCCAACCAGTATGATGATAAGTTTAGTCCCCGTGCTTATAACACTGATCCGTTCGTTGCCAAAGGGGGCGATAGAGGTCTCTCGCTAGAAATATATGACGGTGGTCTTGGTAACAGTCGTCATGGTAGTGAACAACATGGCAGTCATCCTCATGGCAACCAGCATCGTGGTGATGGAGATTACGATGACGTCTTTCAGGGTGTTCAGTTCAGCATTGGCCAAGCCCAGGAGTACGATTTAGATCGGACTTTAACTAAATCCACGTCTGGAAATGAGTCCATCCTGCCGCCTCCCCCTGATGAGCTTGATTACACGTTACGTCTTGAAGAAGCTAATTATTCTCCTCCTCCTCCCGTCATTCCAATGAACCAAGATCAGATGACATCATTAGCACACAGTGGTAGGATCACCCAAGGCAGCACACTCCCTGGTCACATGTCTGACCTGTCAAACCAGCCTCTAACAGACACAGATTCCGTTCACTTTGGTGACAGCCCTCTTCTTGACGATCCACTGTCCCCTCGAATCCCTTCACCCTCAACCCACGACCTGGTCATGACCCCAAATCCCGAGGAGGATTTTGACCACTCCCTTGGAGCTCATGGCCCTTTCTATGGGTTTCATCCTCAAGAAGATGTTCCCCAGTCTCCCATAGAAAGCCATCCATCAATGATCTCTTCAAGACCTGACGTTCTGAGGCCGGTTCTTGATCCAGAGAATATAAGTAGCTCACAGGAGAGCACCACTCAGCAAGGACTCTCACAATATAACGCTTCCTCACACGTAGCGTCTCAGTATGCCTCACCGCCCGTCTCTTCACATCAGGCTACCTTGCAAAGCTTCCAGCATTCACAGCAAGGTGCCTCCCAAGGTGGTGCCTCACAGGATGTAACCTCACAGAATGTAACCTCACAGAATCTAACCTCACAGAGTCTAACCTCACAGAGCACTGATGTACAGGAGAGCACTCCACAGCTTAGCTCCTTACAAGCAAGTAATACGACACCTAAGCCAGATATTAATCTTCAGTGGAAGGCGGCAAATCGTGTACAGCAGCAAAAAATAGATCGCGATAAATGGGAGACGGTTGTCAAAGACGGCCGTACAATGCGTGCAACGTTTGTGTAACATTGGAACACGCTGATATCTGTAACTTACCCTGATAGAAGTTAGTCAGAAAAAAACATTTAGACATACAGTGGTTTTGACTAAATGTAGTGACATGGTGCTTTCTTTATTTATAAGATACCAGGATATTTGTCTTCACTATTTCCGGCAGAACTGTTAACTGAAATAAATTGAGGAGTTTGATGTTTTGAGGTTGTTACCTGTAATGTAGATGCTGGAAGCGCCCGTAATCAGGATGAACCAAGTGTTATACTTGATTTCATTTTTGTAGGTTTTTGCCATACTGGGTCACGTTTTTGTTGTATATTGATGAATCACGTAGTCAGCTTACAATTATTTTGTGGTAATTTTTATATGATATGATTTTTATCTTGGATTTTTGTAACAGAGTGGACCGGTATAATTTGTTGTGGCACTTACGATTGTGGTTATTTTTTTTCTTTAATTTCCTGACATCTGTAATCATGTTTTAGGTGATGAGATGTTGCTGATCTTCAGATTGATTTAATACATTTTACTTCTCATTGATTATGAATTATGCGATTTGAGTTTTTAAGTAGACAAGTAGTGCTTTCAGATAAAAAAAACACACCGATATATCTTGTATATTTTGTAAATTTACTAGTATGCTGTACATGTAAAGCATTTATGTCTTTCATGCTAGAAAGTATTACTTGGATTTAAACCCCCCAAAAAGATCACCAACAATGAAATAATTTGTTGAAATTGGTAGAATATCTCCTGTGATGACCTGTCATCACAAAAATGAGCATAGAGTCAGACTTTTTTTAAGATTTGAAATATCTATCTGGATTCTGCAGAACCAGAGCTTTCCAATTGTACATGTATATGACATTTAGAGTTACTGAGTTTAGTAACAGAAAATATACCGCCAACTTAATTTAAGTTCTAATTTTTTATAGAAAACAGCATTTACAAATCCTTCCATTGTGTTACAGTGAATGAACAGTCGACTCACACAAATGGAATGAAAAGAGGTTTTCAAAATTTAGATTGGACCAAAAAAATTGCACAAAGGTAAAACAGCACTTCAAGATTAGGATTCGCCTGAAAATGAAATTTAAAAAATAGAACACACCTTTGGAGTGAAGTAGGGCAAAGCCAAAATTCAAACTGGCAATTTCCAACTCAAAGCCCATTTCGCAGTGACAGGTCACTTATGATAACTTGATAACACAAATCTTATTCATTCTTGGCAGCTGCAAGCCTGGTAGGTTTAACTATTTTTAATGGAATTCAGTAGGTATTAGTTGTTTTCATCTGGCGTCATGTATTCATTGAACCATGTGACAACACTTACATTGTAAGTGTTCCGAATCATGGTGTGGAAAAGCAAATCGTATTCACCAAGTTTAATTATTCATAGAGTGGGAATATATTTGTAGTTAAACTTGTATTTAAAATAGATTTTGGTTGATAGTATTGATGACGTTCACAAGTGATTGTTAAATTAGCACATGTTTTAGTTTCTTTATTTTAAACCATTTCCAATCTGGGTGCCCAAACAATGAGCCCACTTAAGACTTAAGATAAGACTTAAGATTTGAAGTGTTGTAAAGGGGTCAGTGAGGGTGGTTTTCAAAACCTTGACTTATCTCCGGGCTCCGGCGATGAACTTGAGGTTTGAAAAACAACCCTGCTTATATATTTAATTAATTCAAGATAGCTGTAGAGTTATTTAAGCTGTATTCCTTGTATGTAAATAGTGTTTGCTTTGAAATTCATATCTATACCAAAAATGTATCTATTCACAACATGGAACAAATATTTGAATGAAATTTGAGCTGTTCCAATGAAATGTAACATATAAGTAGTATTTTCATTTATATTGGAATGTTTTTAATTAACATGTATATAGACATATTTTTGTACAGCATGTGCGGTGCGTTTATAGATCATTATTATCACCATGGAAGTCCATACTAAGACTATCATCATGCAAAGTAGTCTTTCAATATTTTTCCATAATTATCCCAAACAGTATGCATGGTATGTAGACACCACCCATCTCTGCCTTGACGGGTTGCGCTGGCAAAACTTTTTTGTCTGATTTTAAAGTCTGATTTGGGCACGCAACTTTTTATATATTGAAGTGGACAGGGTGACATTATAGTCAGAAATCGGACGATTTCCAGCCGTTACTGAAGAATATTTGTCCAAACCAAAAGGGATAAATTGTGAAGTGAAATTGTAACAGATTCATATGTAAGTGGGAAACGAATTTGACTTATGGTCTTTATTGGTTGTGATATTTAATGTCAAATAGTCACGTCTATTTCACCCTCTGCAGTGTTTCTATTTTTCTGGTGAGGCTTTGGTTGATATCTTTTGAATGCTGAATGGATGGATAAAAGTCACCAATATATTTATGCCAAGAAACAGTGATCGTATTTTCATTCATACAAATCATAATTGGCACGCACATATATGCACGATATTGCATGATATTGTTTGTACAGCAGTAGATGTTCAAGCATATTTATCAAATTAAGGTAAAAAAAAATTGTAAAGTATATTATTTTGTAGCTTTTTAAAATGTTTTTATATAAAATGCATGTATATACTGAATCCTTTATATAGATTGCTTGACGAATCACTATTCAGCATTATTGTATCGATCCATACTAGAATAATTATTGACTTATTATTGGAAAGACACTTGTCATTTTAATGCATCTTGTGTGAGGCAAGTCACGGCAGTTGCTATGACCGTACAGTTCCCGTACCTCTGGTTAATTCAATGGTCATGACTTGGTCGTCAAAATCGCCCCTGAACATGTTGACAACAATAAAAGAAAGGTCGGTGAAACACATTTTTGATATATATTTAGTTGTTAATAGTACCTCAAAATTCCATACATTTTTGTTGGTCAGCAATATTATAGTTTGTACAAATCTTGCACAGCTCAGGGGCCTGGACACTGATAGGCAAGGGACATAATTATCGCCAACCAGGCCCCTGGGCCGATCTTAACTGTGCTTGTTTAATACCGGCCAAACACATATATAGTCCCATTCATAAATACCTTTGAGTCAAAAAGTCAAAACAAGTCAGAAATTATATATTTTAAACGATTTCGTTCAACAAGTTTATCTCAAGTTTTTTTAAACACTCCTCTAGCTATGTTATGGTATGTGCCTCTCACGAGTTGTCGTGAACATCTTATATGGAAATGGGCGCGATGTGGCACAGAACGCAGCGGTGCCAGTGTAGTGTGAATTTAGGACTTGCGAAATACGGACTCATTGGTAGTATTGCGCATGTTTACATGGTTTAAGTGAACATTGTGAACGTTTAACCAATAACAGGGTAAAAGGGACCAGATTTCATCGGCGTCCAAATTTCATGTGACTCCGGGAAAGTGTTTAAAACCAGCCAGCCCGTGTTTTATCAACCGTGACGGGCTCTTGACCACTAGGAATTGGTCAACGGTCTTAGGTATTTATGAATTCCATTTATACATGAACAAGACTAAGTTTGTATTGAATTGTCCAAATGTTAAGTAAAAGTGTAATATAATATAAATATCTTGTAATTAATAAACTCATTTATAGGTCCTCACCCATCTTCGGTTTTACCAAGACACATCACTATTAAATTGTGCCAGTTTGCTTCCACACATGTCAGTCTACTGAGTTCATTGTTAATTAATATGTTTTACATATATTATCTTGTTATACCTAGTAAGCTTTTAGACGTTAATCTTTGTTTACTCTCCACTGACTACGTGTCCAAGCACATAGTCTCTGCTTTCTGAGAGTTTGTGAGACTACATTCACAAGCTGGTCTGAATGAGACGCGAAACCCACACCCTCCAGTTTCATAGTGCACATGTCTAAACTTCTCTACCATTATCTACGTTTGTGTCGGGGACATAATTTGTCACTGATTGCATTACCTGCTGCTACATCAGATTTGAACTCAAGCCCCAACATTCAAGCTCATTCAGTGGTAAAATGATAAGACATCTCAACACAAAACAAATGGTCTTCTTCCGACAGGCCGAGCATACCGTCCCGAAGTCTCCCCCCCCCCCACCCGCAGTTCTTTTCAGAACCTTACTAACTCACAAAAGAGATTTGCAACATGGAGGCGTAAACTTAATCTTATTGCCGTCTTCAACCTGCAACCTTCAAATCTCAACAAAAATTTCAATAAGTTGTGAATAGTTAATAGTTTTAGTTAATATTAATAAATAGTTTTAGTTAATATTTCAGTTAATTGGCCTTTAATCATCTCTACCTGAAATATTTTGAATGTAAAGCATCTTTTGTGTGTCCCACAGTATTGCACAAGTACTAACTAAGATGGGACTGCAAATATAAATTACCGCTTTGTGTAAACTATTAAACCAATAAATATACAAATGGCCTTTTTGAATATCAAATTTTACATCAAATTTGTGTGACCAGTTGAAGGCACTACCGTAGTCATGGAAGATATGCGCATAAATTAGTAGTTAAATATATATACACAAGTGTAAATTCAATTAACAGCGAAATAAAAATATATGGAAAATTGTTGGCTTTTTTCAAAACATTTGGGTATTTCTAAGGGTATGGATTGGGGTCATATCCCAAGTCTTTTATGAGTTATCCTCGGACGATAACTTCTAAATTTTAGAATTTCATAACTAGCTTGTCAGAGACCTTGAAATGCACTTTACGAACAAAATCATACATGTAAATGTTATGTCCAGAAGGAAGAAGTAAAACTCAAGTCACAATTTCAGTAAAATTAATACAGAAAAAAACATAAAAACCCTGATATGGAAGGGATTTACATGAAGGCTCGTGCTTCTCGCGACTAAGTAGATTTCACAGGTTTATATTTCAAAGCTCATCGTTGGTTGTATTCACTCAGTTGCTTCATCGTCTTCTCTAGTTCTTGAGTCTTTCTTGCGAGCATCTTGGCAACCAAACGCTGATGAGCAAGTGCTTCTGTCTTGTCATTAAGCTGCACGAGAAATAATCACAAACACTGATGATGCAATCAAATTAAGAACGAAGTCAGGGAGATAATCACTTTATAGATTTATGCAAACATTGAAAGTGTTTTACGTTTGTAATATCTCATTTGGTGCCATATGTTGAATAGAGAATGCAAAATAGACAATGTTGAAATCATGTGTTTCGTTTTTTCATTAGAACATTACGCCTCTCTTTCGCTGACAAATTCAGCTACGCCATCACAGCAGTCAAAATTAATGAAGTGACTAAATTCCCAATAATTGTATAAAGCCATGCTTTGACTGGAGGTGATTGTTATGCCAGCTGTACCTACCAGTTCCCTCTTTTGTCTGTTGATGGAATCTGACTAGTTAGTGTTTACATGATGTGTTTTTTACTAGTCTGTATACAAATGCATGGCAGGGGAAGTGGAGGACATTTTTGACAGTCTGTGACTGATAAAACAATAGAAGGGTCTTGTTTTTACCTATCATCTTATTGAAGAAATAAAAATTAGGAATCTATTTTACCGAAATTCTTACCAAATCTGCTAGTGTGCCAATCAGATCAGGCAGTGGCTGACTAACTTGAACTGCTACACTCCTGCACGATGCACTGGTATCACTGGAAGTAAACTGATCGGAACTGTCATCCGTTCTGACTGATCCTGATCTGTAATTGTCATTTCTCTCAATGCACCCTATTGAAATAAAACACAGAACGCTGCATTACTCTGACAAAATCTAGCACTTGTACTGTTTGCTTGATTTTGGTAGAATCAGGATTTAAAAGCCTTAGCACAACGATTTTACTCCTTGTAAAACATGTAATATAACAACATTCCCTGACTTTTCCGTTACTTTTCCACGATAGCTTTAAATACCAGAATATTTCAATGATGTGGTGGGAACCCTGGCACTATTTGCTTTGGATAAATACAAAAGAAGCTCTTACCATTTTGAGTGCCCCTGTTCTTCCTACCGCTGATGGATTTATCTCGTCGCTGTGATTTCTTCTCGTCGTGACATAGTCTCTGAATTTGTTGACACAGTAGTGAGTTCTGGTCCAGCTGATGATCAAATGCCTTTGTAAATGAATCAGCTTTCAGAGTGACCGCTTCAAGATTTTGTCTCAGTTCATCCACCTGTGCAGACGACACACAGCATAGATTGTGTTTTAACTGCTTTGTTCTAACTGGGACAGACTAAGGCATGCATTGTACATTTCCAAATACGTAGCATATTAGCCATCCTTACACTGTTTTAAAAGAGATTAGAATATGTTGAATGAGAGGCCTTTTAAGCAATAAGATGCTAGTTACCTCATCTTTGAGAAGGTCATTTTCCTTCTTGAGTCTCGCCGCTGCTTTTGCACACCCACATGGCTCTGGTTTGCTACCACGGCATAAACAAGCTCCTAACACTCCAAATTGCTGTCAGAAGAAAGATTCAACACAATAAAATAAATTTAAGAATGTCGAACTTTTGTTCCTAGACAGGTATGTGAGGGGTCAAAGGGTGGGACCACTAGGGTGGTCAGTGGGTGTGGTCAGTGGGTGTGGTCACTCGGTAGAATTACTGAGTGTGGCTGTTGAGTGTTATTACTACTTAAGTGCTTTCAACTGATGCGGCTAATATACTGCATCTCAAGGAACGGTTACAAGGCTGGGAGATTAGGTATAAAGGGCATGTGTTTGAAGTCCATGTTTTTTAAGGGGGGGGGGGGGTTGAATAAAAAAGGTATAGAAATCAACACTTAAGGACAAAGGCATGACTGAAGCAATACATTGAGATTTGCACTATTGTCCGAAGTCAAACTCAGGGAAAATTTCAAAAATTTTTCTTTGTTATGTGTAAAATAAAAAAATGGATCTTGAATCAAATAAGGAATGGATGAAAAAGATTGGGTCAGCAGGGGTCAGTAGGTGATACAGTGAGCATATCGGAGGAATGAATTACTGAAACAATCACAGATAAAGCAGACAAATTGAAGTTAGCATGCACCTGTGCTAGTGAGTTGTGTAAGTAGGCATCGCTGGTTGAGGATTTATGTCTGTCATATTGCAAATGTTCCTTAGCATCCATCATAGCAAGGAGTTCATCACGCTCACGCATCAAAGCTACAGCATACATACACAAACATAAAAAAACACTGCATTGCAAAAAAAATCAAACGAAATAAAATAACGGCATGCACAATCATGACAATATCAAAAGCATACATACAGCAGTGCTGGTTTTTACAATTAAAGAAACTAAAATAATCAGAACTTATCATGCTGCCTTGAGCAAGTTGCAATAACAAAACTACAAAAAAACATTGTTCAATGAAACAAAGACAATATAGGCTTGAATTTTACCATGCTTTTCAAGTTGTGTCCGCCGGACTTGTTCCGATCGTGCTCGAAGTGTGGCAATGAGTGTCTCATTTTCAACACAAACCCTTAAAATAAAATCCAAACAGAGTATGTTCATTTAGACGCTACTTTGCTTCTCTCTCCACATCATTCATGTCTTATGTATACTTGGTATTTGCTGATGTTTTCATTAATAAAATTACAGGTTAGCTAAAGACCAATCCGGGCACGCAATCAATTCTATCACGAAGGCCCCCTTCAATGGCGAGGCGGAAGCATTGTGCTAGCTATTGTTCTGATAATCCATCACGGGGCAGCTGCTTTTTACAATAGCATGCACAGTGCTTTCTCCATTGAAGGGGGCCTCACGAGTGTACAGTGATGTTGTGCCTGAATTTGTCTAAGACTTAGTATTATGTTGAGATACAAACATTCAACACAAGGTCTTACCTGTTAAACCTATCAGCCCAGGTCTGCTGACTGAGCATTGCACATTCCTGACTTGTACTCAGATCAAACTGTAAGGAATTTACTTCCTATACAAACAAAAAATAAGACTGCATACATCAACACTCTCAAAAGTACATGTACAGATACAACAGATACGGTTGCACGTGATTCCATAGAGTCCTTATTTTCTATTCCTTTGGCTTGTTTTAAATTATTAACAAATTCCATGTCTTTTATATTGTGTAGCTCTTTTCCAATTTTGAATGCTTCATGGTTTGTATTCATCTTGTCTACATACATACAGGTTTCTGTCTAACACAAATTCCATCTATTTTTAGTGAGTTGGTAATGAAAAAGAGAAACTTTATCAAAGCAAACTGGTTGGGTACCAAAAACCATCTGCTTCTGTACTTAAATAATTTATTGAAACACCTTGGTTTATCTGTTTATAACTGGAATGAGATTGTCAATTAAAACGAAATCTGAAAATCGATGAAATGTTTGAAAGATACTCGTCTTTCTATACTGCTTATGTCTTCTCTCAGATTCAAAAAGTCTGATTTCAGATGAGAGTCTGAAAAGTCTCATGCCTGCTATATATTAATGTAATTGTCTTACGTGTTCCAGTGATTTCTTCATACTTCCTGCCTGCTGTACAGACTTTGTCTTCTCTTTGTTGATCATGACAGCCTGCAAGAAAATACACAAGCAGTAAGTAATCTATGATGAACATAGTTCAACATACGCAACAGTTAGAAACTTCACTGACTTCTGGAATGTTACCAGCTTGTCAAATTGTTATTTTTTTTAACAAAGCAGCAACAGAAAATGTGAAGCTCATGCAAAAGCAATAAGAAAAAAATTATATCACAAAATTTGACACATATCGGTTAATACACATTCTGTACACGTTTCACTTCATGCAACATTTACAACCAAAAAAGATACGTTACTTCATTCACTTTAAAAGGAAAAAAGTTGGGACAAATACATTTAAGGTGTACAATGTAGCATCAGAAAGTTTTGGAAGTGCTCAAAGCATTTGAAATTTAAACATAGTATTCTAAATTACACAACATGTACATGTAGCTATACCCCCATATATCCTGAAACCCTGCCCCCAAAAAGGTGTCAAACATGAAAAAAAAAACCAGTTTCACATGCTTGAGAACAATAAATGATCATGCAATGGCGCCACAAGAAAAACAAAAACACACAGAAATACCTAAAAGAAAATGTTTCAAACTCACATGTGCAAACTAAAGGCACATCAGAGGCATTCATTTGTAGATCAATGAATTAGAATGAGAAAACGTAACAGTAAACATATTAGGTGCATTACAATTTTCACGCGTGCACCCCTACATCACAAAACAAGCGAGTCCGTTGAATAATGTCCACATTCTTATAATCTTCAAGCAAACTTGAATCTTCCATACTCTATCACATCAAACAATATACTGCACACTTTCTATACATTTGTCACATGCACCTGTATTCACAGTACTTGGTGCATAATAGATTACTCCATAAATGATTAACTCAATCCAAAAATCAATTTTTGCACACATCTGTTGCTACCTCTGAAGTGTTCAAAATACACACTGATTTGTTTGGCCAACAACTTTGTTGCAATGCATGCACACTGTATACAAATGTAGTTTTTATGTGAGCATTTTACTGGCATTTTTGGTGGGAATGTGCTAAATTGAATTCTCACCTGTCAATTAATGTACATGTATTCAAGTATTTGTTCAATTTATGTTAATAACTGAAACAAACATAACCGATAATTTCTACGGACCTGACTTTGCAGTATTTTGATGGCTCTGTACTTGCTGTCAAGCTGTTTTCTTGCTGCCTCCAATTCACTCTGTAATACATTGACTTCCTGTTGAGAAAAATCAATTCAAACCATCGAAAATAAAGCAAAACAAAACTAAAGTTCATTTAAAGTTGACAAACACTGGTTTATCTATTCTATTGTTCTTTTGCAGAATGTCAAATAATGTCCTAATTATAATTTTTGATTTTGTACCTGCGTAGCTGCTTCAAGCTGAATGCATAAATCATTTTGATGTTCGCGAGTCCACATGCCATTTCCACCATCCCCAGATCCAGAACCTGACGGAAAAAAAATTGACGTTGAATATGTTTTGGTAATGTGTAATTAACTGACATTTTAACAAACATTTCATTCATATATTTATTTATTATTTTAACTGGGTAGCCCATTCAGCGGAATCCACTGGTCTCCCATGGGGCCCAGTAAAGAGAAGACAATGTGATGAAATTACAGTTTTTAGATGTGGGAGGAAAACCCAATAAGAATATTCTGAGGAGAACCCGCGGAATCAGACAGGGAATGACCACCCAATCCACATAGTGGCCCTGGCGGGATTCGAACCCGTGTGACAGTGGTGGAAGGTTGACTGCCCTGACATTGTACCAACAAGGTGATTAATTCATAAACCTGCACAAATTTACTTTTTTTTGTATATATATATTATTTTCTGTAATTATTAGATTTTATCAGAATTTCAGAATTTTTTTAATTTCTAAGTCACAAATTGTCATCAAGTGGCTCTCTGGTGCATTGGGTTTTTTTTTATCCTTCATTCAAGAATTATTTTTTTTCATCCAAATTTTTAATATAGAAAAGAATGTCAATGGTAAATGAATTATGAACCTTATTTAAATGATGGAATTGTGCACTGTATATCATTGATAATGTATTTTGTGTCTGATTGCCTTTTTGTCATTTACAATGGAATTGGGTCTGAATAACTAAGAAAAAGAGTGAGTGCATATTCACACAGAAACAAAAGAAATTCTTTACTTGTGTGTTCCTTTGTTCCATGGGCACTGAAGTGTGTGTGGATAAGTGTATTACTGTGTGGCAATGTAAACCCATTCTGTGGCTGCCTGCACGATTAAATCACCAGTCACACATACATGTACACCACTCCCTGCTAAGTGCTAGTACTATCACAGTCAGCACAACTCAATTGAACACTCTTCCAAGTACTTGTACAGCATCTTGAAATATCAGACGGGAAATTGATGAATGAATCAAAGGTGTGTGTTTCCAGTATCTTCCATCATTTCTGTGGTGCAATTTGAGCCGGTGAGTGATTGCAACCAAGATAATGACCCGTGGCTAGTACAAGCTTGTAAGAACCATTTTCCTTTCTTTTATTAACCAAATAATTAACTTGAAGCTTATGTCATGATATTGCATGGAGTTTTTGGAATGTTAAAATATTTTAATGATTCTTTTCAGCCAGTATTTATTGGTGGTTCATTTTTTTGGTGGCTGTTGTTGTTGACATCAGCTGCCTTGGGCCCAAACTATAGTTAGGATGCATTGAGACGATGCAGTGTAATATGGCAGCCCTATGTACAATATAAATACATTGTACTTTAGACTGTATGTGTGTTTGCATAATGAACAGCGCCCCTATGTGTCCAATGATTGATTAGGTCCGGCAACTTAACAAATCCCCACCCAAAAGCAATTTTTTTGTCTGCTTCAGACATGATCAAATATCAAACTGTAGAACAGTCTGTATTTCACAGCCAGAAATAAAGGATCAGAAATTACTCACTACGCACAAATATTAGACATATTATAAAAGTAAACTGTAAATGAAATTAAGACATTTGATGATTCGTACCACTGTTTGCTAGGAAATGCCTCAGAGTTGCACTCCTCAACATAAATGCTCTTAAACCTTCCAAGAAACCAGTCCTGCTCCTCGGCCTAGGATGATGGTTGCCATGGAAACACTCATCGCTCTGCTCAGCTTGTGCTTGTTGATGATTGTGAACGCCGTCTGGGCTAATTTGTGGTGCTGAATGACGTCTTAAAGTTGTAAATTCTTCTCCATCCACAGAGAAAATTCTATTAAGTGACTGTAAGCCCAGGCCTAGGCCCAGATCACGAACACCATCACCACCAGCGAACACGTCTACGTCTGCCTCCCCGGCCCCTGGCACATAAGACACGGCACCAGGCTTCAGTCCATGACCAAAACCTAGGTCCCCGTCGGTAAAACTGTGAACATCGTCAGCTTGCGATTCAGACTCATCCGGATCTAAAGATACACCAGAGCTTAATCGTTTCTTCGTTGCCATGTTAATCCATTAGTTATTAGCATTTGTTATCATTTTATAATGACGCATTTTAAGTAGTTTTCTGTTACATTTTACAACGTAAACGTACGGGAGATGGAAAGCCGTGCAACACCGAAGTCGGCTTCCGCGAGATGAAATCAAGGTAAAATAGTACGCTACTAAAAATGAAGTATTTCAATATTTTTTGTTAAAATATGATGAAAAATTATTTACATCTATTAAAATCGTATAAATTTTTGAAGAAAACTGTGAATTTGTGTCAACAAAACTCGATAAAAATTGGCGAAGTGATATAAAAATTGGTCTTGTTCAAAACACTTATTTTATAATTCTGAATTTATTATTTTAAAATAACTTAAAATAGCCTGATTGAGTTTAAAATAATTCAAATTTACATTTTTTATTTTCAAAATTTCATAATTTAGTTTAATAACAGTATGGTGTCCAAAATATGTCAATACATTTTGTAAATTTGATACTTCAATCTAGATACCTGACGTCTTTGAACACAAATGGGCGAGTGAGAAACGTATCACCAGACTACATGTGAGTTTGCTCTTCACTCGCCGATTTGCGCTTCACCGCTGGGCACACAGACCTTTCAATCCTCGTAAAAAGTTATTCAAGATGACAAGTGGAAGTTCTAGTGCATTTCTACGAAGTGCTTTGCAAAATGGAATTGGTCGCTATGTTTGTCAGTTGCAGAGATTGACCTTGCAGTTCAGTAAGACGGCTGGAAGTGCCAAAGGAGTTAGGTACGTAATCTGTGGCGGAGCGGCGATATGCACTACGGAACCGGTAGGCCTACCGGTTCCCGATTAGGCTGCGGAACCGGTGTAGCATGAATTTAGGTTTTATGAAATACGGACTCATTGGTGGTATTGCACATGCTCATGCATAGATAACTAGGAGGGGACCGGTCACGTGAGAGGGTTTAACCAATAAAAGGGAAAAAGAGTCAGATTTTCATAGTCATACGGGTCCGATTTTCATATGACACCGGCAGTGGCAGCAATAATGCGCGTACGTCAGTCGTTGGGAATTCGTTCTCGGACTATACTTCCTTGAAGTTGAAAGAAACTTCTCCAAAGCCAGTAAGCAAATTTTGCAACCTGACGCCACTTCAGCGGTTGTGTTGACAAGTCTATGGAGAGTCAAAAACAATTTCTAAGTATTTCCGAACAAAATTGGAAATGTTTCTCAGTCCCAGATTCATGTCTTATCATAATTTTTTGCAATGACTGATCTTCATTGAGATGATATATGAAGAAAAAAGTGGCGTCAAGTTGCAACATATTTTTGGGAAAGATTCCCATATCTGGCCATCACTTGTCAGCCTGTGCACAAAAGTGTTTTCTCACTAAATACTTCAATATTTTCCCTGCTAAAGTTGACTTTTTAGGACATTTGTTTTCATTTTCTGATGGCTGATAGGTCACTGAATGGAAACATTAGTGATGGCCAGATATGGGAATCTTTCCAACATTTCATTTAATTGATTGAGAAGTCATGGAAGTAGGACTTGACGTTTGACCTTTAAACATGACTCAAGGATATTTCTCTGTTGTTATGAAGTGGTATTAAAAATGAAAAAAATGGGTTGATTATGGAGACGCATAATTTATTTAATAATTGTTTTAATTACTAAAACTAAAGGGGCATTTCTTTTTCTTTTCTGATTACAGGGATTTTGTGGAGCAAGATATTGTTGGATTTGCAGAAAAGAACCCACAAGTTGTATTGTATGTCACACCGCACACCAAGTACACTTTTCCAAAAGTAGTAGCCGAGTTCTGTAAGTACATCATTGAAAGTGTTCTTGATAAAATGTTTTGAATGTATCTCTTAATCTCTTTGCACTCTTATTTGTACCTGTACACACTATACTAAACTTTAATTTAAGCAATTTCAATTGGTTCCATTTTTATTGCAGTAAATGGCACAAGGAGGAAAGTTGACTTGAGCAACCTCTCCAGAGAAGACATCATCAAGGAGGTGGAACTTCTACGAACCCAGTCAGGAGTGGACATTGAGCGCATTCGTAAACAGTGGCATACTGACAGTCCTAGCGTTCAGGGGTACTGGCATCCCTTCTACAATAAACCGACCCAGTTGAATCAGGAAACCTTCCCGACTGCGAATCCGACACACAGTGAAGTCAGGATGCCGCGGTTACCTAAACTGACGCAGGAGCTTATCGGTGAATTGAAAGAACTCAAGGACAAAGGAAAATATGAGAATTCATGAGAGGAAAGTTGGTTAGCGACTTCAAACAAGTTGTTGGTGCCATTTTGACGCTTCAGATGCACAGATGACTTGAAGGATGGTCCAAGAGTGCACACAATTTTGTTCAACAGACTTGTCCATTAGCTCTGCCCACTAGTGGTGTGCATTTACAGGTAGTACCATATTGAAGTAAACACTGAAGACGACCAAAAAAAATAACCTGGGCAAGTTGTCAGGAAATCTGGTTCTTAACAAAGGTTGACAGTGTGAATATTGGCGATGCCTGAAGGCTTTATAGCTTTCCAGTTTTAACTCTAACCTTAAGAGGTGTTATCTGTTACGTGTTAAAATGCAGAAAAACATGAAATTTGTTTTGGTTTTCCATGTAGCCTGGTACCCTGGTTTTCATTGTGAAAGAAGGGGACATCCACTTGAACTGTTAAAGACAAAGATTTTTTTTTTTTGCTTCTCAAATCCGCTGGTTCCAGTGTGTATAACTGCAACATTTCATGACGTGGTACTCATGATACTCGGCCTTACAAAACGGAACTTGCACTCGTTAATACCTTTCTTCTGTACCATAAAAGTCTGGTGTTTATTAAATAAATTCAACCAAATAGCAATTTACAAATACATGTTGTTTGTCAATGTTTATATACGATGTTTAAATTACACCAACTTGCAAGCTTCAAGGGGAATATTACTGTTTCAGTGAAAAACAGAATTCACATGTATTCATGTTCATAAGATTGAGAAATCCTATATTTTTCTTCAATCCTCTATGCAATAGAACCTTAATTATTATATACTGAAGGTACTCAAATCATAAAGAGAATTGGACTGATACTTGTGTTGTTACAGGGGAAATATTTAGGAAGCCTGTACAAAACCGTCCTTTTGCAGTTTTTGTATGTACATGTACACGTACACTGGAACAACTTTACAAGGTCCTAAGGAGTTTACAAATTACCTTGTTATAAACAGGCACCTTGTATTACCAGTAATGGAACACAAAGACTTGGGACCTAACATTTCGTTTGTTATAAGCAGGATGTCGTATTAACAGTGCTCTTCTTATCAGAGTTTGACTGTATTACATGTTTGCAAAATAACCCTGTAAAACAGATCTGGGTAAAAGCCAATCCAGTTGAAATACAGCGCCTAACCTTCAATATAATCTGTCCACGATTCAAATTACACATGTAGTTAAAATGTATCCCACACAACTGAATGAAGTCCTAGTCCTTGCACAAGGCAACAACTACTTTATTTTAATCTAAGACTTGATAAATCTTTGTACCTCAAGTTCCTCATACAGCAAGGATTTCTCGAGCAATCTTTCGGCCCCAGCAAAGAGTCGGTTGTAAAGGGAAATCACTTAACTAATTGTAAAAATGAATTAGCCAGAGGGACAGTGCAAGAGAATCTTTAGCCTATCTGTTAACACCTTGTCCATTTCTTCGCTTCAGTCTCGTCTCTTCAATTGTCCGACATTTCTTTCCACCGCTCCCCAAGTTCTTAGTAGCTGGATGCTTTGCTTTCTTCCTCGGTGTTTGTTCATCTGTCCTACCACCTTTCCTCTTCAGATCTCTGACTGAAGGTTTAAGATCTGAGTTCAGAGCTAGGGGCGATTTGTCATCCTTTGTGACAAGATACCTATGTATGTCATTTACGTCTGGTGTGGAAATCAGTGTCCTATTGACCAGCTCATCAAAGTCCTTCTGAACATAGTCTGAATCGGGCTCCTTCATCACAACCTGAAAATAAAAATAAAACCCCATCTGCATAATATTATACCGTTTTAACAAAAAAACTTTGGGCGTGATCCCTGGCTACATGGCATATACAGGTTCATCATGGCTTCTGACTAGCGCCCCTTGAACAAAGACATTGACAAAATGGGGAACCGCCAACATAGGGCTGGGTAGCTCAGTTGGTAGAGCACCGGAACAGCAATCCGGAGGTCGCAGGTTCAAACCCCACTCCAGTCATTTCCTTTATTCAACTTTGAAAATTATTAGCTTCCCTTTGTGGTTTACTTTAAAAAAAAAAATTTAAAAAAAATTCAAGAGCTTAGTGTAGTTTTAAGTGCCTTGAGTTTCACGTTGTACTTTTTTGGGGGTTTTGAGTTGCTATTCTGATGCAGAATCGAGTGGATATAAATTGGATCAAAAACATCAGACATCAAACTGATTCAAGTCTGCCCTTCCAATGGCCTTGGTTTTACCACCTTACTGTGGTGTTTCCACCAACATTTAGTCACCTACTAGTGACAGATTAACCCAAACAGGCCTGCCTTTCCCTCTCCAATGTCCCAGTGTCGTCTGCAGAATAAACCCACATTATAATCATGATTTCTTACCACGGTTTTCTTCTTGCCTCTTCTGGTATCAATGGGAGGATTGAAGATCATCTGGTCTGGGCTGAACTCCTTCAAGGTCTTCTGGGCTGACCTACGACAGAATATAACCAAGAAGAATTTGTCATGCGATTCTTTCCAATATCTGTAGCTTCCTGTGCATGTAAATATCTGCCTGGTTACCAAATGAACCTAACAAAAGCCATGCTTGTACCATTTTGTGGGTAAAACTAATGGACATGGGCATTGCCAGGATGTTTCCTGGGGGGGGGGGGGGCAAACCACTCAAAAGTAGCAAAGTTACAAACCATCGGTATGGAAGGGCTCAATTCAAAACTGGCAATTGTCTTTCCCTGTTCCCCCCTTTTTTTCGTTTTTCCTTTTCTTTTTTCAAGTCGGTAAACTTGAGTAAATACAACAAAGAGTCAACCCACTCAAAACAGCTCTTCATTCTTCAAAAAGGCTAATACACTTACAAAGTCTTGATAATTTAAATTTCTTCGTTTTCTAATCAGAGAATGACGACTTACAATCTGGAGATATTAACAGGCAGTGCTCCAATTCCAGTCAGTGGGTTACCCTTGGTTATATGCTGAGCGTACTCTCTGACTGTGGGATGATAATGCCTCTGAAATGGGACAAACATACAGATACAGATTTCACAATAAAGAATCTGAGTTTCTACGAGAATGACAAGTCAACAACACACAATGCACCAAATTACAAACCTGTACTCTCCAAAGCCAAGAATGATCATTTGAACATTTTGATGATTTTGACATTTCATTAAAAAATGTGGATATCACATAATTGTTAGATGTGTGACGGATCATCAACACAAATGCTTCAGTGCAGAAGAGAAACTACAACTTGATTAAAAATTTTAATATTTTTCTGATTACATTTTTTCTTACACAGACACTGCCATGCACATAAAAATAAGTTTCTAAGGGTCACTGAATAAAATGTTATCCTCAAACAAACAAATGTGATTTATAACAGAACTTTCTCAGCATTTAACCAGCTCAAAATTGAAAACATGAATGTGAATAAATCGTACTTCTTACTACACGAAGTTACAAAGATTGGCCAACTACATGTTACCACATACCTTGAGTAGATGAAGTTCCCACAATGCAGTGCTCTGTGCATTGCAGTGCTCTGCCTCGGGTAACTCTGGTAAGAATCTACCACTCCCAAAACTTTCACTGTCAAGGAGCAAGTCACTCTTAGGGTACCACTGCAAAGGGGACGTCAAATAAAGTTATTACATATCATAAACGACAAAGAAATACTGACTTCTGGCTTTCTTTAATTAATGTTTGGTTGGAAAAAAAAAGGAATCAACAGAGAGGTTCAGAAATGCGTACGGTGAGGCGTATTGGAAGCTACATGTATGCGTTCCCGTTTGTGTACAGACATGTCATAGAATCCGTGTATGTGGACCTCTTTAAAAAACTTATGTTTTATGAGATAATTTGACCTCATTATCAGTCCATTTCTTTATTCGAACTACTATCGATTATAATCACTTTATTAGGATCACAGGTAAACATTGTCAGCAAATGGGGCAACAATTTCTTCTTATTCTCAGAAAGACCATATTTCAGACCAATTTTTGATACTTCTCCAAACTTTCACACTTTTGTGTCCTAGGCTGATCCCCAACTTTGGTCACTTTTAGAGTTTAGTTTGATTCACCTTCAAATAACTTTACCTTCATGATATTGCGTATCGCACAGCCGTATCCCAGAATTCCATTGGGCATCATCTGTAGCGCGAGTGTAGCGAGACGTTTCAGAAAAGCCAAGACTCGTTGGAACGTGACTTGTTTGTGCCGCTTTGTGATCATCGCATCGATGCAATCAAGGATCAATCTGGCGTCCGCACTGCTATCACCTACAATTCCAAATATACGATAGAAAGACGACTTGTAATTGAGTTAGTTACAAAGTCATCCAATCCCAAATCATTATCTCAATTAACCTGTGGTAACTCATTTAAAATGAATAGATGTTTAATCCTCCTACTGTTTAAAAGATCACAAGCGGTCAAAGTTTCCTTCCACTTCCCCTGGTATACTTTTAACAAACCAATGCTTGCATAGGAAGGTTAATCCAATGATTCCACTTACCCGCATGCACCTGAGGCATTGTTACGTAGAGCAATGTGTAGAACTTGGTTGGGTCAATGTTAAGGACATCGCCCTGTCCAGACAGAATCAGGAACGCTGTCAAAACGCAGTGAAGACTGTCTCGGTACCTCAAATCCTACAAAACAATGTAAAGAAAAACAAAAAGTCTAGCAGTGAGCATATCGTCTTGAGAGTCATCTTTCTGTCAGATGTTTTAGCAATCCGTGCTGAAAAAATCAGTAAGCATAAAGAGAGAGTCTTTCAACTTACCCCAGAGTCTATGAGCGTGTACAAGACCTTGACCAAATCATCAAAGAAATCAATGTTGATGAGATGAGCAAACTTGGACAGTCCTTCCAAGACTGACGACAGCAGGACAGAGTTACTGGCTTTCTTGAGGATGCGGAAGTAGGTTGCAAATACCGACTGAATGATCTCTGTGTGCTGGTGAATGAAAAATAAAAAGCGGTTAAAAACGTTACTGGTTATCATAGATGATCATAGTCATGTGTGGGCAATTCCAACATCACAAACATTGCAATCAGATTGTTTTTCTGTATTCTAAGAGCTCAGCTAATAAACCTGAAAATGTACTTTTCAAATCTTTTGCATCCATCATCTAGTTGGTGGTCAAGGAGATTACAGACTAGGAGTTTCGGATCATTTCTCTGAATCATTAATTAGATATCATGGTTAATTGGCTGTTACGGACATTACATTTTCTTTCGTAGCGCTGGAATTGTTTGCATCGGATGTTGGGTAGAACTTACCAGTTTTTTCCTTTTGTTTTTGTTCTCCGATGCCTCGGTTGCCTGTAGTTCTTTCTCAACCTCTGCAAGACGTTTTTGATGCTGAAAATAAGTGAATAAACACAATGCAATACAATGTAGTACAGGTGCTAATGGGTTAATCGGTGTTTGAACTATCAATATAAAACTTGAACTGTATTAGTATCATAAAACTTTCATTTTGTAGCATAGAGACTTGTTACTTGATACTTCATCATTTCTATCACCCATGCATACATTCCATTCCGCTGATTTTCAGAACTAAAAGCTCCAACGACTGCAGTTATCTTGATGGATCTTTGATTGACCAACCTTCTTTTGTGACCTAGACATCTTTTTCAGTTTCTCTTTCTTCTCAATGAGTTTTTTCTTCTTGTCCTCTTCTTCAGGTAAAGTCACTTCTTTGATCTTGAGCGACAGGAACGTGTTGAGAACCTAGCAGCGAAAACAATATTTTATAATGTGACAGTCAATCCACAAAATCTTAATTGTGTAATTACATAGATCTATAAACCCTCCTTTTGTTTGATCAGTCACAGACAGTCAAAAATTCAATCTTGTTCCCCTGCCATGCCTTTTACACAGGCTAGTCACCAACAGGCTGTTCATATTTCAATAGGCACTGTGACTAGTCAGATTCCATCAACAGACAAAAAGCAGGCGACTGGTAGGCGCAGCTGGCTTATCAATCACCTACAGTCAAAACATAGCTATATAAGGTTTCATAACAATCACAGCCAGTCAATCCTGCGTTATGGAGGCAGGGAGCACTCAACTGTTACAAGCAGTCACTTGATTTATTTTGACTGCTGGGCCGGCCTTGTTGAAATTGCCAGCCAGAGAAGGGGGGGGGGGTTAATGTATAAACACTCTTTCGAAAATATCGTTAAAATGTTTAGATTTCATATTTTGGAATTTTTGTACTCTGACAGTTATGCAAGCAAAAAATATCAACATATATCCTCTACAACAACATATACACCTTTAAATATACAAATCCTACTTTTTTACACCGTGATTAATTCCATTAAAAAAAACAAACCTAATGCCAATAATGAAGTACATTGGAAAAGGAAAAGTAGCTTGAGTACAGTATGCATACCTTAGGAGATACGCTGTAATTGTGACTGCGAATCAGTCGGCTGATGAAGCGAACTGCATCCAAGACTGCTTCTCCTACATGATCGGTCTTGAACAGCGTACGAACGTTTAGACAACAGGTGTTGCAGATCTGTCAAAATGGAAGAAAAAGTACAATCAGTTCATGAGCTGATCCTGAATGTACTCCAAGACATTTAAAGAAGTATTCCTGTGATATTTTCAAATTTAATTCCCCCCCCCCCAAAAAAAAAACATATTCTAAACTGACATTTTATTTAGCGATAGCCAACTTACTTCTTCATGTTCACTCGTCATTAATGACACAACCACGTTAATGATATTGGTGCGATAGTTGAAATGATGTAAGCTCGTCATGAGGCTGCACAGACATCGTGCTGCAACCTCCGCAAGACTCCGTTTGGCACTCTCCGGGAGGTCAAAGGTCGACTTGCCCTGTTCTTTCTCTCGTTGGATTTGCTTCTTTGATTTCTTGTGGCCTGTTTCAAGACAGAAAGTTGGAATTCTCTCAACCAGTGCAAAACCTAATAAGGAACAAATTACTACAATCCTTTTCTTGTCTAATTTTAAAGGGCATTTAGCCCTTTAAATATCTCCTGGTTGTAAGCTATCAGTTTTTGAGTTCTGAAAGATTCATGACTTTCGTTAAAGGTAGAGTAGATCATTTGCAGCTATCCAAAAAAGTTACTGACCAAATTATTGTTAAAAAGCTTACTTTTTAGCTGAAAGATGGTTATGGCACTAAACCTTGTGAAATTGTTCCTTCTGGCATGCTGTCATTTTGGGGGGAAAAAAAACAATAAAAGAAGATCATTTCCAAAGATGAGTCAAGTGACCCATTTTTGGAATTTTCCGTTAGTATTTGGTTTGTAATTGCAAATGATCTACTGCACCTTTAAAGATGCAAGACTTGGAACATTTTCCTGGTAACACCATGGCTATAATCTGTCTCAAATCATATTTCTGAAGTTACAGCTTTGTCCAGAAATTTTGGAATATGTAACAGTTAACAGATAACAGCAGACTAGCGAACTAGTTTCAAAAAAATGACACATTGTTAGTCCCGTCTTGGAATGAAACACAGTGATTCCATCTTGGCAAATCTGCATGTGTTCTCGGAGAATACATCACTAGTTTACCAGACAAACTTCTTGTGCGATTACACATCAAAACATGTAGTTAGTACCTCTGCAAGCTTTCTCCAAGAACGACAGGTATGCTTTGTATTGTTTCAACAACCCCTCTTCAAAATCTCGCTTCTTCTTGACGTCTCTGCTTAGCTGTGGAGAAAAGAACCGTATAACTGTTAAAGTCTGTTGAAGGGGTTTAATAGATACGGTGACCATTAATACTGCTACAGCTTGTGTAGCAGCCATTTTAAGGGGTGATGCCTTTGTTTGGCTGGAATGCATGAGTGAACCTTTTGTGCCTTCATTGTTACTGAGCTAAACCCATCATTGACAGGCACTCACCAGCGCTGACCCACCACATCTATCAATGTCAGTCAAGGCATGGTCCCCTCAGTTAACATACCTACCACAGCCTGTCAATTGTACCAATATGAGGCCAGTTTGACAGGCACTCACCAGTGCTGACCCACCACATCTATCAATGTCAGTCAAGGCATGGTACCCTCAGTTAACAAAACTACCACAGCCTGTCAATTGTACCAATATGAGCCCAGTTTACAGAACTGTTAAAACCTGTCACCTGATAGATTCTGACATATAGGGTTACTCTCTCCAGTTGTCACTGACAGAGGGAGGGTCCATTCATAACGATCAAAAGAATTTGATTCCTTGAAAGTCTGGAACACAAGAAAAAAAATGGGAGTTTTGGTGCGCTACTCATTACCTCCACAGCTTTGGCCTTTTCTCCCCATTCACGTATGCGATATCCAGGGGAAATATCCTTGAAGACTTCAACCAATGACACCATGACAAGCTTCTGAACGGTCACGACGACATCGCGTTCCTTCTCCTCAAGCATCATTCGTAGATCCTTCAATTTATTGATCTGATAAAGGCACAAATAACACAGTCATTTTATGAACTTATTCAGACAAACAGTTTAGTTAGACGCAACTCAGCAAATGCCATTCTAAAATGGGCATTATGGTTACATATATCTCACTACAAATTACTATGATCGTAATACTCACGTTTCTTTCGGGGTCAGTCAGTACAGCGTGGGACAGATTAGCGATCCTTTGCTTTCTCAGTGTCAGCTTCCTTTCCCTCAGTGTGAATAGCTCCACGGTGCTCAGCGCTGGTAGTGCTGGCTTCTCTTCTTCAACATCTGCAAAAAGTTAATTGGAAGTAGAGAAAAAAATGTTATGAACCCTGCATAAATGTTGTTTGACATTGCAAGTCGATCACAACTCATCCAGTCCCAACAAGCCAAATTGGTGTTCCAACTGTGAATGTGCATACACGATTCGACAATTTTATATTTGGGGATAAACACAGCAGATAAACGCACCCGAGTCTGGGGGGGGGGGGTGGTACCGAATCTGCATTCTGCAATTTTCATGCAATCACAAAGATGATAGAAAGTTTTGTTCTCACAAATGTTGGGGCATACAAAACACCTAAAAGCCTTTTGCTGTTTAAAGTTTATGAGAATTTTTGTAATTTCAGAACAAGACTTCTTTAAATTTGCTTTTACTCAGTATGATTTTACACGCATACAGTGAATTATTGATCCCAAAAGAACATGGTCAAAGCTTGATGGGCACATGCACAGCTGGAATACTGAACTGGCTTCATTCAATCAGAAATGAACTGCAAGAAAGGCATTCCTTTGTTACTGTTCATCCCCTGTTACTTGTGACCTGACGTTTGACTTGACTTGTGATTAACTTGTGACGGACTTAACCACAATACTGCACAACTTGTGTCTTTACCTTGATGTGTCTCTTCATCTTCATCTTCGACCTCTTCTGTCGCTTCTTTTCTCTCCTCTTCGTTCTTTCGTTCCTCCCACCTGAACTCAAAACCCTTGGCATGTTTGATGGGTAACAACTGTTTCATCTTCCGCTGTGGATCTGTTGCTGCAACAGGGATGGACCTGGGCTCCATCTCGTATGGCTGCAGTTTGTTGTCGGCATCGTCTTTCTTTCTCTTGCTGCTCTTCTGTGAAGTTGGAAGTTCACTGAAAAATAAAAGGTAAATACATAGAGCCTCTGCAGTCAGCAGACATCTTAAACATGTGTTTCGTTATTACCTGTGTATCCTTGTACACATAGAACAAAAGCTGGCACCTCATAGCTAGCCGCAATGCAAACCATCTATTAGCTTTAATACAAGCAATTTATTGTTTCTTTGGCAATGACTAAAGACACACTGTAGCTGCCCACCATTCACCAAGTTGGTCTCATACATTTTTTGGAATTCCTTTATACTCCTAAGATGATTCAAGAGAAATTCAAAACATAACTTTTAAATGTTGATCATTTCTCCAAAGTATATCTCACCTGTCGTCAACACTAGAGAGGAAGTTTTCCCCAAATCCCATTGTCTGGATGTATTCCAGATCTTCTCCAGTGAAATCTTCTGTCGCATCTTCTTCTTCGTCTTCTTCTTCTTCTTCCACATCTTCTTCTGGTTCTTTCTCCTTTGGATTCTTTGATATCTCAGCATCCTCTCCTTTCAGTTGTCTGGCGTTCTTCTTGGGTTTCTTCTCCTTGATAACACCAGCTTTAACTCCTGCGGCGTGACTGGCTCTGTTCCAGAATCCTCGCGGGGGTTTCTTCCCAGAGCCACTCTTAGAGCTTTTACCGACAGTCTTGCCATGCTTTGTAGTTGATGACTTGCTGGAGCGTATGTTAGACAGTTTTGTGACACTGACTTTCTTCTTATGCACACTCTTGCCAGCATTTCCTCTTTTCTAGAATTAAAATTTAAAAAATTTAAAAATGAAACAACGGTTTAAGCCACACAAAAAAATTCTGCTCCCGATTACATGGCATTTGAAAAAAGGTAGGTAGGTAGGGTTTTTTTTTTTTGGGGGGGGGTACTTTTTTTGGTGTTGATCATATGTAGGGGTAAAAAGGTAGTAATTGATGGTTTGGGTTTTTTTTCCTCATTCCCCTGCCCCTAAACCCCCAAACCCTCCCAAAAAAATTAGGGTAGCGGCTGTCAAAATACGGTAGGTAGGGTACCTGGAAGTAGAATTATCTCCTTTTTTTACCTTACTAGTAATAATGTAATGTTACTTTCACATTACCCACTCGATGATAGGTTGATGAAGAATTAATTTGCATATAATCGTGAATAAAGTTAACTGCATTAACATGCAGGGGTCTACATTTCATGTAGTACATGAATTGGAAAACCAACTAAGGACATGAAGGAAGTCTTAGTTGAAAGTAAAACGTAAAGCTTGCAAACTTTTGATGTTGAAAAGTAGGCCATATTTAGTAACAAAACCAATCAAAACTTTATTGAACCAAACCAAACTAGAAAAAAGAAGACCCCCCTTCCAGCCCCCCCCCCCCAAAAAAAATAAGGCGTCCTCATCAAACTTTGTTGGACCTCTTGTTTCTGTCTGATTTAAGTGATGTTTGTTCCTTTGATATTGCATGAGTGGGGCATTTGCTAAAGTTTTATTAGTTTACTGAATTAAACAACCGCTCTCTCTGTAGTGTGAGGGCGCACTAGCAGTAGCAGCAGCAACCGGTACGTTACCCGACACTGCTGCATGCAGTGCAAAGGCCATGAAGGCAGGGCGAGTATCGCGGGCTACCTACAAATAAAAAAAACTTCTTTGGTCTGTTCTAACACGTGAAACTTAATTTTGCATATGAACAACATCTGCCATTGTTCTTAGCCTTTTTCGTGTTAAAACTCCTCAAGATAATCCGATCGGATTGCACGTGCACGGCACTCACCTTCGCCATTTCACCTGTTACAATAAGTCGGGTTCGCTAAAACTTGTTCATGTATTAGGCATAGATGTCGTCAGGGTTTCAACTTTATGACCGTCTTGTTGAAAGCACGCCCTCTATCGATCTTCCTCAGAAAGCAAGTAAGGGAGAGCGCCCTCAGTAGCTAGCTAGCTTTGTAAAGTTCTGCTATCCTATTTTATTTATTTCATTTTTTATGGGTTATTAAAGCATTCCTACGGAGATCTTTTGAGTTTTTAGTGTGTAAAGAGATTTAGGTTCTTGAATTCTAGAGAGAGGTCCTGAACTTTTCAATAAAAACATTCAGAAGACACTACTGCACTGAAAGGTGCACCCTCACTGTACATGTACATCAAGTTTTTCTCAGCTCTACATCCAAACTTATGAACGTTGCTATGCTGAGTACCGCTGTAGAAGTAGAAGTACATGTAGAAGGAAAATAAATCATCTGTATATTTCTAAAAATACCTAATAAAAACATTCAGAAGACACTACAGGAACATTAATCATTATCATAATCAGATCATGGTCGTAGGATATTTAAAAATGTTAAACTGTTGATTTTTTTTAAATTTTATATTGAAATGCAAATGATTTCATTGTACTGAAAATAATGAAAAGATTTAATGAATAATGAAAGTTTTGTACACCCTCCCGGTAAAGTTGAACAGCGCCCTCAACAAAATGATTTTGCAGAACTGCACCACCGCTAAACTTGAATAGCGCCCTCAAGCCCTCGACGAAACGCACCAGTAAACTTGAATAGCGCCCTCAAGCCCTCAACGAAATGCTCAGGTAAACTTGAATAGCGCCCTCAACTTAAAAGGAATGAATAGAATGATTTTACACTTTAGATTCCAGTCAACGTAATAGACATTGTCCGTTGCAGTTGTCTCAGAGATTATTCTTTATAATAAGTATTAAGTAACAATGAATGCACAAAGCCTTAAAACATTGCCCTGTCTTTAGCCTTAACGCATAAGGTCTATAGCTAGCGCGCCTCTCAATATGTACGTTTACGGGGCCAAATAGAAATCATTGGAAAGGGGAGTGGTTGTTAAGGGTTGAGCTGGAAAAAAAAACTGTTAATTGATGGACTTTACAAATTTGAACTCACTTAAAAGTAAAATAGGAAATTCAGCCAGAAAAATACTTAATGATAAGAAATCAATGATATGAAAGCGCAGTACACATACCAAGCTTAACATTTGCCCAGTTTGTTGTAGTGACATGTTTATGGCATGAATAAAATAAGATAATACATTGTAATAATTTAACAACTCAATATATTTAGAAAAGGAACAAATGTCACAAAGTATTGTTGATGCCGTCGTGAAATGGCTGCCGTTGACGCTCAAACACCCAAAGCTAATTTGATTTTGCTACATCTAACCAAATAATTGAACCAAAAAGACGCATTTGCAGCCTTAGGCTAGCCCGGTCCCGTACCGTCCTTTCACTGGGCTAGGCTATGCCACCATGGTACCCGCACCCAATTTTGACGTTTATATCGTCATGTCAAAATTAATGATCGCAACTAAGATCATCTCAAATGAAGATGAACTAAGATCATCTTCATGGGCGGGGGAGGGGGGAAAGGGGCGCTTCCCCCCCCCCCCCGGAAAGCAACCAAAAAAAAAAAAAAAAAAGAGGGAAAAAAGGAGAAAGAGAGACGCGAAGTCTTGTTGCTGTTAATTTAATAAGGTGGGGGAGAGGGACAAAATAATTTTCCTGCCAACCCTCGAAAAATGATAAATCTACCTCCATGGTCCGACTGCTCAGTGGCCTAATATACGACATATATGGTGCATCGGCCAACCGGATTTAATTCCAGAATTGAATCACAGGCAATACAAAACCCAATTGTTATCCTAAATCGATCCATCTTGCAATGTCATTTTTCCGTGATCGATCGCGATATCTCCTCCGCGCACCCCCCCCCCCCCCCCCCCCCGCACCTGCATCTAGTCTCCGCCTCATACATTGGCATTGTATTTAGAATTGGGCGCGTAGGCCAGACTCGATAGTCAAGGAAGTAAAAAATGATTTCAGTACGTCATTCCATTCCATTCGATTCGCGTACACACTGCATATAGCGCGCGCATACTGATATTGCTGACTGGCGCTACAGAAAGGATGACATTTCGCACCGAAACTGACCCAATATTCTTACCAAAACAAACATGTTAGACCGAAATTTAATGGGATTTCTCTTCGCCAAGTCCAAGTTTAGGACACAGTCATGCTGTCGTCTGATTTTTATATGCCTAGTTTTGTGTTTAATGGTTGAACTATGTTGGTGTAGCTGTGACTGCTATCGTGGAGTTTGTAGCGAGAATGGTGCGTGTGAGTGCGACGAAGGCTGGACGGGCGATCGGTGTGATCACTGCGGCGGTAGAGCACGGTAAGAATCATCACGATGACTCCGCTGTAAAAAAATGACTCATTCGTGGGTTTCTCCTGTTTTTTAAGTAAGGTAAAAGTGAAAACATGAAAGGAGACTTTAGCGTTTGTACATTGACATTTAATATTTAGTCAAGTGTAACTTGAATATAGTTTTTGAAAAAATTTGGGGGGGGGGAATTTTTGTAGGCCTACTGTCTGTTGCTGTTGGAAAAAAGAAGGGGATGGAAAGAATGTTGCAACCAGACACTACTTAATCGGCGGTTGTGGGTCTATGGAGAGTCAAGACAATTTTTAAAATATTTCCAAACAAAATTGTTCAGTCCCAGATTCATGTTTTATCATCATTTTTGCAATGACTGACCTTCATTGAGATGATATATGAAGAAAAAAGCAGCGTCAGGTTGCAACATTCTTTCCAAAGAAATTTTGGAAATTGCTCTGAGTCTAAACATATTAGTTATTACCACAATTTAGTTCGGCAAAATATATCCACTTGTTTTGTTTCTGAAGAGAAGCCTGTAAAGGCAAAATTCTGGTTTCCGTACATGCATGATGTTTTAGGCCCTACTCAATATATTTTTTCTTGGCTTAACAAGGAAATAACCTCAAGTATCATACTGTATTTTTTCATTTGAATTGAATGAATTGTCGTGTTCGCCAACAAATTTTTGTCCATGCTCAATACAGTTGCAGATAACCCATGCACACGATGCAGTGTATAGTGTGCAGTCTGTATGATGACAGGCGTGACACACGACACGCGTGCTGAGCACGCCGTAAATGATGAATTGTACATGTGTACATGTACGAGCCTGCACGCACGTCGTGCGTAATCTGCAATTGTTGGGATCAGTCCTGTAATAAAGCCATGACTTACTTGCCCTTATGTTGAGTCTGTGTGAACATCATTGGTTTTAACAAATGATAGGGAGAATTTTTTATAAATGTACTACAAAATGATGTCTCTCAGACACAGAAACTCGGAACTTGGTTTGTTGCAGTGATAGTACATCGTGTACATGGGCATACAAGCATTAACAAGTGGAGGAAGTGCCAGTGCTAAGAACAGAAAATATGAGGGACTGGTTAACAGTATTATAACGCTTTATAAACAATATTATAATTATAATATTCACAAACAAATTATATTTACTGCCTTAATTTTTTGTTTTAGTTACTAGATGTTGTTGGTCCAATAATTCCATCCGCATGGTTTGCTTGCAATATTGCAGTATTCAAATGTTATTTCTTTAATTGGAGCCAGAGCACTCTCTTATATAATGTTACCAGTCAAACTGACAGTGTTGATATCACTTGAGGGAATGTGCTTGGCTGTTTAAAACAAGTACTTTAAAACCGGCTAGGGCCGGGGCCTGACGCTGATAATGACCCGAGCCCAATTATTCGCTACCAGGCCCCTAGCAGGTTTTTAAAAAAGTCAAAAATGCACAATTTTCCAATGATTTTATTCAACAATTTTACCTTGAGGTTTTGTGAAAAAAACCTATGTACACATGTATGCAGTAGGCCTATTATGACCAATGTATCCATTGTACCTGTTACACCGTTGCTCTATGATTACACTTTGTACACTTATTGATACACTCAAAGACTTCTTCCATGCCTTACTGAAAATACCCCGATACCCTTTTCATATTATAATATTTTGTCACAGTGCATTTGAAAATGAAATATGTTTTTTACATGTAGTTCATATGCCAATTTTTTAATTTTCTATTACTTGCATATTCCTAACTCATAATGTTATTTCTTACCCATTTTCTTGTATTGCATGTTTTTCCTGGATATCTTAAATGTGTAATGAAGGTCTGTGTGTTCAAATCAGAAACCAGTCTTTCTTCAAACCCTCACATACATAAATTTGTGTATCAATCGTTACAATAACCCTAACTCCCTAGGCCTTTTTGCTAGGATGTAGCCTCAATCCTGCAAAATCCTCCAATTGGCCTCAAGGAAAAATAGCATATAGCCTCAATCCTGCATATTCCTCCGTTATTTCTTGAATATGGTCCATGGAGGGGTGACCACTGTCTGAATCCTGCAAAATCCTCCGGCTATAACTGTCAATAGGCTGAGGCAGAGGCAGTGACATCCTGGAGCAGTGCGGAGGATGTCAAGTATAATCAAGGACTAAATTTATGCACGGCTGAGCATAAACAACACGAGGTCCGGCCCAAGACCTTGACACAGTGCGTACTCCGAAATCGGCAATGCACTTTTGCCATGTAACCTCAATCCTGCAAATTCCTCCAATTTGCAAAAAGGATTTTGGAGGATTCAGGGCGGTTGGGGGGGGGGGGGTAAACATTTGTTCAGTACATGTATGTAGATGTTTTTACCCTTTGAATTTTAAGCTAAGTCCTTAAATACTGCGTCAGTAACAAATACCTAAAATGTGTTGCAGTTATATTCCATGAAAATTCCACACCGTCTAAATGCTGTAATTTGGCAGTCGGTTAGAAATGTGTAAAAACAGACAATATTCTGTAGCCCTACTGAACAGGTGAGAACAGTGTAAATTTGCATTGTGAACAAATCACCAATCAAAAATCCAAGGCTACGGTACATAATTTGCACTTTCCATGTTGTGAACAGCCCTAGTGTATCTGCTACAGTACATGTCAGTGTGAAGATGCACTTTTCAAATTATCATAACTTAAAGGTCTCGTCTTTTTAACTCCCTGCATGTAATTATCATAATTTCTAGTAGTGCTGTGCATCAGAACCGGGTGCCAGATATTATTTAGTTACTTCTCAGACAGTGACAAAGAAAGTTTTTGAATGTCACTTGTGGGAAATTTGAAAAAGAAAAAAGGCCAGGTTACTTGAGGAAAACAAACGTGTTTCATTTATGACCATCACAAAAGTTGCAGTTTATACCTTATACATGTACATGTAGCTACGAAGCCCACCGTACACATGTACCTTGCACCTGCAGTATTGATGCACGATACATCATGCAGACCTTCATAAACAGTCTGAACTGTGAACAGCAACTTTCAAGATTTGAATTTTTGGGTTGGGTTTCTTGATGACAAAATTTAACAGGTACCAGGGTACCCATGTTTTTTCAATCGGGTACCTGGCTCCTGGACTACCCGTTTTTGCACACCCCTAATTTCTAGGTATAAGCATGATGAAGATATAGGATACGTACAGAAAAGCATGGTTATATCCACTAAGTAGAGCAGCCTACATACATACATACGCTTTGACATACGCACTGTACATACTACCTGCACTGAACATGGCATGACTTCAAGCATGATAGGCCGTAGGGAGTGTCCATACATAATACACAATGTACCTGTTCAAGTTGTTGACATAGAAATTAGGCAATGATTAACCCTGTAGTTTACTTAGTTGTATGGTGTCTATAGCGACATGGTACATGGTTGCACGATACGGTAGAGCAAGGTGCACTATATTAGCCTGTAGTTCAAAATATGTGTGACATCGTCTTTGAACATCTCTATTACATCTAACTCAGTCAACAGTGTAGGCCTATGTTTACTAGTCCTGTGATTTCAGGAAATTTTGCCATGGGAATTCAGAAAACAAAACAAACAGTGATTGCCATGAACGCAAACCCGACAAAATATTGCTGCTTTGAGTAATTTTTTTCTTTTTTTCCCCTATTAATATTGACATTTTCAAGCTGGCAATGATTTGCCCTCTGTATGCTGCATTAATTTTTCAATTTTCGTTTTTATTTACTTTCAAAGATTCGGGACCTTGCCCGTACTACAGACTGTCATCTGTAGTTGTATGTCAAATCCTGCCATTGTTTCTGTCTATAAGTTACTGTACATCAAATTATGATGTTATTTTTTTTTCTATTTTGCGTAAATTTAATCTTACAAGTATGAATATTGCGAACAAATCAATATGTTTCAAGGAATAGGCCTACCTTTTCAAGGTCAGTGAGAATGATTGGGCAAATGGCACATGTCTATTGTGACTTTGGAATAACATTTAGTTAGAGTACGCTTTTTCCCAACTGAAGTTGCCAGCAGTTGTATGCTCTGGATATGTACATGAACATGTACTACCTTTGTATCAATATCCACTCCCTGCCACTTCCAGTCAAACACTGATTGATCTTGTGCAGTCAGGCTGACTTCATCCACCATTCTAATCCTGAACAAATCTAATACACTCACTCCAAGTAATTAAATACAAACACTTCACCTTGCAAAATAAACTGGGGCTGTGAATATATGCTACACGCTTGATGCATAATAAGGGAAGGGGGAGGGGGTTACATGTAGGTACAATGTACACAGACGGCATGCCAAGATGCCTCTATTTGCATTTTGTAAAAAGTCTTCACCTTGGGGTGTCGTGGAGAGGAAGTCTCTTAGAATGCCAAGCTCCCGTCTTTACACTCTTAATTGCGCTGATAATGCATTTGAAGTGATTATACTGTAACAGGACATCCTTTTTATTACACAGTTTGAGATGCATGGTATATTGCCAGCATGATGCATGTGTCCAGAAAACGGAATCACTAGTTTTTAAAGAGAATTTAGCTACATTCGTAGCTTGAATCAAACGCTGATTTTCACACATACATGTAGATATGGCCTCTGCACGTGAACAAGAAAGGGCATTTATTTACTTACTGGTTCGCGCATGACTTATTTTAGTCTGAGCGTGCAAAACGCTATTGTGGCTTAGCGTGAACATCAGGCGTTGTCAGCAATACATTCGAATGTCTCTCCCAGTGGTCTCCCCAACTCTCACTTTCTTGCCGTTGAGGGGGTACTTGTGAACGGAGCCCATAAAACTTGAGTAATGAAATTTAATCGTTTACATTCTAGTTGATAATATTAATATTAATATTAATATTATTTGATTTTTTTTAAAGCAAATTTTGTATGAAAAGTGGCAGAAAATTTGACAATCGATTTTAAGCATTGAAACTATTAATGCTTGTCACAAATGGAAAATTGTAGTTCATGAAATAAAGATTCACGAACCATTGGCTTTGGTACAAATACACACATCTCACATACAGACAAAACAAATGTATGTTTACCATAACCTGATCAGGATTTTTTGTTTTTGGCCAAAATTGGGACCTCAAGATTGTCATTGCCACATTTAGCCAAAAATATAAAATAAAGTATATTTTGAATATATATATGAAAAAATAATCTTCCCCGTAGGAGTTTTTGTGTGCCATTGGTTAATATTAACTGGTCAATCAACATGATCAAAGAGAAAAACGTTAAAGATATCCTAAAGTAAACAAAGTAAGACCGACTAATAAAACATTAACAACAACAAAGTTACAAAATAAAATATTTTCCTACCTACCTATTTATGTACCTGGATATTTTTAGGGCATTACTCTAAGTCTAAGTAAACACAGTTTTTTTTTTCTCCGCTACATGAATATCGTACAGAGTTTATTCCCCTGCTTCTAACTTGACCCTTTACAAACTGTGTCGGGCAATTTAATATGCCAGGTCCCTTCATTGATGGGCCAGGTTTTGCCAGGAGCGGGGATTCAATAAGCAATTTAATGCTTAACTCATGACTCAGCGTGTGCGCCTATAGGAGGTGAAGATGACTTGATTACAGATCGACAATAATGGCGGTACAGCCCCCTCCATTCATATGATTGATGCAGGGGCATTATTTATGAATGCTGTAAATTGTCAAAATACGTCAGCAAAGGACAAAACCCAATGTAAAATTATAATTATATAATATAGGTTTTCCCGGCTATTTTAAAAGATATTTCATTCAATTTCGTCCACGAAAAATTTCATACGCTTTAACCAAAACCAATTTAGTCATTTACCATTCAATTTTAAAGTTTGGTCACTGACTTTAGTCACCGGGTCGAGAATATTTGTCATTACATACAATGTATCAAATTTGTCTAAGCTGTTGCCCAATGGCAGCATTCAGAGATCAAATTTGTCTTATATAAATCAATTAGACGAATTTGATTTCTGAATATTAACAAGGTTTGGCAAAGATGAGACAAAATCGATTACGCCGGGACGAAAACGTGTGCTCATTGTTTGAATTTGCTTAAACAGGATTTGAAATTGTCTGACAAGAGACGAAATGAAACATTGTAAGTGCACTTTAATTATATTGATGATAATGGACGAATTTGAATAATAGAAACGTTGATTTAGAATGATAAACATTTTAAAATAGCCAGGAAAACCTATGTTAGTAATCTGGAAACTTGTACAAAATCCTAATGCTTTGTAATATTACTCTTTCCTACAACAGACATTTTCATGTATATTTTACCGCAATTTAAAAATTACAAATATGGTTGATCAATTAATTCCCCTTCTTCATTGTGTAGTTGCTGTTGTGTGTGCTTTTATTTTAGCCCACTTAATGGTCATGCATACACTTGTGAGTACATAACAACATCTACAGTTTATGAAAACTGATTTTTTTTTTTTTATGAGAGAGAAAACACATGTGCTGTAATAAATCCTATCCTTGTGTGTATTATGCACATATCAATTACAGTCATGACAGTTGTGAATGGTATACATGTATATGTGTAAGGCTAGTATGACTGTTGTACATGCAATTCAGTCCTTCCTTGTAATGCTGTAGACCCGGCTAGACTTAATGACACACTAATCAAGCGACAATGCTCTATAGCACTTTGTCACAGCATACAAAATTCATTCGATTGAATTATTAATATTGCACATGTTCCAGGCAGTTGAACAAAACTGTGTTATAATGAAGCACTTGTCATACTGAATGGGTTTGTTCAATCAAATTGCCTGATGTTTGAATCATAAATTATTAACTGCTTCTCATGTAAAATTAATGTACATGTACGTAAGGCAGTATGTGGCAAGTGGTTAGGGTTCTTGACTCATGATCAGAGGGTGAGGGGTTCGAATCAAGCTGCTGGTCATGTGCTGTGTCCTTGGGCAAGCCACTTCACCCCCACTGGAGTATAAAAAGGGTACATATTTGGCCAGGGAGTAACCTGCAATGGACTTGCATTTCATCCAACAGAAATATTCTTAGTCAGTCCAATTAGGAAACCAGAGATAATCATCAGCCTATAGCTAGGCCATATTGGCTCGAGACAGTATATTATGTGGATGATATTAGCTACGAGTATGGGAGGAAATACTACGTTTAAAATGTGCATAGCTGAAACATAATAATCCCATCAACCCTCAACTTACACTAATGTCAACTGATAGCCTTCATGTTGGATACATGATACAGTTTCGGAGTGGCGTGGGATGTACATACACACAGGGCGTATCCAGTGTTCATACAGCCGTGTGAAATCTAAAACCTAGTCAGTGAAATTTAATCACGATTCATTAAAGGTCATTCGGCAGCTGGGTTGGGATTATTTGGGGGTACTGTGCCATCCAAAGAGACTGGACTGGCTTTGGTTTGCTCGTTCTGCAAAGCTGCCCGGATGTCAACTATTAACTATTAATATAATTTAAAAAAAAACTTAATGCCTTTTCTCCACTGTTTGATTTATGTTTCAGATTGGAAGCATCAACAGGCACAATTCATGACTCGCGAGGGCAGTATAACACGGACACGACATGTGTCTGGTTGGTGGATAGTGGCATGTAAGTAGACATTGGCTGTGACTCTCAGGACACAATATGTCTGCTTGAGAGTGTTTGTGTGGCATGTAATGACACAGCACTTGAAAAAAAAAATTAGCAGCCAAAATACATATTTCTCCCCCCCCCCCCCCCTCCCCCAAATTAAAATTTCTCATTGTGACGTTTTTGTAATTTGCATTTCATGCTCAAACCTACCAGTACAAGAATATACAAGTAGTCTATGGAATACATGTATCTTCTTGCGTAACGAGAGTCTGTAGTGCAGTGTATGCGAGCAGATTCGGCGATTCATTATAAATGCAAAACAAGACTGTGCCCTGCCTTTGAGATTCTGACCATTCAGCAGGCGCCTTCTGTCGGGTCTTCCGTAACCCGTTTTTGTATTACAAAAACATTGCAGCCAAATTGACCAATCAACAGCTTAGTCCACAATTCTGATTGAAATGACGTCATTGTTTCTAAAGACCACTCCGATTGGCTGGCCTGGGGTCGCAATAAAATTGACATGCTACGATATATCAGACGTTCGCACCGTGGCTCTGCCCACGAGAATGTCTGATCCTCAAGACTAATAAGAACATGTGTGACAAAAAAAACCTTCAGTTATAATTAAACTTGGCAGTGACGATCTACTTCATGTGTTGTCGAACATCCAGAAGACATCGGCATCAAATGATGCATGACATGTCTGGCACAAAATATGATACAGTGTACACTGACGTATGCCTTGGCGCCATTCAAATATCAAGAGGGCTTGGGCAGCCTCTTACCACCCTTTGCTATTCAGAAGTGTTGGACGTTTAGCAAAGCCCTTCCCGTAGGCATGTTATGACAGCATTAGATATGTGCGTAGGCACACAGCACTTCACATCTATGGGTGTAACATACGACGGCCTGCATTGACCAGTCGTCTTATAATCAACAGCCAACTAGTCTCGCAAGAGAGTGTCTGGTTTAAAAGTTCTTTATAACATTCAGAAATATAAAAATACGGTAATTAAATATTTTATTGGAATGTCACGTGCATATATTTCACAGTCTGAAATAATTAAGATTTCAAACAAGGTACAAGTATAGAAGATTCTTTTTCATATTACGAACATGTTATTTTGGAACTTTTAATTATCACGTGTTGTGCACGGCCAGACACATGTTTTTGTTATTCAACCGGAATGACCTTTGAATATCTTATCATGATTCACATCTTCTGTAGCCGCATGACTGCCAATGCAGGTGATACGATCAGTAATGAGGATCTGATAAACATAGACACACATACTCACTGTGTGGGCTGAGTTACCTAATAAGTGGCATGGTTCGGATCCTTGCGCAGATCAATAAACAAAATATTATGAATAAATACTGAACAAGGAAATTAATATGTGGCCTTCCAAAAGAAGCAAAGTAATACATGTATGTCAGACATGTCAGATGTGGAATTAGAATGAACGTTTACCCTTTTATTATTTTAATAATAATTTGATTGTTTTATTGAATTTTTTGCAGGCCAGGTACGAGTATCAGCTTATATCTAGAGAGTTTTGCTACTGAGTGCAGCTGGGATTATCTCTACATATTCGATGGAGACTCCATTTATGCTCCATTAGCCGCAGCTTTTAGGTGAGATTTGGAAAGAATGCCTTCAAACATATCAATACACCCATTCTACATGTATATACAAATTCTTTAATCCTGTCATTACTTGATTACAGTGTTGTTGTGTTTTTAAATTCAATCCATTTGGTTTGTTCTATAAAAAAAAGGAAATATCTGCAATGTAAGGCCCAAAAAAAAATAAGTCAGTCTCTGGTCAGCGCGCGCGTCAATTTTAATCATGCGCGTCAATCTTTTTTTTTTCCAAAATGTTCCGCGGTAGCTCCAACAGCGCCCTCTATTGCCGTACCTCCTCAATTTTTTTTACCAAAGAGCACCAAGGAATGGGAAATTGCACCAAGGCAAATGATCGAGAGCACCAAGGCAAATTATGGAGGACACCAATGTACATGAGGACACCAAAAAAGCAAAAAAATTCCCCACCTTGTCTGTACAATCCAAGCTTGGAAAAAAAAAAAGCAGCCGCGTCCCCGCGTCAATTCCGGAACTTTGGTCTGACCAGAGACCAAATATTTTTTTTTTGGCCTAAGGGTAATGTTGGAAAATGCACACATGCTGTTTAGTAATTGTTCGACGCAGATGGAACTACCTAACATAATTGGCTATTTAATGCAGTTTTGAAAATATAATGATGACAATGATCAAAACAGTTGGATGATCTTACCTTTTACACACATAGAGCATGAGTGAGATTGTGGCATTTGTTATATAACTGATCAAAAACACAACTAGCAACACCCGCTAGCTTGCTGTAGGTGAACCCCAAGTACACGTAATAGTGCAGGGTTGTTTTCATGTTCAACTTTTCTCTTGGTGCAGTGGACCCATACGCTATAACAATGTCGACATCGTACATGAAGTCACTACCACATCAGGCTATGCTTTCCTGTACTTCTACAGCGATGCTGCTTTTAAATTTGAAGGTTTTAATATAACCTACAGGTGGGTTGATTGGAATGTCCTGGAAATTGTTTGAAAATATCCTTATTAACCCTGCTCTGCAAACATACATTCTGTGCCAAGTTGTCCTTTCAGTCAAACTCGATCAAGTGACTGTTTCTACAAGTTACATGTAAGAGCTCCCAGCCTACAAAAAGCAGGATTGACTGGCTGTGACTGTTTATGTAACTTGAAACAGCTATGCTTTGACTGTAGGCGATTGATAAGCCAACTGGGCCTACCACTTGCCTGCTTTTGTCTGTTCATTGACTTTGACTAGTCACAGTGCTTGCTTGAAATGTGATCTGAATGTTGGTGACTAGCCTGTGTAAAAGGCATGGCAGGGAAGAGATTGGAATTTTTTTTACTGTCTGACTTTTCAGACAGCAAGACGGTTAAGTATTTATAAAATATTGCATGCACTAAAGAGGTCTTGTGATTTATAATTTGAGGAAAATTGACACCGACATTACAATCACATCAAAATATTTTGAACAAACAAAAATGTATGCACACAGAATAAAAAAACATATTTTTCTTTTCAAAATTTTTTTTTTTGAAGTACGTCTCTGCAAACTACACGTACATGTTATGTATATTCTCCAATTATCATAATGCGACATCTGCATGTACATGTAGTAGATATGTTTTTAATGATCGTTTCTGTATCAAGCTACGTGTATACATAACCTTCACTATGCCCAATCACAAACATCTGTGAAAATAAATTGCTTTCTGTTGAATGAATTAACAGTTGCCATTAAAAATTCTGTATTCCTATGATAATTCTCTAAAGGGAAGCCTCGTTATCTCGATTTGAATCCTGTAATGTTGTATGTACATGTATTGTGATACTGTACGTCATGATATTGTGCCACAGAGTGGATGGCTGTCCTATGGGATGTTCCAATCATGGTGTGTGTCATCCGGTGTATAAAAACTGTACCTGTGACCCCCAATGGACTGGTTACGCCTGTGACACACCGGCATGTCCCGCTAACTGTAGCGACAATGGGGAATGCAGTATCAGCCAGAAGATATGTGTGTGTAGACCGGGATTTAAAGGTAAGTTGACGATAAAATACAATAAGCTAACAAAAAATAACTGAATGTACATGTACAATTTCACTATCACTACTACTTTTAGACATTTTAATTATCTTGTACTTGTACTGTGGTTTCTTATTAAGCTACTACGATTCTGTGTTCAGATGAAAGCAGTTTTGTTTCCTCTGTGACTTTGTGTAGTCATCACTTCCTAACATGTGAAGTGGCGTCAAGCCGTTGCAATTAATCCGGGAGGAAATAGATTGCTGAGTTCCTTGTCAGGATCTCTGATGAATTCCTGTCTGAGTCAGAGATGTATACATAGATAAGCACGCCCAATCACTAGATCACTATATTAAAGGCAAGAATGCAGCATCACTACCCGGTAATTGCGTTCAAATTCACGGTCAGAAAATTCAGGCGAACGTCAGTTCTTTTTCGACATGTCTGTGACACAAACATTCCTGCATTCGGTTATTAACATGAGTTTGCATGTACATGTAATTCTAAAATTACATTTGCACAATCTGATTTATTTTTATATCTTCATCATACATGTATCTTCTTGAATTAGGATCAGATTGCAGTATGGTATCAGATGAAGGTTATTGGCAAGTTGAGGAAGACAAAGCATATGGTAGAGCATCAGCTGCAGTGGTTCAACAAGACAATATAGTCTGGGTCGTCGGTGGCTATGAGTTTGACAACAAACACAACATCACAATTGTCAGGTAGGAATATAAACTGTTAATACCTGTCAATCACTCAAACAGTGAGCATTGACCAATTAGAACACGACTTTTGATCAGGTGACTATGGTAGCCAGTCAGACTCTGTCACAAAGTCAAAGTTCCCCTGGCCTAGAAAAACATGGAAAAGTCATTGAATTTTATTTTAAATTTTCCAGGCCTGGAAAAGTTGGGGAAATTTGTAATAATGACAAAAGTCATGGAATTTTGTAAGGACCAATTTATTTTAATTTTTAAATGCCTTGTATACATAATTTTGCATTAGAATGTATCTGATTTACTGTTTTTATTATACGCGACAAAATGTGACAAATTTAGCTGATAGAAACATTTTGATTTTCAAAGGATGTTGTTTTTCTGTTTCTGTTAACATGGTTAAGCACTGATCATGGTACAAATTTAACAGGTTTGATCTGCACTTTGATGAACTAGGCCATGGATTTTTTATAATTTGGTCATGAAAAAGTCATGAAAAAGTCATGGAATTTTACTGTCCTTAAGATGTAGGAGTACGATGAAACAACATGCAGTGTCTAGAGCATTCCGGTTTTCTGTTTTGCAGTCGTTCTTTATTCCTGCCTTGAGTTGTCCACAAGCTTAACATTAAATAGCAATTTTCAAGAAGTTCAGTTCGGAGTTGTAAATCCACGGATGGTTTTGGAGAATTTCTATTATGTGTCTTTTTTTCCGTTTCTCTCTGTTAGATACAATGTAGCCGATGGATCTTCAGAAGAAATAACTCAACTTGGAAACATTCCACGAACAAGATACGGTCACACGGCAGTTCTTTATGAGGTTAGATTTACACAGTCCCTACGTCCACAGAACATGGGTCTTATAAATTTAGAAATATTTACAGTTTATTTTGTCAGATTTCTGTTTGGTATTTGTGTGAAATTGACTCATTTAATCTGTTTTTTGTTTTTGATCTTTTTTTTTGCAATGGTGTCATTATATTGTAATGTCATTAAAAAAACAATTGATTTATCTACATGTATAATTATTTTAAGGCAAAAATGCTACATCCTATTCTTTTTATTTTAGTGAGAATTATAATCATGTTTTGATTCTTTCCCAGGATGCCATTTACATGTATGGAGGCTCACTTCACGGGAGTCAAGTTGTTGGTGAACTGCATGTATTCAACATTACGTCATCTACATGGATGTCCAATGTAACGTTGGATGGTACTCCCTTACCCGTGGAGGGGCACACAGCGGTCCTGTATGAAGACACCATGGTGGTCATGTTTGGATATAGTCCCAAGTATGGCTACCTCAGCGTGGTTCAGGAGTATAACTTTAGTGAGTAATTTGTGCTTCTAATTTATTTTCATTAAGTTGCGTTCCCGGTGCTTTTTTTCGAATTTCATCCCTCAAAAATTAGATTCCTTTTCTATATTGCTATTTTTTCTAGCGATAGTATCTCAAAGCTTAACCTGGTGAATTTTCAGCTCAGTGGATATTACGCTTTTTGAGAAAACTGTGAGAAGCCATGCACAATCTTTTGATAACGAAACATGATTTTGTCTCTAGCAATCTTTACTTCCGCAAATGATCCTATATGCCTTTAACCAAGCAAAAAACGGCATCAGCCAGAAATGGACAAATGCTACATTTAGGATTTAGAATTGTCTTTGTGAGGTACGCTTTTAAAAATATTCTGACGACTATTCTAAAAAATAAAAACCCAATAAATTACATTACTAAATCTGGTCTGCACTGTCCTTTTCACAGTCAACCAAACTTGGACCATAGCCAGAACAACAGGTGCACAACCTCTTGGAACGTATGGTCACTCCAGCGCCATGGATCCAATCAGGAATATAGTCTACATCCATGGAGGATTTGTGCCCACAGCTGCCCAGACTGATTTGACAGACGACCTGTATCAGTATGACTTAGCTAAGAAGGAATGGTATGTATTCAAACTGCACCTCCTCTGGTTCCACTAACAAGTCTTGTACCTTGACTCTCTGTTCTCTATTTTCAAGTCTTAGTGTAACCCCTGTGGTTCCAGTAACAGTCTTATACCCTGACTCTCTGTCTTCCATGGGAAAGTCTTAGTGTCATCCCCGTGGTTCAACTACCAGTCTTGTACCCTGACTCTCTGTCCTTTATAGGCAGTCTTAGTGCAACCCACATGGTTCCACTTACAGTCTTGTACCCTGACTCTCTGTCCCCTATATGCAAGTCTCGATGCACCCCCATGGCTCCACCAACAGTCTTGTACCCTATCTCTCTCTTTTACAGGCGTGTCTTACCATCCAGCCTTCAGCCCAGGTTTCTACACTCGGCAGTCATTCTCAACGACATCATGTTTGTGTATGGCGGCAATACACACACAGACTCAGTACAGTACACGGGAGCAAAATGTTTCTCCAATGACTTCTTGGCTTATCATATCAGTGAGTATACATCTATCAGTGACATTTATTTTCATTTTGTGAAAAAAAAATTGAAGCTTGGGGTTTAAGATCTTCTTGTTGTGTTTGCCATTCTGTGTTTTGATTATCTTACATCCTCGCATTTCAAATATTATATTACTGTTAAAAACATTTTAATGTGAATATTTTCTGTTTTGTGATGTCATATCATTGAGATTTTTTCGGGATTTTAACATTTCTGACGTTACAAAGATTCTGCTAGACATGATACAGATTCTGCTGGAATCGAAACGTTAGGCTGTCTACTTTTGTTTTGAGTTGTGTATATTTCAGGTCAATCCAGTCAGCAAGCAGTTTGTAGCAGTTTATTCATTTTCATATTACTGATATGATTGAGTTCGTAGGACCTCTGTATCTGCAGATTAACCCTTTTGTCCCTGTACCGCCCCAAACCGCCCTGTCTGTTACTCACTGTACCACTAAAAATCATCCCAACACTGTATGGTTGTATGTATTCATCAGGGAAATAATATAGAAATAATGAATATTTATGAGTACAGTGGCAAGAATAATTTCAGATCATTCCATCTATCACTGAATGAAATTATTCTATCCATTGCACAAAATGTGACACGTTCATGACTTGTTTTATACAACGCCTGGATAAATCTTCGTCATCTGATTGGTCAGATCCACCAGTAGTGATACTACAGTGGAAGTTCTGTTTACCTTGGATTAGAACTTCTATTTTTGCATGCGGCCGGGCCGTGAATGGGACGAATAATTCAATGACATGTGATCAACAACCTACCAATTAGATGACAGGGATTTGCTCAGGTGTTGTTTAATGAAATACAATGCATTTCCAGTGCAGGTGGTAATGGATTAATTGTTTATTGTCATCCATTGTTTCAGGCTGTCAATCATGGAGTACTATTCCTTCAGACGCGACTATATCTCCGGATATCCCACGATATGGCCATGCGTCGTTTGTTTACGACGATAACATCTTCATCTACAGTGGTTTCACAGGAGTGATGCAAGATAACATCGTTGTTTACCACCCAGGTCAGTTCTCCAATCAGTACCGTTAACACCGTTCATCTTTTCCAACAAAATTTCAAAATTGAGTTTATTTTTATATGAACATGTTGGTAGCAAACACTGACTAGTCTAGTCACAGACTCCTGTGCTAGAATGTTTCCAATTGTTGTCTGCACATGTTGGTACCAAACAATGACTAATCTAGTCACAGACTCCCGTGTTAGAATGTGCCCAATTGATGTCTGCGTGATCGATCAAAAGGAAGTTTAGGTCAAAGTTTTCCATTTCATCACAATCATCATTTCATTATGTTTTGAATTGAAATGCTTTCTTTTCTTTCGCAAAGCCCAATTATTGCCCTTGACTGGATATTAAGCCTAGTGCACAAAATAAGATGTTCAACATGATGCAGATCTATCTTATACATGGTGCCCGGATGTGTTGTATTATTGTACAATCTTGCAGGTTAATGAGGTCAACTTGCACGCTCTGTTCCTTAATTGAGAAGTTACTGTGAACAGTTAGTCATGGATAATCCTAAGTGTCCAGCCATAAAAACCTTAATTTCCTTAGCTTGTTTACTTACCAGCATTGTTAAACTTCTAACAATAGGCTGTGGTCTTAATCCTTCCTGATGTTTATTGTTCAACTTCAGAGGTTCAACAAAGAACCATTTAACACCTCTGTTGAACTGTGTACTATTATGTGGATTGAGCAAGTGGTCAGTGGGATACAAGTTTGAGGTTGATTGGATTTTTAAAATTCATGGATGACTTTTTTTGTTTAACAAGTGTGTTGTGTTGGTGTAGCTTAAATCAATTTCTAACTGACTATGGCAGTGCATAGGCAGTACTGCAGGTCAGTTTCAGGTGAAGGGATATGAAGTTTTAAAGTAACTGTGTCACACAGAGAGTCACTGCACAAAAAAGACGGCACTGTGGAGAGCAGTGAAGCGTGACTGAATCTGCCTGCTTGCCCTGAGCTTAACCACACAAAAGAATTGTCCAGGGCAGTGAAGTGTTTTCCATACTCCACAGAGGATTACCTCAAAGGATTTGGTAACTCGATTTGAAAAAAAATTAAAAAGGGTTTTGCAAAATATACAATATTTCACATTCTTAATCCCCTCTATTAATTCCTCTGTAGGTAACTGCTCGGCGCGTACCAATGAAACTCTCTGCCTGGAGATCACACCTGGATTGTCATGCCAGTGGGATGATGACGATGACCAGTGTATACTCAGGGACCAGTTTGAAGTAGAACCAGGGAACACGTCCTCAGAGCATTGCCCCAACATTCCATTGGGTGAGTATTTGCGATGACATTGTAAGGAAAAACAAGGATAACTGTAAATAAAAAATAAAGTCTGCCAGGAGCTAATAAGGCTCATCAGACCGGCATTTATCTCCAGTTTCCTTAACATAAACATTATTTCTATCCCCCTAGTCCATAGCAGGTTACTCCCCAGCTAATGCTGGTATCCATTTATACTCCTGGTTGGAGAGAGGGAAGTAGGGATAAAGTGGCTTGCCCAAGGACACAACATATGGCCAGCAGCTGGATTCCAACCCCTGACCCTCTGATCATGAGTCACGAACCCTAACCACATGGCTCTAAGGTTATTTCATATTTCATAATCAAAATGTGTTTCTTTTTGAAACTGAGAAACTGTCTTGTCTGTTTCACAGGTCCAGATTGCATTGGGATTGGTGACTGCACACACTGCCAGCTGGCGCCAGGGTGTGCTTGGTGTAATAGTGAATGCAAACACCTGTCGGAGTGCGATAGCCGGGTAGGTCTATCTGTGTTCTTCTCTTGTTCCTATTGAAATGGCTTCCAACAACTGATAAACTCTCATATTCTTAGGGGCCTCTATTTAGTTTTGCCGTTCATTCAACTCAGAAACAATGAACTCTTAATGAAATTGACGTATGTTTTTGATTAACTGGACAGATTTTTCCTCTTTTTTGTTCTGTTTTCCGACCAGCATGATATCTTCTGTTCGGTCTCTGTATGTGGCCCGTTTAAGAACTGCAGATTATGCAATGACCAGGAAGGGTGCAGATGGAATGATAACGAGTGTCAGAGTTATGGCGGAGGTATGTACGAGGGATTGTCTTTTATCAACAAATCAAGGGTTGATATTTTTTTGTTTTTTTCCTGATATCTTGATGTTTTTTCAGAATTGTTCCTGACTTCGGTTGTGTTTAAAGAATCCTGTTCCCATAGTTTACCAGCCAGTGCTTGGCGAAAAAAATGCCAGTGGATGGCAAAGGCATTCCAGACAGAGTGGGGAGAATCGACATTCTGAAATAAAGTCTTAACCCTACCCCCCTAGGCCTTTTTGCCTCAATCCTGCAAATTCCTCCATTATTTCTTGAATATGGTCCGTGGAAGGGTGACCACTGCCTGAATCCTGCAAAATCCTGCGGCAGTGACTGTCAATAGGCTGAGGCTTGGCCAGTGACATCCTGGAGCAGTGCGGAGGATTTCAAGCATAATCCAGGCCTATATTTATGCATGGCTGAGCAAAAACAACACAAGGTCCGGCCCAAGACCTTGACAAGTGTATCCTACGAAATCAGTGACGCACTTTTGCCATAACCTCAATCCTCCAAATTCCTCCACTTTGGCAAAGAGGATTCCGAAGGATTCAAGGCGGTTACGGTTATATAGTGCTACTGTGGATTGCTTGGTACTTACAGGAGTTAGACATTTTCAAATGGGCATCCAGAAGCTAACCATTGTTTGTCTTTGTTTTTTATTTGAAGGTTCTAAAAGTGATTGTGGCATCTCCTGTGATGACATTTCAAGCTGTCGTTCCTGTCTGGGGGAAGCTTCATGTATGTGGTGTAGCAACCAGCAGCGCTGTATCAACTCCAATTCCTACATTACGTCCTTCCCATATGGACTGTGCTGGGAGTGGCACACCAATCAGAAAAACTGCCCAGGTGGGTTGTCTCTGCTAGTTCACTAGACTATCACAAGACAATTCACAGGACAATGCACAAGACGATTCACTAGACAATTCACAAGACAATTCACAAGACAATTCACAGGACAATTCACTGGACAATTCACAAGACAATTCACAGGATAATTCACAAGAGAATGCACAAGACAATTCACTAGACAATTCACAAGACAATTTACAAGACAATTAATTCACAAGACAATTCACAAGGGAATGCACAAGACAATTCACTAGACAATTTACAAGACAATTCACAAGACAATGCACAAGACGATTCACTAGACAATGCACTAGACAATTCACTAGAAAATTCACAAGACAACTCACAAGACAATTTACAAGACAATTTACAAGACAATTCACAAGACAATGCACAAGACGATTCACTAGACAATTCACAAGACAATTCACTAGAAAATTCACAAGACAATTCACATGACGATTCACTAGACGATTCACATGACAGTTCACAAGACAAGTCAGTAGACAATTCACAAGACAATTCACAAGACAATTCACAAGACAATACACAAGACGATTCACTAGACAATTCACAAGACAATTGTCAAGTCAATTCACAAGTAAGGCCTGCTGTCTTACATGTCAAGCAGTTGCCGTGCAAAACTCAATTCAATTCGAAGTTGGGGCAAACATTTTAGGCATGCGCATGCTCACAATAATCTTTCTCGCGTCCGGGTCATGGGGAGTCCGTCCACTGAGTTAATCATTTGATTAATTTTTGCGTGATCGTTTCTTATTTCAGTGACCAACTGTTCGTTATATCAGACCTGCGATAGTTGCCATGAAGATCCACACTGTGGATGGTGCGACTCGGGTGACATGACCGGTATAGGTACGTGCAAAGAGGGCAGTCTAACCGGCCCAGTCAAGGTGGATGACGCTGGTGACGCAGTGGTGGATATGGGACTCTGTCCGGCCGAGAGTTGGTTTTTCTTTGACTGTCCATGTGAGTACACAACTTTCGGCTTTCTGTTTTTGAGATGTTCTGCAGAATGAGTTATTCCATTGGATAAAAATGTTGCCAAGTATCAAGTAACATGCATGCTTGTAAAACTGAGTGTTGGTCGTTGTATGAAATTAACAACAGAATGCTGTCACGTGACACATTGTCATGTGACAAACTGTCATGTGACACATTGTCATTGTATCAGATGTGTTCTACTAACTTTCCATGAAGATATCACTGATGGAATGGTATTGGTAGAATAATAATGCTTTTAAAAAAAACTTGACAAAATCAAAAAGGTGTAGAATTTGAAAAGGTTGTTATCAATCATGAATTCCACCCAATTCTGAACTAAAATTCAATTTTACGGAGGTTATAGGCATTGACATCTTCAAGAACAGCACATTTGCACCCCATGTTGTACACTGTCTTTGTGCTCCAATGTAGTTCATTTATGTATACAATGTGGATTTGGTTGTCCCCTTATTATTATCCCTTCCAGTTTTTATTATTGATAGAAACCTCCCAACAATCAAAGCTTGAAAATAGTAGATCTTGCATGCACCTCCAACAGAAATCAAACACGGCTAGCTGTGTAAATGAACTTCAAATATTCCCTTGTTTGTGAGTTGTTGAGTACCAATTATTTAGAACAGATGCAACACCTGTGTGAAGAATAAATGTTCAAATTAGAAACGGATGTAAATTGCATTATGACACTGAACATTTCATGTAGAATGCAAGATTAGAAATAAGTGTTTGGTGGCTATAACATTGACTACTCAATGCACATTGATCAAGGATTGATGTTGAAAGCCTCCATTTTTTTCTCATCATTCTCATACCTTTGGGTGGTTGTATTTTCATCTAATTTTTTGAGATTGGAAATAAAGTTAAATGAGACACAAAGCTGCATTTTCAAGGATTGCATTAAATAAAATTATATATGGGCTTTTTAGATGACTAGACTCATCATGGTTATTGATGTCTTAGATACAGGCTAGTATTGTTGGAGGTGATTTTGTTGAATCGGTGTTTTAAGTTGCCATTTCTTTTTTTGTTTATCCCAATATCCATTTGTTTGTTTTCTGTTTTTGTTTCCTCTCTTTTTTTACCCAGCATGCCAGTGTAATGGACACAGTCGATGTGTGAATGAAACTACGTCCATATGTGAAAACTGCCAGAACAATACCACAGGTACTATCGTTGAAATAAAAGGGGAATTTTATTGTTTCCTTCTTAGGAGGTTGAACTTCTTAAAGCTCGTAACGTCTTCAAACAGAAAAAAAGGGCATTGGTAATACAACGAGGCATACAATATTTAACATGTCCAGCTGAAGGTACTTCCAAAATGCAGAAAATAGTGGACTCGGACTTGTAGAAACATATCAAACATTCATTTACCAATTCAGATAAACTGTATCCCTCAAATTAAGAATGAAATTGAAGAAAATTAGTTGCACAGTACCGGTAGGTAATAATGTGACCATGTTGTGATGTCATTTTTTGTTGTAGGCCCAGAGTGTGAAATCTGTGCGGAAGGTTACTTTGGCGACGCGTTAAATGGTGGTTCCTGCACGCCGTGTGAGTGCAACAATCATGGAACATTGTGTGACAATTACGGAGGAAGATGTTACTGTAATACCAAAGGCGTGACTGGGCCTACCTGTGACAGGTAATTCACGTAACAGTAAAGACGATTCCCCGTGCTGTTTTCAAGTTTCACCCTGAAAAATGGATTCCATTTCTAAATTGCTATTTTTTCTTGCAATACAATAGTTATTCACTTTTGAATGAGACACCAACTGAAAAAAAGCGGCCCACGTTTAGCTGTTGAATTATTACTTTAAACATTTTGAATTACTAGTCAAAATGCAGTCATCCTCCAAGAGTGATTATAAATAGCAAACTACTCAACAAATGAAGTCATTCTTAATGATACTTGAATGGCAAATTAGAAAGTTCCAAGGTAACAGGGACAGCAAACATGTCACACTTCGGACGCTAAATTTATAGAACGACTCGTATATCTTCAACTGTTTTATCCGTTTGCGTGAATGTTCATCCTTGTTGGTACTTGGATCTCCAATCATACTTGAACTTTTCATCTCAATGCTAAAATATTCCGTACCTGAAATAGTTGTACAAAAATCTTCTCTTTTGTTTGTTTTATTTTTACAGCTGTGACATTCAACAAAACTACTATGGCAACCCTCTAAATAGTGGAACTTGTTACTGTAAGTCACCCGGTCTGTTTGTCTGCAACCACTTTTCTGTCTGGATGCTTTGTGTCCCTAACTAACAAATTTTAATTTGCTTCAAGAGCCAATGATACAAATTTTACATGAAACATATTTTCAAATGAATATTAGAAAGCCTATTGGGCAGGATCTTTTGTCAAAGGCAGAATATATTTTGTGCAAATATCTATGCCCTGAATGGAATAAAAATAATAGACCGCAAATTTTTGTTGCTGTGTTGGCCCTAAACAATAACATTACAATTTTAAGTGGGATAATATTACAATAAAATAACAATGAATCTTGTGAATTTAAATTTGTAACAAGGATAAAAAAAAATTATGAAGCTACGTTAGGGCTTTATCTGCAGGAACATTATAGATGTATGAATTTACGAATTGGAAAGTGTGAAGCCTACTTTGAATGGAATAAATAAGATCAAAAATTATGACTTTTAACAAATAGATCATATTTGACACTGTAAAGCAGCTTTGGTTTAATTTCATCTTCAAGTCCTTTGATATTTTCTGATCATCTGTCCGATTTGCAGATAAGCTGTCGATGAATTACGAGTACACATTCAACCTGTCTTCCAATGATGATTTGTACTTGACAATGATCAATCTGATGACATCGCCCGGTGTCAGCAATCGCGATATCGAGTTCATTCTTCAAGTCGGCAAAAATATCAATATGAACATCACCTACAGAACCAGTAAGTACAGCATGAATTCAGGTTGATTTAGATTTTTGATTGTTGGTCTGTTGATTATTTTGATTTACAAACAGAAGGAAGATGGGACTTAGAATAGAGTAAGACTGTAATGACTATAGGGCTGTGCATGCTCAATTAATTTAATATTTGATTATTCCAACTTGGATTCGATTGAATATTCAAATATTCGTTTTTTAAATGCGCTGATCAAGTGAAATAAGCACCAGCCTAAACTGGCCACTTTTGGGGGCTTGCGAGTGCCTGCGGTAATTGGAAAATTTACAAAAACAAATTAAATAATGGAAAGAAGAGGTAGTGGAATTGTCTGGCTTTAATGAAGAAAGTTGAGCTCATCCGAATAAAATAACAGTGTGGATGTTTTTCATCATGTCCCCAAGCCTACTCAATTTTTCTCGAAAAGCGGTCTCGAAAATATGCTATTCAGAAATATGGTTGATGATCGAATACTCAAATAGTCGGCATAGATTCGTCACAACCCTAGCTGACCATTAGTTGTAACAGCAGAAAGAAAATGTGTATTTCTTTAATTGTTTACACAGATGGAATGCCTGGCATCGAGCGTGAGATCGTGTTTAGAGCCAACGTCGATTATTACACCACCACCCTGTCCGCCTCGGATTACAACTTTGAAGATGAAGCAAATACAACTTTCTATGTCTACCTCTCGAACTTCACCGTGCCACTGTCCTTCAAGGTAAATAAACCAACCAAATCACGGCTAGAAAGTACTTTCAAACGATTGTTCCACAATACCAGATTATAGCTTTGCAGTATGCTATGACATCTGCTCTGTGCAAAGCTAGGCGTGCTACTTTTTGGATAAATGTATTAATAAATAAAAAGTAACATTGTGGCGAGATATCCTAGACTGTGTTGCCGTTGGTAATACTTCCCTCGTGTCCAACAATGCAAGGTTTTTAACTGTTAAAAACTTAATACCAGTGAAATGTTACTTCTATGGTGATCATTGCAAAGTGTAGATACTGCCCTCAATGGTTTATGCACAGAGCAGATGTAAAAAAAAAATTGTAAATTATTATTTGATGCATTTTTATATTTAGATAAGGCAGGAGTGACTAGACATACATTTAATTGTGGGGCATTCTCGCAAAATGAGACAGAACTGGACAGAGGTCAAAATGAGGGTTTGCTGGTATTAGGAAAGAGAACAGAATTCTCCTTACATTACTGTTGACAAGTTATGGCTGTTGAACCGACATGTCAAAATGTAAAATACTGAGAAAAAAACTTTAAAGTTTCAAGTTTTGTAGTCATGAAAATGAAAGATGCCAATTTTTTTTTCTTAAAAACACTTTTACTCCACGCTTTTAAAACCATTTCTTTAAAGCAAGTGCAGTAGACATATCAAAGGTTACAAATATCAATAAATCGGAAAAAAATCAGCTCCATTCAGTTTTTTGCATTTTTCTCCATTACGGCCTGTGCGCAATTCTGTCTCATTTTGCAAGAATGCCTCACTAATGGTTATTGTATTCGGTTCATATTCTTGTTTATCCCATATCAACAGATACACTCGACAGGCAGTAAAGAATTGCAACTTGTCATATATTCATTGTTACCCTACCTTTATCAGTTTCTTTCCTTAGATGTGAAGATCTTTTTTCTTAAAACCTCCACAAGAACTAAACGTAAAACCACACAACATTACCACAAGCGCACTTGGGTCATTTCATAAATTTAGGGTCGAAGTTTGACATTTTTCCTGTCCCTGTTACCTTGGTACTTTGTAATTTACCATTCAAGTATCAATAAGAATGACTTCAAAATGTTTTTATTTGTTGGGTAGGTAGTTTGCTATTCATAATCACTCTTGGAGGATGACTGTATTAAGTATAAAATCATAGATGTCAGACAATAACAGGGACAGGAAAAAAAGGGGGACCCCAAATTTACAGAATGGCCCACATAGATTTATCATGGTCTCCATGTGTACATGTACCCTCTTCAGTGGTAGCATCTATACCAGTTTCTCATTCAGCAGCACTTTTTTGCCCAACATTTTGTTCAGCCAGGCTACGAGACCATCATCAGTTGAGGAGTCTTATCAGAACGTCTTGATCCATCCAACTCAGGACGTAGTTAGATTTGTCCACGCCTAACTCATTCTTATCATGAGTAACATTCAATGGTTCTTTTAATTTGTATAACCAATTTAAAATTCAATCCCAAATTTTCTGTTGCTTTTCACAGCTGTTGTCTATTGTGTTACATTGAAAATGACGTCATGTTTGTTTCTGTTCATGAATCCCTCCAACAGGTGACATTCACCCAAGGGAATGGTCAGCTGAGTTTGATATTCTATATTCTCTTGTATTTCATCATCACCCTTGTTATTCTGCTGAGTATCATGGGGATAGTGTGGAGATTTTACCAACTCTACATGAACCGAGTCATAACGCAGGTATTGTCCCGTACATCGACGCCGAACTAAGAATCAAGTAGTCATTAATGTAGAGCCCTGGTAACATTATCATCCTTTGAATCGTTCATCGTCTTGAAACTGTAGCCCAAAACAGAGAAACTGTTTGACAACAAAGAATGCTTGATGACAGTGTAGATCTAAGACAGTTTAAATACGAGGCCCTGTCTCAGATTTTATCACTAACACACAATTTAAACCATAAACAATCGCAAAAGAAAGTTAGCGGGTAATATCTTCATGGTTAGGAGACTGGTTATCTTACGGAGCTGAGTTGACTTTTCAGCAGATTTCATTGAGTATAAATTGCAGTGATATAGGGAGTAAGTCTAGGTGGACTCGTTTGAAACCATTGAACTGATAGGAGTGATCTAAATAGATGATTCGGGAAGACCTAACTCACTGTGAAGGGCCCGGGTAAGTACATCTGAACAGGTTATTTACATGCTACCTCCCTAGCAGTTTGAAGGTAAGTAATCATTTCACTAGCTAACATACTGCTATGCTAAATCATTCTAACCGCCTCTTCTTAAAGTGCTAATTAAATCTCTCACTAACCTCATCAAGCTCAAGCTTGTTATAGGGGATATCAACTGGAACAGTGGAGACTCAACAGAGCATCAAGTACACCCAGATGATTTCAAACCCACTGGAATCACAGTGTCGGCAATTACTGCAAGGATATTCAGATGATGTTTTTTTCCCTTCTTTCCATCCAGCTCTCCCTTTCTTACTATTGAGGGGGTACTTTTGCACAAAGGCCATTTCTTTATCAAGTGGTATTTGGCACATGTTAAGTGGCACTCTCTCTGAACAGGAATTTCTCATTTCTCATTGATTTTTCTCCTCAAGAAGACTAAAGGTACACTATTGTTTTTGGCTATTTCATTTTATTTCATTTCTTCATAATGACATTTCCACTGAAAATGCTTATTATCTCCACAATGATCACATTATGTTGTTTGCTTTTACAGTTCAGCAGAACCACGATGAGTTGTAGAATGTCAGTTTTAACACACAATCATTATTCATTTGAGTGTAATGTTCTAAACGTTCTTCTAAACATGTGTGACAGCTTTTTCCTTCCTTACTACAGCCTGTTGCATAAGCACACTTGACAGGTTCATTCGACAACGCTTCCTCTTAAACATACAGTGTAAATCACTCAGTGCATTGGTTGTTAACATTGCTCTTCTGTCTTGTAACGAGCCTATTTCTCCCTTACTGCAACCCATGACGCACCCACTCTTCACAGGTTTCAGTTCGTCAACGATTCCTTCTTTTGAATCTTCTGGAGTTTCTCGTGGTCTTCTTCAGCTGCTTTCTATCCTTCCTCCTCTTCTTCGTGGTCGGTTGGAAAGTCAAACAACGATGTGACAGTTTCCGTCGCCAACAGGTAACGCAAAGAAGACGTCGCCAAGGATGTCCAGAACCTAAAACCACCTCCCTTAACCGTCTTTCTGTCGGGAAATTAATTTTGATTTTGTGTTTTCTTTTTCTAGTGTTGGTGCGCATTGTGGTGACTAGAATGCTGATTTGCACTTGTTTTATGTTCACTCTCGGTCTTGACATGTCAAGGTTGACTACTGTGCAGTTTTCTCTGGTATTCTTCTTTTGAAGGTTGAAATGAAAGAAAATTCTTCTAATTTGTTTTTCCAAAAAGCATATGATTTTCTGATTGTTGTATCTTCATTTTGAAATTCTTACCAAAACTGTTGAATGGTATTGAAGACTGCGTATGTCATTATTTCCAGAGAAAGTTGGCTGTGTTAATGTTTGGCATGTCTATTATATAATGGTCAGAATGGTGCACGTTGTATCGCATGGAGGTCTAACCTATTGTCTTGTGTTTCTTTTCCCCTCTTTTCTCTCCCAATCCAAACTCTTTTTTTTCTCTCTCTTTCTTGCCTTTTTTTCCATCTTTGTTGCTCTTGTATCTCATTTCATGTCATGTTAAATCAATGTTCCCATCTTTCCATGATTTCCACATTGTTCCTGACTTAATATTAACGCCCCACGTCCCCTTCCCTTTCCATGTCCACTTCCCTTTTCATGTCATCTCCCCCTTTTCATGTCCCCTCCCATTTGCATGTCCCCTCCCCTTTTCATGTCCCCGCTTTTCATGCCCTGCCCCCTTTTTATGTCCCCTCCCCTTTTCATGTCCCTTTCCTTTTTTTCATGTGCCCTCTATTCATGCCCCGCCCTTTTTCATGTCCCCTCCCCTTTTCATGTTCCCTCCCCTTTTCATGCCCCACCCCTTTTCATGTCCTACCCCTTTTCATGTCCCCTCCCCTTTTTCATGTCACCTCCTCCATTGTCATTTTTTCATCATTGTGTTCTTGTCTTCCATCTTCTGTTCCGTCACTTCAGATAACATTCTATCAGCGTTCATTTGATCTTGTGACTGTACTCGTAGCATTCTTTGTGTGCTTTTTCGTAATCATCATACTTTTTGGAACGTTCCTGAAACTGAAAGACTTCTGGGATCGCTATCACCGGCGAAGGGTAAGCAGTAGCGTGTGATCGTCCTTGTGGATTGGTTGTGATTGAACCATCATGACATGAACTCATTCACCATCGGTCATTCTTCAATCATGAATCATTTCGCATACGTCGTCCCCACTCTTCAATTATAACATTATCAAATCATTTTGAATGAAACACAGACTGATTACGTTTTTTGTTCAGTCATCTTTCTTAAAATGTTGCTTGAAACATCAAAAGTTTGATCAGGTTTTGGTGGGTTTTTTTATTCACAATTTGTTTGATTTCCGCTTCAAGTCTGTCTGCTCAATTATGGCTCACAGCAACTCGTTTGAAAAATTGACATTGTTATTTTACTACCAAAGAAAATAACTTGCCGTGATATGCACACCAAGCAATCATCTGATATGCCGATATCTCAAAGTTTCTTACTATGCACAAGTTTTGCTGCTTTAGTGTTGCTCAAAACTAGTTTTGGGTCAAGCTAATATCTCGTCCTTCTCAAAGGTAGGTAGCTTCATTATTTGTATGTCCGTTAATTCATCCGCCAAATGTTTGTCAAGACATCCTCGGCATTTCCATGTTGCATTCAGTGTTCAACATTTCAGATTTCAAAGACCATCATTTCAGGTGGGTCACATGTCTTCGAGAAAACTGGCATGGTTGAAATGGAAGATGAATCAGAGATGAAGTGTTTACAAGATTAGTACTTGAACTGCCAGAAACGTGTCTTAAGATTTAAGAGTAGCCGCTGAACTTCCCCAAACCGTGTGATATAAATAACTCGCCATGGAATAAGTGAAGACTTTATTTCCAAATTATAAAAAAAAGCTAAATCTTCAAATTTGATAAACGCTCACATTTTTCCCTTTTTTTCAAAGGATATGTGACATTTTGGAATTGAACTCTTCGAGTCTAAACGGAATAAGTCCAACTTTCAGTAATTTAGGGCCCAACTCTGTTTCTGAAACCCAACACCATTTTTTTGGGGATTGTTTGTGTGTGTTTTGCTGGGTGTAGACTCCGTCGCATGTCACTGCATGTTTTTGTGTTTGGATGGTGCAGCACTGTCATCAATGCATTCTTTGTGCACAGTTTCTCTATTTTGTGGTGGTTTAGAATAGTGCATGAGTCATTTTCAAATCATTTTAAGTCCGGCAATAAACTATGATTTTTTTTACGTAACAGTTTTACTGATCTGAGGAGTCTTCAAAAGGAATTATTAGTTCAAAAAGATTATTAAACCAGAGCAAGATTCTTATCAATCTGATTTTCTCAGATCAAAATGTTTAATTTCCATAATTGCAATCCACATAAATTATTTGGATATGGGTTGTGATATAAAATAAGACCTTTATGCTAGTTGTGCCTAATAAACCAATTAAATGGACATGTTAAAGTCAAAAGCTCACTTTTTTGAAAAAAATCTAACATTCTTCCAATTTGGGGGAAAATTTAAAAAAAAAACTTGAGGCTATGAGCAACATGTTGATGTTTATTCTTTGTTGATTTCATTTCATCAGAATCGTGCAGTCGAGCTGGCTGTTATGGCAAGGCGTCCATTCGCAACAGTCAATCTAGTCATCGAGAATACCGTGCCGCCGGACATCGTGGCCGGAACAAAGAAAGTAAGTTACTGTTAATGAAAGTACAATAATGCTCACTACAGTTTGAAACTTTGTATGGCGCGAAGTACACACGACTAATTATGTTGTGAGCTTGCATGAACCTGTAGTGTCTTCCTGTGAGCGTTGAAGCCGACGATAATGTGTTAAGACGTCTGTTTCAGTGGTCTCCCCTCAACTCTCTCCTTGTAACTGTTAAGGGGTTCTTGAGCATGGAGCCCATAGCAACAAAACTATCTTGTGGTCTAGCAACCAAAACTAACGTTGAATTTTCCTTTTGTTTCTTCTTTCTTCTGCCAGAAATACCCCCTCGCATTTTCAACAGAAAACTGCTCGGATAGCAAGGCCCAAGTAGCCACTCTTTTTATGCAAATGCCCATGCCGGACGGCGACAAGGTTCCTTACGGTCAGACCAGATTCTGCCTGGCTTCGGCTCTCGTTCAAGCCAAAGCAAAGAAGGGCGAGCGCAGGAACAGTCATCAGAAGACGGAGACAAGGGAACCGGTCAGGTCTGAAGCCTGTCTGAACAACGCATGTACCACCCCTAGTCCACCCCTAGAAGGTAACCCTGATCCTACGGATATGGATGAAAGAGATCTGGTCGAAGAACGACCACGACCAGAACTTCACGTCATCCAAAACCATTTCCCGGCATCGTATGATAACGCAGCGATGGTATAAACTAGACTTGCCTTGTAAGAAGAGATTGGTAGACTCGAAGTACAAGTTTCAGTTTTTGACTTTCATCTAAATCATTCCTTTTTTCCGTTCCTAAATGGTCTGAGAAATTGTACTTATTGCAGACTTTTTGTTTCTTTAAATTGTGGCAACAAGAAAATGCTAGTTCATGACATTGATCTTGTGTTTGACAAGTTTTAGAATGTTTCTCTTTATTCCTTTCAAGTTATTTTATAAAAGAAAATCTGGGCACAGAACCATTGTACAATCACAGGGTTACCCCGGTAATGGTGAAAGCAGTGCTGGCTATGGCACTGTGCATGAACCGTAGGCTGTGTTTTGGTTTGTATGTACGGCCCAGAGTATCCGCAATTCATATTAAACTGTATATGCACAGGCCTGTTGTGTCATCTCACGAGTGCTGGGCATGCAGCATCAGTGCATTTTGGAGACCCTCTATCTCTCTCTAGTTAACTGTTGAAGGTTACTTAAGAATTGTACAAAAAGTCCATTATCCATTTTACAAAACGCTAGACGAGTCTAATAAAGCTGGTACCAGCCCGACTTGGTCTAAGGGGTAGAGGTAGTCAACTGAGCAAAAGTTTGGGGTCAAGGTGAGGTTGAAGAAGTCTAATTTAGACGCGATGGTCGGTCAGTCAGTTGGTGAGATGGGTACGAAGAGGATGTATGCTGGCCCTCTGCGAGCAGCACAGTCCAAATTTTGGCCAAGGTGAGGCTGAAGCCAGTCTTATTCATACACGTCGGTCAGTCAGTCAGTCAATCAGTCGGTGAACAAGGTACAAACATTACTGTAGGCTGGCTCTCTGTAAGCAGAAAAAAACCACTCTGTGATAATTGTGCTGGCCAAATAAATTGACTCCGTCTGTGCAACCCCCAGCATGTGTACTTTTGATTCTGTGCCCACATCTGTTCATACAAGTACCATATCAGGAGTCTACTTATCTTTTTCTTATCAACTGTGTGAGATTTTTTCCTCTTTGAGTAAACTAAATATCAGCTTAATAGTAACAAAGAAAATTTATATTTTCTATAAATGATTTGTAGATTTTTAAATTGTTTAAATGAGAGCTTTTGTAGTGAATTGAAATCGGTAAACTGTTCATTGCAGAAGTGGACTAAAAATATTTAAAGTTCAGGCAGAAGTACTTCCTTAGCGATATTTCATGCAATTGTTATCCCTCATCAAAATGGCATTCAAGCTATGGTGACCCTCAACAAATTGTAAATGTTGGATTGAACAAGACTCATCAACAACCTGATTTTTAGAAATGCCAACGATAACTCATCATTCACCATGTTCACTGTCCCGGGTAAACGCTTGAACAATAGCCCAACTTGCCAAATTGTAGGACAATTCAGAGTATGACTGAAGTGATATGAACCCTCCTGCTATCCAAACAGCTACAGTAAAAGAATCAATCCTCTTCCCTGCCATGCCTTTTACACAGGCTAGTCACCAACAGTCAGATCATATTTTATGCAAGCACTCTGACTAGTCAAATTCAGTCAGTGGACAAAAGCAGGCAAGTGGCTAGCACACATGTCTTATCAATCACCTACAGTCAAACCACAGCTGTATCAAGTTACATAAACAGTCACAGTCAGTCAATCCTGCTTTATGTAGGCTGGGAGCTCTTAAAACGGTCACTTGATTGCTTTGGACTGCAAGGACAACTTGGCACAGAATGTATTTAATTCTTTGTAAATAAATCCATCCCCGTTTGGGAACTGTAATTGGAAATGCAGGAATGTGGATAATTTTAATACTTGAGGATTGTATTTGCAATGCAGTACATCTTATGTCTTCTGAAAACGTATTGATCACCGAGTCTTGGAGTTTTACCAATATGCTGTTCTAGTGATGCAAAATGGAAGGAACACACATGGTGTATGGAGTAAGTGAACTGGCGTGCTCCTTCCCTCCCCCCCCCCCAACCCTGTGGGGGGAGGGGGGGGGGGGGCTGTAGTCACAACTACCACAATGCCATTACAAAAACGCAATCATTGTACATGTTCATTAGATCTTACATACATGTAACACATCGTTGCAATTACGGGTTTTGAACATTAGGAAAATTACTTAAAACAAAGCAAACTTGTCCACTTACCTTATGGAGATTTACCCAGTAGACAAAGTAACCGGAAAATATCATTTCTTGTTTTGTAAAAATTGATTGCATTAAATAAACTGTACTTTTGCAAAGTGTTAATCTAAAAATCAGTACTATAAATAAGTCCTTATGACTTGACAAAGATGTGTATTTTTGAAGCTTAGGGAGTCTTTTGAATAATTGGCTACCGACATTATTACAATATAATGGGAAGCTTATATTATATTCTGTAGTGAGCGCAAGGATAATCTGCTTAACATATTTTAAGCTTTCCTTTTTCAGTAATGATATTAGCAGCAAACGTTCTTGTCATAGGACAGCCGCACCATTTGTTTCATAGTGTTTGAATTCTGGTAAGCAAGTTGCATTTTAGATGATTTCGCTTTATGTTGTAGCACATTGATTCACTTGGAAAGGAATCCCGTTTGTCATTAGAAATGACGTCTGTAAATACTACCAACAAATTATTAAATTATTAAGCAGAAACCAGAGGGAAAAAAAAAATCGGTTATAACAATAACTGTAGAAAAGATCTGGGGTGGAATTGTAGTCAATGATTTATATCACTAGCTTATAAATATTAAAAAGGAAAACAATGATGTGAATATATGGAAGGGAGTTTATTTTATAATTTTGGCAAAACATGTATATAATTGTCTGATAATGTGTAACGAAGTGATTTTCCACAGCGCTGTGCATATTCAAATGAAAATACTTGAAAATTGGCTGTGTGGAACCTGGTTTTTGGAAGATGTCAAATTTAAATGTTAAGTTTTATGAAATAGATGGAGTTCCAAAGCATAACAACTCCCTTAATTTTTTTAGCCACAGAATGTTTTCCTCAATGAGTGTGGCCTGAAAATGAGGAAAGGTTTACAATTGCTCCTTTTGTATCCGCTCTCTGTAATTGGCGGTTTGTATCTTGGATAAGGATTAATAAATGTTTAGTATTTGTTGAGTGTAGACTCGGAACATCAAACAAAATGACACTAGCCAGATCACATTTTCTGTCCTGTAAATTTTATTTACATGTTTGAAAACTGAATTATTAAAATCTCTACGCATTTTTCTGAATTAAAAAAAAGAACTCAACAAAAACAAAGCAAAGGAATGCAGAATTAAACCATCTTGAACTTCTTGCTGTGTTGAAAACGTGTTTTTAGTTTTATTTTGTTTATGCGCATGTATAAAGCCCACTTGAAATCAGAGTGTATTATCTTGAAGTACAGTGTATATGATTCGGTATTTGTATAAGGGGCAAGAAATTATTTTGTATAAATTGTGCAATTTATATGAAAATTAAAAATTGAAATAATTAGTCACACGAGGGTCGTTTGTCCATAATTTGAAGTGTCACGTTTGTTTGATATTATACTACACATAAACCTGTGACGATTAGCCTTTGCACCTATCCACATGACAAAAACCTTATACAAAATGCTTAGCTGTGAATGTTGAACATTGGCGTGATCTATCATTTGATACAGCAAACTAAGACTCCTCTAAAGTAATAGACCTAATTTCTTCAAAAACGTAGGATTAAGGTGGAATGTTTATAAAATACAAGTTTGCAATACAGAACTATTGTACATGATGTACACTCCTATATCCAGTGTTGCCATGATGCTATATCATATACATGTACATTTCGCTCGTACCCGGCACCCAAACAGGGCGCTCAAACATGGTGCTGAAAAGGGCTAATCTCTTTCGCAAACTTTTTCAAAGGAAGCACATGCGTTGCAAAGCATTGTGGGTAGCTTGCTATATACCAAAATCAATGTGTGTGTACACTCGGCGCGAACGCCTCACCTGCTCTCGGAATTAAGAGTTGACCCGTGTTTTTGTCCAAACACATTTGAACCAGTGAGGACTCGAAGAAATTACGTCATGCATCTTGAAGAAAAGAAGTTTGCCCTTCCCAGCGCCCTGTTTGGGCGATGGGTTGAGCGAAACATGTACATTTCAAAGGACTCTTTTCAGAACCCCGTTTCTAGTCACTTCACATTGTTACCTGCAAACTTCCCCATCACATATGTTGTCGCATGTCAATCATGCAACATCGTCATTTATACTCAAGTAACCATCAATAACACTGACGTCTTCCTGAACATCAAGTTATCTTTCTGTTGGTACATTATGGAACGTTGTGAAATGGAATGCCTTGTTACATACAGTGTGTTAGTCTTGGTCCAATTCTGGATTTACAAGATGATCGAATCCAGTCTAGGAAATTTTAAGATTACCCGAGAAATTGTGAGCATACCTCACACACGCACACTACCTTTAACCTGAACTCCCTAGGAATGTTTGCCAGGATGCAACCTCAATCCTGCAATAACCCAACTGCCTCCATGTAAAAATTGCATACAGCCCCAATCCTTCCAAAATCATCTGTTGTTTCTTGAATGTGGTCTACGGAGGGGTGACCACTACCTCAATCCTGCCAAATCCTCTTGTCAATATGATGAGGCAGGGCCAGTGACATCCTGGAGCAGTGCAGAGGATTTCAAGTACAATCTCGGCCTAAATTTATGCACGGCTGAGCATAAACAACACAAGGTCCGGCCCAAGACCTTAACACAATGCATCCTCCAAAACCAGCCACCCATTTTGCCATGTAGCCTCAGTCCTCCATTTTACAAAAAGGATTTTGGAGAATTTGGGAAGGTTAGGGTTAAAGATGCATATACATTGCTTCATTTTTTAAATTGATTTCGATTGTCTTTTCTCCTGACATATTTTCTATTTATATGTTGTTTTAAAATCTACTCTTTTTTTTTTACCGATTTTGCGCACAAATAAACTCGCCCCGCGAGAGCTAAATTGGCAGCCAACAATTTGAATTTTGTTAAGAAATAATTTACTAACTCTGACTCGACATAAGTCGATTTTTTGTTCAGTATCTCCCTCAAATTCAAAAGTTAATTCTTTGTGTAATGTAAGGAAAAAAGCAATTGAAAAAAAATCTACTTTTCGAGGTGAAAATCAAAAATAGCATTGGGAATGCATCTTTAAATACGAGTAAATATTCTGTATTCATTGAGCATGAGTGACACATCTACAGAACTTTGTGTATAACAGAAATGTTAGCAAATTTGTACAACGAAAATAGGAATACACGCGCTGTTACTTTTTACATCTTGATATTTCAAACGCCTCTTTCAAATGGACGATGGAAGTTTAAATGCATAAAATGTGACCATTTTCAGACCTGTACATGTGACACACACCTTTATATGAGTAGCGCAATCTGTACTAGACAACCTGTTCTGTCCATCACTCACTAATGACAAAAACTGAGAAACATGACATAACATAGTCTTTGCCCAAGACACTAGTGATTGACAGTAGATCCTGCATATCTAACAGCATTAGACCAGCGCGCCTGCTCGCACTAACGTCTTGAGAATCATGTACTTGCTGTTTAACTTTTTCTTTTTCTCCCTAGGCTTTCGCGAAAATGGTTTAGAGTCAGTTGTGCGCTCAATAATGAACGTTCAGCCACTGAACGCTGTGCCTTTTGTTTGAGAAAGTTTATAGTCGTCACATGAAAGATGTAGCATGCGCGCTACGTGCATGTGATTAAGCTTTGCTAATTAGATACGTAATGCAGTGATACCCCCGCGCCTGCGACTATATCAAATATGGGAATATTGTTCGAAGACATTAATACCGGTATTTACACCAACGGACATAAAACGGTCACACCCCCATTGCTCCAAGATTCCCCCCCCCCAAAAAAAAATATGCAAGGGTGCTCTACAACAATGCAACCATCGCTGTCGATCACTGACGTCTTGGGCGAAGACTAGACACAACATGGCATATTATGCAAAGGACAAAGCATGTATACGTACTAATTATACTATTGATAATTCACCTAAAAGTATACAAAAGAACTGTCGTCAAGATCCAAAAACAAAGCTCAGACCATACTTAATTTCTCATTCACTCAAGTTTTCAACCAAACAAAAAAAATAATATTTTCCAGGGATACAGGAAAAACTAATGATATTTCTTATCTATTAATTGATTATTTTAGGTAGCTTTAAAAAATCTATTTTAAATGTTTGGGCATCTTTGAAAGTATTTTTTATTTAAGTTGCAATCATTTAAATGCAGCAAAGAAGGTTGCCAATTCTTCTCCAGCACTTAACAACTTTGATTGAAATCATACAAATGCAGAATTACATACATGTACATATATATGGAACGACATACTACTCTACACATGCCTACACATCTGATTAAATAAATATTCCTGGCAAATTGACACCTTTCTTTGGTCCAGATGGGGAACTCTAAGAATGTTGATAACTGCTTCAGATCTACCTCTGTGGCGTGTCTCCCAAGGAATCCGCATCAGAATTCTGATTAGAATTATAAAAACACAGAAAAAACAAAAAATAACAGTTTTTAAACGGGAATTTTTCTAAGTACCCTTACAGTGATGTGTCACTCCAAATATAGCAATGGCCGCAACTAAAGATGGGAATTGGACTAATTATAGTTGGAACAATCATGACAATGCAGTATCTGGGGCGTAGATGCAACGGTACCTCCAGCAGCAAAGACTTTTGCATCCTGCTAAATCCAACAGTTCCAAAATTAATTAGAACTAATGTCTTTTGTTCACTACTTGAATGTCCCGCTGTTGCACTTGTTAAAATATTGCAAACATAAAAAAAAAAAAAAAATTATTATGAAATACCTTACTTGATTGTAAGTCAATAATAGTCCCAAGCATCCTGTGAAATCATGGTGTGCTGTCATTCTAAAGAAAAGTGAAATTTTTGTATCGATTTCGGCTGACCATCATTGGAAAAAAAAACATACTTTTTCAAATACTGCCCCCAATTTAGCAAATTTAGTCCACATTTTGTTTGCAATTGGTTACACATCCATGAAGAGGTATCCCCGACGATATAAATTGCAACCCGACTACAAGATCAATAATTGCTATAAAACACGAAACCCCAAATCCATCTATTTCCAAAAAATTACAGCAACAGCAATGGATGTGTATCATCTTTAAGTTTAAGTTGTGAAATTAATTGCACAAACTAGTAAACAATTTACATTTAAAAAATGAGTGGGGTCTCTTCATATCCCTGCTATTGTCCTAGTGTGAATTTTCAACACATTCCCTTCGAGTAAAGAGCTAGGCCTATACCTCTGATTCTCCATCTGAACCTTGACCCCCAAATCCTGAGGGTGTTGATCCATTAGCTCCGCCCCTCCATCCATCCCCTTCATGATCTTGATTCTCATCATCTCTGCTCTCTACATCTACAACTGCATTGAGATCAGCGACTGCATCGTTTTCATCCAGACTCAAGCTATGAAGGGCAGGGATAATCTCATCATCCCCATCACCACCAGGCTCCTCGCCCGGTGGTGTAAAGAGTCCAAGCGCTTCTTCCTCCAGCATGTCTTCAAAGCAAGACTCGATAAATTCCTCTTCCAGAATCTCCTCCATTACCTGTGAGAAAAGAACAAGGCACGCGATTTGTGATGTTCAGTGCCAAATATATTTTTGAAAGGGTCGCCACTTTTTCGGATTGGGTGCAAACAAACTAAGAGGGGTAAAATGAACCATCAGTTTTCATTTTTATTCCAATCTTTGATTCTCTCTAATTAGTTGAAAGATGAGAAAGGGCATTTAAACTCATTATCTTGCATTACATTTTACTTAGTTCCTAATAAATCCATAAAGCCATCTTGCTCAGGCAGTTTCTTTATAAAGTGCCTCACCACAGTTGATTTAGGCCTACTTAATTAAAGAGGAGAACGTACACGTACATGATCAGGTGATGATAGCCAGAATCAGGATATATATACATGTAAGGGATGAGGAGGGGGGGGGGAAATCGAGACTGACCTGTAAATTGACCTCATCTTCTTCCTTAGGATCTCCCATCCACATGTACTCCGCAAATGGATTATCTTGCTCATTGCTAGTTGTCATAGCAGCAGTGTCTTTATCTTTATTAGGATCATTTTCTGCACCATCACCGCTCCCTGTACTTGATTTCTCCATCAATCATATTAGGTTGTCATAGCCGTCAATGAAGAAAAACACTGCATTTCAACAACAAAATAAAATATGGCAGAATATTTCGAGATTTTTGTTTAAATTGTAGTGAAGGCCAACGTGTGCTAATATAATCTAGGAAAGAATGTTGCAAACTGACGCTGCTTTTTCTTAACATATCATCTCAATGAAGGTCAGTCATTGCAAATATGATAAGACGGAAAAAAATCTTGTCTGGCGCTGTTGTGCGCTTTCTTGTGATTTGCGCAATCATAAGAATGCGCTTGCACATTCTTATGATTGCGCAATCGGATCCTTGCGCAATCTTCGCCAAAAAAAACCCTTCCAGATTGGGCGCACATTCTTAAGAATGCGCGACAAGGTAACGGTCTTGTTGGCAGAAAAATGCAATAATAACAGGTTTAATTTGATTCAAATTATCGTAGTTATACGAGTACAGAAGCCGCATCATTTTCTTTCCTCGTTATAACTTATATGAATTATTTCCCCTTTAACTGCGCGCTATACATTTCATTTATCATAATTATGCCGCGCATGCCATGCAATGTTTGTTAAGATTGCGCAAAATTCATAAATTGCGCACGTGATATTCCCACGCAATCTTAAGAATGAGCGCTCATTCTTCAGATTGCGTGCTCATTCTTAAAGAATGCGTGCTCGTTCTTAAGAATGCGCGCTCATTCTTAAGACTGCGTGATTTGCAAAAAAGCGCACAACAGCGCCACTTCACTGACGATAAAGCTGACTTCAGCAGCGCAGGTGCGTCATGTGTGTGTACAAAGTCTATGGAGAGTCAAGAAAATTGTCCCTATTTTAGTAACAAAAGTAACACAATTGGAAATGTTTCTCAGTCCAAGATTCATGTCTTATCGTCAATTTTTGGCAAATTTCTAAAATGTGCACAATGTAAATGTTCATTAGTATCGATGCATTTACCATTCACTTAATCTGGATCACAGAAACATCACAATCTGACATTCGCACAACTCACGTAGAAAATTCCCCGTAAATCGCACGCAACATTAGTGTGTGTGGTTCCCTAACGACTCGTATACGGCATACAAGATTAAGTGCGAAAGAGCATCTACATTTGTTATGTTGAGCACCAGACTACCGTGCATTTCAATACAGTTGTGCAATGTTGACAGCTGATCGAATTGAACTAGTGTTACGCCCCAACTATTTGCTGTTTTTTCGTTCATTGTGGAAACAAGTAAGGCGGCCGCACGGTTCACAAGTAATACAGTAAGTTCTTCTGACACTTATGTGCACATTTAGTGGATTTTTAAAAAAGAGATATATCGATATGCCATTTTTTAACTTACTAGTAGTAGGCCTATAGTATTACTGTCTAAAAAAATCACACGTCTCGCGTGTGAGTATCTGCATTGTGTCATTGTTGTGCGCTTTCTTGAAAATCACGCAATCTTAAGAATGCGCGCGCATTCTTAAGAATGAGCGCGCGTTCTTAAGAATGAGCGCGCGTTCTTAAGAATGAGCACGCGTTCTTAAGAATGAGCGCTCATTTTTTTGATTCTAGATGCTCTGTGGTGCGATCTGAGGCAATTTCTGACCACTTTAACCAATGTTTTTTTGAGAAAAAGATGGTGGTGTACTCATTGCCTGCCTTTATTGCGATGTCACATAAAAAAATATAAAAAATTGGTTTCGTTGGGGGGGGGGGGCCATGGCCCCCTTTGGCCCCCCCCCCCCCCCCCCCCTGGATCCGCCCTTGTAATGGTGGGGGTGTGAACAATAAATTGGTGGCAATTTAAATGGGAAATAGCATTAGCACTATGGGATGTCACAGTATTCATTCTCTTTCTTCACATTCTTCATTCTTACGTCCCTCCCCCCCCCCCCCCCCCCCCCCCCCCCGCTTTTATTATCCCAAAAATCAGAATTCTTTCCAATACACTATTATTATGTCTCCCGGTCCCCCCCCCCCCCCCCCCAAATACGCGTATACTTTTCATATCCACTCTACTTTTCAGCGCCTTGCGTTGCAACAGTATAATTAATAAGAATCAGTGAACGAGGATGCAGCTAGACTTGCCAAGCGCAGCCGGTGCACGGCATCGACAAGACCGTTATCTTGTCGCGCATTCTTAAGAATGTGCGCTCAATCTGGAAGAGTTATTTTTTGCGAAGATTGCGCAAGGATCCAGTTGCACAATCATAAGAATGTGCATGCGCATTCTTAAGAATGCGTGATTTTCAAGAAAGCGCACAACATCCTTTCTCTATGTGTCTAGCCTTTAGTCAAGTCCCACGCGCCTATACGTGGACCATCTGGACACGTAACGCACGTAAAAAGACTAGCACGAGCGGCAAAGCCGCGAGGGCCTTTACTATCTCATGGAACTAATCACTAATCACAGAAAAATGCTTTTCCCATCTTTTTTTCATTGCATGCGAGTTTTCATCGGTTTCTACTGACAGTAACTGTAGTGATGTACATCATTCTGCATTCCGAACTCAAGAACCATTCATTTTCAAGAAAATGATTTAGGAACAAGATTATTTCCGAAGTTCCTATACGTCAGTGCAAAAGAGTTTTAAACAGTGTGGATAAATTTGTGATATGTGTTAATTAGGGCTGTCCCTGTCGAATTATTTAGTAGGCCTATTGGATTATTTGAAACTGCATTCCACTGAATATTCAAATATTCAAAAACTGCCAAGGGCTTTAACCTGCTAAATGGAGGAGAACAATGAACCGACGTTGACAAAAAAGTTACTGTGGACAAAAAGTGGCATCCGACAATTAATACACCGCTGCAACGTTACGATTAAAATCACAGTCGTGTTAGTACATTTTTCTTTCAAATATTCGAACCGGTAAAAAACTATTTGGATATTCCGTTTATGATCGAATATTGGGTATTTGGTATATTTCGGACAGCCCTAGCGTGTTTCCTGTTAATCAAAGTCTTCAATGACAAGTTTTGTATTGTGCATGTTTTCTTTTTCAGGAATAATGCCTCAACGCAAATCACCAGGAAGTCTGCATAATGTGTGTCTACAATTCATTGCCAAGAATGTGACTTACTGGACTGAACACTATGAAGAGTATCACCTAGGGCAAGCAGTATATCGCTTTGTTCTTGGACCATTCAATCAACTTAGTAAGTTTCTCTTACTTCAGTTGCTCTTGTATTAAATCATCTTAAAAAGTGGAGTTATTTCCATCAAAAATTGCACAAATTGTTGAAACACATAATTGCTGAAGCGTTCATAAGGAAAATGGATCCATAAAAGTATACCACTGTATAAATAATTTCTTCTCGTATTTCGATAAAAAAGCCAAAATGATTTTAAAAAAACAAGGGAAAGTTTTCATTCCAAGCACAATTTGCATTAACACTGGCATGAATTTCTGTCTCAAACCACACACAATTTCTTTTGTATGTAACTAATAAAAATTTGGATTTTAAGAAAGTTCTAAGCTGCATCTGTTTTACTTTGTTAAGCGAAGTTGAATTAAATTTCACCCAAAAATCATTAAATTCATGATAATTTCTTTCAGACTCTCAACTTTCTGAAGATCTGCTTGCAATTCTCGTCAAGCACCAACGACTAAGCCGATCAGCTCTCCATCTCCTGCTGTATGGGGGCGCACTTCGTCAATTGGATCTGAGCAGTTGTAACCGCATCGTTAATGATGAAGTCATTGGAATCGTTGCGTCTTCATGTAAGGTATGAGAATAACAAGTAGCAACACACCATCTCGACTCTCGAGGTCTAAATGAACAGAAGAAATGGGCTTATCGCACTTTATTGCCATTCATAAATACTTTTTTTAGTAGAACAGTAAAGTTTGTATCGCACTTCAATTAAATTAAAAAATTAATGATGGGCCAAAAAAACCCAGTTTTCCCAGCCACTCTGGAAAAAAGGAAAACTCTGAAATATAGAGTTTCCATTTTTTCCAGTCAGGGAAACCTCAGGGAATTTTGCCAAAGCGCCAAATATTAGGGGTTACTTTTGGAATTTGGCAGTGACCCAGAAGGGAGGGTTTTTGCCAGTTTGGTGTAGGTGCGTCTTATGCCATGTTTCCATTGACTGACTGGCTATGGTGGCTTTTTATGCAGTGTGTGTACCACACAACTCCCCAGACAATAACAATTGGCTGTGCTACACCACCTCTTGACTACCTTGTTAAAATGAAAATATTTTTCATGAATTTTGGAAATTTTGTTTTCAAAAAGTGACGGGTTATCTGAAAAAAGATATTGAACTGACATCTTCCGCAAACAAAATACAGGAAGATTCACTCATTGATAACGGAGTTAAATGCATTCAATCAGCCAAGACTAGGCACTCTAGCATTTCATTAGATATCATTTTTGTTTAAATTGAAATTTCTACAGATGCTTCAGGCATTAGACTTGTCTTACTGCAAGCGCGTTACATCAGCAGGGTTTGTTGCCATAGCAACCCGTCTTCCTCAACTCTCCACCTTGAATGCCACAAAGACAAACCTCCGCGGCTCAGCTGCTCAGGGTATATTCAAGCATTGCTTCGGACTGAGGGATCTCTCGTTGAAACATTGTCTGGTCAGTGACCAGGACGTCATGGTACTGTGCCAGGTCGCTTCATCAGGCCATTCAAAGACTCAGTTGAAGCGGTTGGATATTTCCTATACATTAATCACCGAGAAGGGAGCACGTGCAGTACTTGAAGGCATTCCACAGTTGCAGGTGTTAGAATACCCAAGTCTACTAACTAGCTTATATGATAACCCTGAACCAGACAATGCGGATTCTGTCTTGCAACATTCAAAGTGCTACAAACTACGATCAATACAGTGCCAGGATTATATGTCGGTCTCTAATGGCATGCTCCAAGCTATCCCTGACCTTTGCCCCCAGGTGACCCAGCTTGACCTCAGGTTTGCCTGCGGTTTCGACAGTGAAGGTTTAGGTCATCTGACGCAATTGAAAAACCTGAAAGATCTTCAGCTTTGTTGTGAAGAGAGTGAGGATATCACTTTTGCCAGCGGCATCCTGCCAGTCCTGCTGGAGATTGGTCAGAATTTAAAAGTTCTATCTCTTCAAGACATCGATGGGCTGGATCCAGTGGCGGTATGTCAACTCTGCCCCAATCTCAGGAAACTTTTTCTTCTAATGATGACAGAGGGGAAAGTGTTCGGTTCGGTCCCAGGAATTCCCAACAATAACGGTCTTCAAGCCATGACGGGTTTAATCCAGTTGGATTTCTGGTGTCAGAATGGCGACTTATCCCTATCGGAGGAGGCCTTGGGTCAGGTATTGTCAAACAGTGTCGCAGTGCAGACCTTGGGACTAATCAGAATTGATACGTTCACAGATAACGTCTTGTGGGACGTTCTAAAGAAAAATAACTTTACGAACCTCAAGCAGCTATCAATACATGAATGTCATTGCATCACGCAGGAAACACTGTCTGAGCTACTTCTCAGCTCTGGTAACCAGTTGGAGTTTGTCAAACTTATCAACTGCGTTCAGATTTCTCGTAGAGACTACGAGACGTGGGAAAGGATTGCCAAGAGAGAAAATTTCAACTTGAAGTTAGAATGGACATGATAGAAGTAGCTGAACAAAATGGGTTTGTCCAAACATGTCCAAAGAGAACGTGCAAACTTTAATATCAGCCTTTGTTAATTGATTGCTTTCTGAACGCCTATGCACCTGTAGAGCCCAAACTTGCTGAAGTAATTGTGGAGTTTATCCGTCTTTTTTCATGGTAAAAAGACAATGGCCAAAGCAAAGAAAAGTAAGAAATAATGCCAGCCGGAGCACAGAGGATCATCCAAAAGATTTCAACATAAATATAAAATAATGATAAAAACTTAAAGCAAAATATATAAAATGAGGCTTAAATTTGCAGTGCCCGGTACAAGGCAGTAGGGGCTTGATTGCCTAATACCCACTTCACAGGCAAGTTGCCCCCTTCACGGGCGTGTCGCCCCCTTCACGGGCGTGTCACCCCCTTCACGGGCGTGTCGTCTCTTCACGGGCGTGTCGCCTGCTTTGCAGACGATCCCTAAACCTAAACTGAACCGTTTATGCACTCCTTTTTGTTTCGCACGTTATTTATTAACTTGTTTCACACAGACCTGGAGTATTTTACTGACTTACATGTAAAGATTTTCATAAATTCATGAGCATTTTGACCCTATTATCTTTTGTGAAAGCTAACAATTCACTTATATTTTATTGCAATCATGCACTAGAATGTTTGTGTTTTACACTGCACTTTAATTAATTTGAGTAAATTTAGGAATAATTTTTTAATTGTATATTGAAATGGGGTTTTCGTTCGGGGAAATTTCCAGCTTTTTTTTTGGGGGGGGTGTTTTTTTTTTACAAATATAGAGAGTTTTTTTTTTTTGTATTGGGGGTGTGAGGCCTTTTGTCAAAAGTGCTCAAAAGACCATGATAAATGAAAGGCTATGTATATGTGTGTTCATGTACATGTTCTGAAGTAAAAAATGTGCCTGTACAATTTTCAGTATTGTTACATGAGTACTATTATAGTTTGTATTGTTTGGCATTATGCAAGTCTGACATTGTGCACGTAAATTGCAAAATATATTTGAGCTGAAATATACTTTGGATGTTCTAAAGAAAATGTTCTGGACCAAATACATGTAGGTCAATATGGTCAACAAAGTCAAACATTTGAAACTGAACTTCAATTTTAATATAATTTTAGATTATAATTATTAATTTACAATTTGAACCGATCAAAAAGTACAATTTTTTTTTTTTCAAAGAATATTTCATCCTCCATCAAATCCCAAATTTCTAAACTCGGCTGATTTCTTCAGTCAATGCCTCCAACAAATGATCATTGACTTTCATTGCTTCATTGAATAAAAGTATTATTAATTTTAGTAACTGAATGAATTTTAAAGTATAATTGATGAAAAGTGCAAATTCTGAAAATATGTGTGCATAGACTGAACTACGATCTTGAAGTTTGAAAAAGGGACAAGAATTTTTTTTATGTACAGCAAATTATGAATATATACACTTGAAGTTGCATTTTTATGTACATCCTTCTTCACATTTCTTAAAAAGAAATGGTTGTTTGACTTTTTTCTGAGTCTACTATGCATTTTATTCGTGGAGACTGAATCCTTTAAAATAATGTTCATTCGATAATTCAAGATTTGTCATTTTGAATTGTTTGTCTTGTCATTCAGGTTTTCCCAGTCTCAATCATTTATCAATACAAGCAGCAAAATATTTTATTTATTAAGTGTCCTATGACACACCGTTAGTTCTTGGTTGTTGATCGTGACATTCAAGGCCCTACATCCAGGCTCTGGATGTCTTTAAGAACATTTGTGCCTAAATACATGCAAAGCAAAGAAATCTTTTAACTACAGCTGATGAGATGCTAGTATTCAACTGAAAGTCTATCTTCAGCATCAGGTTTATGCGTCATGAATAGTTTTAGTAAATGTTTTGTTTTGCGATGACTCTCAAATTAGTTTGAGTTCATACAAGCAGTGAAGTATTCAGAGTAATAGGTACAACTGGAGCTGACACGTTGAAACTTGTGGACATCATCGAAGGTTGTGGCATCGTTGAGTTGACATAGTTTCTGTCCTTGCTCCTTGATGATGACATTGAAGGACCGGCATCCAGACTCCGTGATACAGGCAGAGGTGCAGCTAGCAACAGTCTTAGTGACAAACTCTCTGATGATGTGATCGATGAGACACCAGTTAGTAAACTGGGGGTTATTGCTTGAAGCGAAGCAGTGTTGGCGAAGCCCTCTCAAACGATAGACGCAGACTGCTCGGAAACCAACATGGCACGGTTGTGTTTGCCACACCCCAGTATATGGCTCAGGATAACCGTTTTCTTGCACGGCACAGGTGAAGTATGGCCCAGACGTCTGGTCAGGGAATCCAGGCTGACTAGGGATCCAATTTGTGTAAGTGTCACTCTGTTCTTGACCCTCACAAACCCACTCTCCGTCGCCAGCCTCATCCCTACAACCAATCCAAAGATTGACTCTCTCAGGCACCATGCTCTGGAGTAGCTGGTTTTCCTCTGATGAGTGAGGAGCAGCCAGCTCGCCCCCCATAGCCTGACAAGCTGCCTGGTTCTTGGCCCATGATTCGCCCAAAGTGAAGGGATTAACAACACGGTAACATGCATTGCCTATGCGGTTGAATGTCGGCGGGCAACGTCCAGTACATGTAGGTGAGGGGCAGGATGCTGATCCTCGTCTTGCTACGATGATGATGATGATGATGGCAGATAGGCACACGGCACTGGCTTTTAGCAGCAACATCTCTATAAGATCAGATTACTGTTGATGTCTTAATTTCAAAATTTAAAGTCTCAAGTTCATCACCGATGTGGATGCATGGATACCAACACACAGCAGACTGAGGAGTGAAAAAGCCTGTCCTGTGGTTTATATAAACCACATTGGTCAAGGTTCACATCACTTTATACAATGAAGAGTCTATCCGTTTCGTAAGTGTACAGACGTCATCTCAACTTAAACCACGGCCACTACCCATGGAGTAGCATTGGAGCCATTGCAACCGGGAGTAGTACAAAGTGGCATGTTTAGCCAATGGGTGCAAGGTATCACAGTGGTACGTGGGCATGTACGTGCAGTCACTTACGGACTGGATACAAGGGCTTCAATTACCAAGGACAAATTTTATCATGTAATAACTTAGCTGTCATCAAATTTTCACATGCATACTGCAAAACATCTCCTGGTTTATTCAAGATGTCCTCGCCAACCACTAAAGGTCAAGTGGCAATATTTTTAGGAGCTGTTTTGGCAAATTGGCAAGATATAAATGCTGTCAAAAAGATCATGAGGATAATCCTCACAATTAGGAAAGAAATTCTTACAATATTTTTATATCAGGTTTTCAAATTGTCCTACTTTTCCACTTTTTCTTATTTTTTTTGTTTCTTGCTCCTACTTTTCCTGCACTTTTATTGCGATTCCTACATGTACCTTTTCCTACTTTTTTGTGCCGCAACTCCGAAAAAATGAAATCTCATTGAATATTTTTCACAACCGTGTTACATGCTGTCATGTAAGTCACACAATGAAGGGCTTGGGGGCAACTGTACTTCCAAGAGCTTAAATTTGAGGATGGAGCACAAGTTCTGAGTACAGAACATGCCAAATGAAGCTTGTAATGCTGCAGAAATGGGTGATTGTAAACAAAAACTCCTGAAAGTCGAAAAGTCCTACTTTTATCCCGATTTTGTCCTCTAAAGTCCTAATTTTTTTATTTTTTTTTGATCCCCCTGTTGTTTTTTTTCCACCTGGATCTGCTTGAAAGCCTATGAATGTACTTTCTTTCCAGCAGCATGTCTCATACATTTTCCTACATTCTCATAAAATCTGACCCCATGCACTGCACAGCAGAAAACAATTGAGTAGTTTTAAACAGTGTAGAATTAGAAGAAAAAGTTTATTTTAAAAGTTCATTTTAATTCATCGTTGCTTGACTGAACAATGTTAAGGTTCAAGAATGCATTGACTTTTTATCAATATTTGTCTTGGTTTAACATAATGCTACAAACATATCAAGGCTGCTCTCATGAAGACAAGTTTTTGAGAGTTTGAAAGTGGACCAAGACTCAAAATGATTTTGTAATCAGTAGATCCTGACTCTAAAAATGTACTCAATGATCAAGATAGAAGGGGATTTAATACTACTATACTAAACCTCTGAATTTGTGATCACAAATTTTTGAATTTTTCTCCTATGGTTTTGCACTCAGCCACTTATTGCATAAACCAAAGTGTCCTTAAAGTTGACAGGGGATAATGACTAATTATACGTCAAGGGCGCTTAGAACAATTAATCTAAACTAACTGACCGAGCTGGCTAGATATTATTTTGAAAGTCACCTATTGCATTTTGCTAATTAATCAAGCTAACGATCCCTGTGTAATTAGCCATCTTCATAACGCAAATTGCCTTTGCATGCTGAAGGTTATATATGCAGTTAATTTTGATAAACAAACCAATCTTATAACCTTTGCATGCTGAAGGTTATATATGCAGTTAATTTTGATAAACAAACCAATCTTATAATTAATTGCCTGACATGCCTGATACCCATGGTCATTTTTTTAATCAAGCTATTATTTTTATTACCAATTCCCTTTTTCAAGGAAAATTCAGTGCAATTATTTTCTAGCAGTTGATACTTAATAGCGTGAAAGATGATGATGGTACAGCTTTTCGGGGAAAGTCCAACACACTCAAACTTTTCTCATGTTAAGTTAAAAAAAACTAGTGAACCAGACAGAATTCGTCTGTGAGAGGGGGAGGCTTGCAAATGACCACGACATATGATTTTGAATGAATGAATGAAGACTGTTGAATTGAATATAGGAGTAAATGGGTACCCGTGAGGGTCGAAGACCGATTGAGCGCTGATATCGGCTGCTGCGTGGTTTCGTGGCCTGATGAACGGGGTAATAATTGGAAAGCGCTTTGAGATTGTTGATACGATGGAAAGCGCTATAAATGCACTACGGTTATTATTTCTTCTTAATGTTGCGTTCATAACTTGAGAAGTTAATCGGGCTGATGAGTAGTTGGCCCAACACTGGCTAGTCGGCTGATGCGGCTGCCACCTTATGGCCAAAGTGGCAGTTCAATGGCTTTACATGTGGAAATTACTTAAAGGAATATGAATAAGGAACTGATAAAGAAAAGGATCTTGTGGATAACCATTTATTTGTTATTGTGCAATCCTGAATTGCTACATGTATATCTACAGAGCCTTTGTGTGCTTATAACGACAGGAGTAAAGACCCTAAGTTAATAGTTCACTTTTGCAGGCAGTCACTTCCATATCATGGGCATCGCCAGGATTTTTTCTTGGGGGGGGGGGAAGAAGGTACATTTTTTTTCCAAAAATCCTTGCACTTTCTCTAGCATACTCTCAATTTATCATTTTTTCGGGACAGCTGGGACATTTACCCACCCCTACCCCATTGACACCCCTGCAGACGCGCACGTTGTTAAATGTGTATTAAATTAATAGCAAATATGAATTCGCACCTCTTTTTATTATTTTTCTTTCTTTTTTGCCCCTGTCTTTTTTGTTTCCTTGGGGGGGGGGGGAGCATCCTGGCAACGTCCGTGGTCACTTCAATTTTAAATCCCTTAATGGCGAAGACCTTCAAACATCCATGGTCACTTCAATTTTAAATCCCTTAATGGCGAAGACCTTCAAATCGGGTATCGCATTTTACAAATTGAGTAAAACAAGCTATAGGAAGCAATTAAGGAATTGATGTTTTAAGTAATGACTCCAACTAAGTGCATACAATAAGAGGCAATTAAAATTCTACTCAAGCCATTTTAGGCCCCCAAAAAAGTCTCTGGTTTCTGGTATGGAGCTTGCCCCAAAAGTGGTGCAGCGAAGCGGCTTTTTTTTTTTTCTTTTTTTCTTCTCCAAATGTTGGCTGATGACTGCAAATGGTGCCAGACTAAATTTAGTGCAAAATATAAGGGAGTCCAGAGAGGCTACATAAAGCTTATACTCGATCGTAACCCCTTGTAAAAACACGTCAAACCAGTGAGTTTGGCGGTTTTGAGACATCATCTTACATTGAACCAAAAAGTTTTCATTTTGCCGACACGCATGGCTACGGCGACGCGCACGCATACCAGAAACCGGAGACTTTTTTTTTTGGCCTTAGGCTATTTCTGCTGTTATTGGCAAAGGCGTAGACAACAGTTGAAAACAATTAAGGGATTCGGATGCAGCCTCAGTTTGTATAAAAACAGCCGTGCAGACTGTATAAGGCCATAATTGTACTTCATCTCTTTGCTAACCACATCCAACCATCCAGCATTATGATCTTCTTGGTTGTTGTCACTCAAGTAGCAATCTTCAGCTCATCAGCAGTGGGCCTAGACACCTGCACATCCCCATCTCATCCCTGTTGCCCTCCTATGTGGGTCCACTGGAATGACTCGTGCTATCGTGTTACTCAGAAGGTGCCAGCGCTCCAAGCCCAGTCTATCTGTCGTGAGCTCGGAGGCCAGCTACTTGCTCCTCGTTCAGCCGAAGAAAACGAATTCATCACTACAGTTATTCCAGAGGGTGAATTTCATGTCAGCATTGGCTGTGACGACAGGAAGACAGAGGGAGTATGGGTATGCAACGGCCAAACGGTGGTTGAAGATACTTTCACCAACTGGCTTGGTGGCACTCCGGCTACTGCGTACAACCAAGGGGTAAATGACTGTGCCATCCTTGTGTACGATGCAAAGTGGTACGCCTATAGCTGCACCGATGAGGCCATTCCTGCTACTTGCAGGATGAACGTGGGTGATGCCTCTTACTACGGCAGATCTCTCTCCCATACCTTCGCAATCAGCGATGAGGGAAGAGTAATTACTTCAAACTGTCTTGCTGGTCACGTGATGAAAGAGTTTCAAACCTCAAGCGACCCTCAGTGTGCTGCAGCCTGGATGTCGTTCCTTCAACATCAAACACATCGAAACTGGACAAAGATTGTGTCAGCTTAACAACTCCACCTACTTTGAGGACCCCGACGCCTTTCATGACTTTAACTTCTGCAAATATGCTGATGCCTGCGCTGGTCACCATGGTGACTAAGAGACTGACGAGTATTTCCTTGCCAGCAGTACATCAACCCCCTTCAACTCGTCTAGTCTACAGCTCCTCTTCAGAAAAAGAAATCACTTAACATCAGACCAAAAAGATCAGCCAATATTTTTTCCCGGTCAATGCCATCCTGAAACAATAAATAAAAATAATAATTTGGGAGGCTAATCGTCTTTACTCACAGCTGAGAAGCTGAATTGCGAAGGACGCGGCTGCAAAGTGATCAAGCGGCCGGCATGTAATGGCATCTTTGGCAGTCAGCCATGTGACCCATATATGACCACGGACCACAGCCAGACATTGAAAGTGTTCGATTGTTTTTCGGAGGGAGAAAAACCAGAGGGCCCGGAGAAAAACCCTCAACGCACAACTCTACTCACAAACGGCCCTAGTTGGGAATGGACCAGGGCCACACTGGTTAGAGGCAAGCACTAGCCACCCATGAACAGCAACAAAGTATGTGAATTATCCTGCCTTGAACCAGGATGACTGCCAGTGACACTAACACTATTTCAGACTTATCTGTGATACCGCTTAAAATGAAAACTGTAACCATACAACTTCATTTTGCCTCTCTGTTACACCACATGAAATTAACGGACAGCTCTTACCATTTTCCACCTTCTGAATTTCAAAATTTTTTTATTTTTTTCTTCATAATTTATAATTATATCTCCATCTGCAATTTTTGAACATAAGTATTTCAAATTATTACATTTAGATCCTTTTAGAAATATTTAGAGATGTGCAGTGCTAATATTTGCCGTGACAAAATAGCCTGACGGCATAAATTGGCATATCATCAAAAATTTTCAGAAGCATAATTGAAAAAAAAAAATCTTTAAATCATGAGCTGTGGTAAAATTTCCACCTACTAAATTTCAAAATTTTATTAAATGTCCTTCATAACCGTTATATATTCATCTTAGATTTTTTAGCATAAGTAAGGTATTTCAAATCATTATATTTTAATCCTTTAAGAAATATTTAGAGATTTGGAGCACTGATATTTGCCATGGCAAAATAACATGTTCAGGATGTTGGCATTATCAAAAAGTGGATTTTGTTACAATTGTATTTTCAGAAGTATAATTTAAACAAAAAAGTAAGAAAAAAATTCTTTACATTGTGAGTCGTGAAAAAAATTTCCACGTTCTAAATTTTCAAAATTTGATTGTTTTTTCTTTCAGAATTTATATATCCATCTGTGATTTTTAACATAAGGTAATTCAAATGATTATATTTAAATCCTTTTAGAAATATTAATAAATATGGAGCGCTGATATTTGCCGTGGTAAAATAACATGATGGCATAATTAAAAAAGGGATTTTTGTAAAAATTGTTTTTTTTTCAAAAATATAATCACGAGTTATGATAAAAAAATAATTCTGTACAGCCTGTATTTATCCATATAGCAAACGAATGGTTTCACTGACAATATTTTTCATGTTTGCAATTTCACCTTGCATGACTAAATAAGCCAGATAAGAATTCATACAAATCTTTCATTATACATGATGCACGTATGCATAAATTATGTACCGTAATCTTAGAAATATAAGCCGCGGCTTATACATGTACGTTGAATTTGCCCATGAAAAAGTTTACTGCGGCTTATACACAGGGCGGCTTATACACCGAGCCTTGAAGAATAAATATGAGATTCAAATGTGTATTTAATGTACTGGTTCAAATATTTTAGCTGTTTAAAAAAAAAAAAAGACAACAAATACTTTTCATGGAGTTCAAAACATTTCTTTATTCGATCATCAGTTGTTCAACGTCACATTATAATTTTTTTCTTGAAATGTATTCAAGAAACGATGTAAAACTCAAAACAGGGGCTAAATCACCCCTTACGAAATTAATGGATTCCATAAAAATGTCAGCATTGTGTTGACTGTTAGTAATCACAACAATTTGATAAGTTTTGTTTATATAATAATAGGTGTTTATTTCTCATCATCAATTTCCATATTTGTTTGTAAGAGTATCGACTGTAAATGATTTGATATAACTTTTGTGGCCCTTTTTATCCTTTCGTAGTGTAAAATGGAACTGGTTCAGAGCATTTTGACTAGAATTTGGAGGCTTTACAAAACTAAAACCGCTGCGGTCGTGCGGCTTATACCCCGGTGCGGTTAATAGTAATTCGCCGACTTCAAATCTTAATTTGCAGATTTTTGCGTGCTGTGGCTTATACTCCGCGCGGCTTATATTCCGAAAATTACGGTACTCATATTTTACATGTTGTAACATAGCTGTAGGTTTTGCCGCTCAAATTTGTCATAAATTCAACTTCATTTTTAAACGTACATAAACGATTTTAATCACACTGCTACTAATTCCTTGGTTCTTAATCATTTTCATGGCGTTTTATTTCGTTTACAGACATTCAAATTTGCGCCATTCAATTAAATAGCACCCAATCGTAATTTAATTTAGCATACCTTTTTAATGAGGTTTCTACGTTCAATTCTTACTTTCCTTTCTGTTTATGTGCAATCAATTTAGCACTTTGAGCATTCAAAATTATTACATCAAATGAACAAAAAGTAACCGACAGTTACGATGAGAACAAAAAGCTTTACAAATAACAAAGCATTCTTTATCCTTTACTTGATGTATACATAATTATCTTGTTGGAATTATAGATATAATTCTTTCAAGTTTCTGGTGATTGTTCTCCAAAATCATGGAATGAATCCCAATGCCAAAATGTCGAATATTTGTTCCCAATTATGAATTCAGTTGACCATAATTCTTGTCGCATGGCTTGGGCGAATTTGAATGCTCCTTGCCTACAATTTCAATTTGAATGAGCATACTTTTAATTTAAATTTGATTGTTTTATTTTCCCAATCGCGTGCTCAAAAAACTAAATTGAACATTTTATTTTAGTTAACTGAACGAAGATCTGAAACTGCATTCGAATGCACACTAAAATGAATGACTTTGAAGCTAATTTAGGTGTTAATTTGTTGAAATTGAGCGGGAAAACCCATATTATAAGATTTACTGCAAATAATAATTGTGGTTTGAGCGAGACAGAAATTCTTTTTCTGTTTGCCAAATGAGTTTTAAACCTCCAAAATAACTGAGCAAAAGGAACTCCATCATTCAAATTTGTCCATAACTTGAAAACTGATGTAAAAATAAATGCATACATTTGCTCACTCCATTTTGGATTTTATCAATATTTTTTCAGTTTTGTTTATGCATTAATAAGGCTGTAATCCATATGTCTTCAAGTTGACCTTTGACCTTTACACAACCTTGTTGGAGATGGTCCCTATTTCATCGATTTCACATTCCACCACATCACCTCGCTGAAAAAAAAAGGAAAAAAAGGGAATGATAAGAAAATAACTTACACAGGATTTTCAAATTTCTAATGTGGATTTCACTGACGAAGAATTGAACCTTACCTAGAATTAACGTACCAACTGATCTAACATAAAAATCCTTGCTCAAAGTAATCAAATACCCTGTGAAATAATTCTGCCTGAACTGGTTCAGTTTTACTGAATTGAAACTTGAACAAGCTAAAAAGCAGTAAAACCAAAAAAGCAGCAACATACCCTTGAAAATGGCAAGATGAAAATTGAAACTAGGGTTAAATGAGACACAAAGGCGCACTTTCAAGGGAGTGCATTAAAAAAAATAGATTACATGTGCCCATTAAATACTCTTTGCTTAGCTGCAAATGTCAGTTTAACCAAAGTGATTAAATCATTTTACCTTGAGGAAGATTGGTTTGGGTTTTCGGAAGACACCAACACCCGACGGTGTGCCAGTCAAGATCAGATCTCCAGCCCTCAGCGTTAGCAACCTTGGATCAAAATATAGCAATAATCAATCAAATGACTCATTCAAATAAAAAGCTTGTTTTTGGAATGTTCCAAGGATCAGAAAGGAATTTTCCATCTAACTTTGGGAAATAAAGAAATACACCTTTTAAAATGCAACACTGACAATATGAAATTCTTATGTTCCATTGTCTTTGATATTTTTGTTACATCGTCAGCTAGTTTTTTCAGCATCAAGGCCAATTAAAAAATAAACCAGTTTCTCGTCCTTGCCACTTGGTTTTTCCCACCCACCTCTTTTTTCTTGTTTTTTTTAATCATAAGTTTGCAATATATTTGTCTTTTTGTTTCCAAAATTGCAGCTATGAATGAAAGTTCAAAATCTGGTAAAAAGAGTGACGGAATCTGGTAAAATGGAGACAAAAACATCAGCATAAGAGTTGAGAAAATGGAAGAATACATCCACCATCTTGGGAGGGGTGAAAAAGAGGAGGAGAAACTATTGTTTTATCCGGCTGAACTCGCATAATCTCTGGAATCACTACCAGTATCACCAATAAAATCACTGTTATCAACATAATCACAAGAATTATTTATCACCATTATCATTACTAAACTGTCTTTATTGTCAACATGGTCAAGCAAGAAAACATGTACCTGGAAATAAATGCAATCAGCTGCATTGTGTTAAACACCAACTCGTTAGTGTTGCTATTTTGTCTCGTTTCGCCATTCACTCTGCATCTAATTCCCAAATTATGAGGATCTGTCAAGAGAGGAAATTGCAACTCACGATGAAAGTTATCATCTAGATCTGTATATATATCAATCTATATTATATTTGCTTTGTTTTGGCCAATCTACTCTGTCAGCTGTCAGTCTTTTATTGATGATCAAATTTCACCCTCCTTCTTGTTTATTCCCCAGTGGCATACATGTACATCGAGCATAGGGATTCTGGATATCCTATTAGCATGTGGGCACCAATGGTCTCCGTGCACAAGTGCCCCCTCAATTGTCAAAAAGGGGAGATTTGGGGAAGACCACTGGGAGACATTCCCCCCACCTACCCCCCCCCCCCCCCCCCACCGCTCATAGTTATGCCACTCCCCTTTGCAACCACAGATGAATTTCTGATTCAGTTTTTTGTACCTGAGATCTCCTCCTTAGTCACAATAGCTGGGCCTACGGGACAGAACGTATCCATGGTTTTACCCAGTAGCCATTGGCCACCGTTTTTCTTAAGTTGCCAATCTCTTGCGCTGACGTCATGTGCCACTGTGTATCCAATCACGTGATCCATGGCATCAGATTCCTTTCAAACGAATATTTAAAAATAATTTAAATAATTTCCTTCTGCATGGTCAGAAAGAAAAGGTGAACAGATTGTTTATAAAGAAAATTTAAGCAGTAACAGAAAATACAAACAGCATCTGACAGAGGTCGGACTTCGGAGTTTCAATAATACCTGAATATTTTTGCCATTTTTCCCGATGACGATGACAAGTTCTACCTCCCAATCCAGCTCCTCGGTGACATCTGGATAAATGATGTCATCCCCAGATGCCACAATGGTACTCGCAAACTTACTAAAGAATATGGGCTCAGTTGGGATTGGAACGTTTTGCTCGATACAGTGTTCTCTGTAATTCATTCCGACGCAGAGAACTTTATCACAGTTATTGATGGGAGCTCGTAGAGTAACTGTTTCTCTTTTCAGGACATGCTTGCCGGATGATATCACCCTGTTCATTGAAGAAAAAAAAATGGAAAATGAAGGTTTGTTAGTAATCATTCTAATTTACACCTGGGACTACTTTAGACCCAGTAATTATAACTTGGGCACTAGAAGTTAGAACTCCTTTTTTTCAAATTTTTGGATACGACAGACCAAATAAAGAATTTCAAAAAAAGGAGTTCTAGCGCGCCAGTTACCATGGTTACTGGGTCTCAGGCTAGTTTACACTGCTAACATTGCTTACATATGTAGTTATAGCTTTATAATTAACAAATAAGAATGATTATAAAAATAAAATCACCATGATTACTTTTTAGGACAAAATCAAAAGTTTAAAACAAAATCGATCAAAATTAAACCCACTGTACTGGTGCGCTAAAACTCTTCTTTTTTTCAAATTGTGGATTTGGTCTGTTCTTCTACTGTACTTAGCGCCCCAGGTCTAGGCCTAGGCCTAGATCAAAATGTTTTTCACTTAAGTATGTTTCTACTACTGTGTAAAACTAGACCCAAGTTTACCATGGAGAAATAAAACACATTTCTCCATGAGTTTACTTACTGTTTTGCTGCATCTAACATTTGCTGTCCTCCCTCGACGAACGTCTTCATGTTACTTGGAATACTTGCGTCCCCAGCACAGAAATCAACAACATCACCCCCTTTCCCAAGCTCCGCCCCTACACTCATCCTCCCACCACATTGAAATTGAACCAATCGCATATTGTGTTGTTTTGATGCACTGAAATATCTTGGATTTCGAATGCTGTTTAATCCACTCACAAATGTCGTTCTAAATAGGCAAAGTGTTTTAAGCTTTTTGACTGAATGCAGAGCAAATGAAAGATATATCAGTCGGTTCATGAATACACCTCCCTCTCGGGAATAAGTAAACAAACAAGATTTAGATTATAAACAAACAAACAAGACGATACCGACAAGATAGATAGAACAGCTGGCCTGGGACAGGGTGGTCTTGCTTCCAGTACCTTATGGTTCATTTACCAAACTACCCGTGGGAGGTTACCTGACTGAGAAATCAGGGTTTGGATCATGTGACTCGTCACATGATTTTCCCGCTTGCAAACTTTTCGTTGGTGACCGTCTACTATATACTAGAAAACGTGGCAAGTTTTCCCGGAGTACCAAGAAGTCTTTCTTTTCGGGAAAAATGGCGAGATACGGAGGGTGTGTATTTTTGTTCACTACCTTGTAAATACAATACATTCACGTTGTACGATACGATACGTGTGTTGTAAAATTAATTTATATCAATTTGGAATAGGACTAGGAGGAGGTTTATTTTAACTTGGTTGGTTTTCTCTTAGGCCTACCATTTGTAAAAAAAAAAAATGTTTTAAACATTCTAATTTTGCTCCTGTCAGGCTGTTGTGCGCTTTCTTGAAAATCACGCAATCTTAAGAATGCGCGCGCATTCTTAAGATTGCGTGGGAATATCACGTGCGCAATTTATGAATTTTGCGCAATCTTAACAAACCTTGCACGACATAATTATGTTAAATGAAATGTATAGCGGTTAAAAGGGAAATAATTCATATAAAATAAAGAGGAAAGAAAATGTTCTATGCTTCTGTACTCGTATAACTACGATAATTTGAATCAAATTAAACCTGTTATTATTGCCTTTTTCTGCCTACTATGGGAAGTTTTGTAATAACGGAGGACTGGGAACTAGTCTGGGAATACACCTAAAATCAGAAGGCTTCTCTCCGTCAGCTGACGGAGAGAAGCCTTCTGATTTTAGAAGTAGTCTGGGAAGTGCTTTGTTTAGGCTAGACAAGTTACAAGTCCCTGTAATCTGTATGTATCATAGCATGTCACGAAAAGAAAAGATGTCCAGAAGCTGCCAAAAATTGCTCTTTTGACTAGATAGAATCCAGCTCTGCGGCGTAATCGTGGGGGTGTGAACAATTAATAGGTGGCAATTTGGTTATATATGTCAGTTTTCGTCATTTCCGTCAGATGATGACATTTTCGTGTAAATTTCAACATTCCTACCTAGATCACCTGACAAATGACTACAGTTAATAACATCGCTATCAGCTGATCAGGAATATTGATTTTAATAGTACACGGTTGATATCATCACTGATCATTCCAAAATTTGCTGTGGAATAGCAAAAATCAATGTAAATTGTTTAATTCCTACACTCACTAAAGTTAGGCTGTCGCATTTGAAATGCTTTGGACCTTTTACTACTAGGTTAAAATCATGTTTGTTTCTCAATAATTTTCTTTAAGTTTCCTACAGTGTAGCCGCTAAGGCCAAAAAAAATTATATTTCTGCTTCCGGTTTCCCTACCTAAATATTCTTTTATTGGAAATAATGAGAAAAGAAAAACATTCAAAACCATCAATTTCTACCTTTTACCCTTGACTACACGCAGACCCCTCAATATGATCGTACACAAAATAAATGTGCAAAAACGAAAAATTCCCTACCTACCTACCCTATTTTCAAATGCCATGTAATCGGAAGCAGAACCACTTTTTTTTGGCCTAACGTTAGTACTTATTATAGACCCTAGGCCTAGCATATATATATTTTTGTTTTATTGTTCACCCAAATTAAGGTCGATTGATTCAATGATTGGGTTTTTTTCGCGATTGGTTGACCCTGAAGGAAATCTCTGACTTTTTGAAGTGAATTCTTCTGAGCCTTGAATAAAAACAAAAAATGAAACACTGATGGCAGCACAATCAACCGAATAAAAGTTTTCAAAAGTCGGAATCTGGTTTTTTTTGCAGACTTCCATGCGAGGTGGTAGCAACCTCAGACTGCAAAGATGCAAACAGCGACAGCATCGTTCTGGTTGCAAGCAGTCTTGAGAAATTGACAGGATGTCTGGAGCTATACAAGACGGTGCTCTTGGCTCAACAAAAGGTACAAAACTGAACTCAAGCTCTGATCTCTATTATTATTTTTAGTTGCAGTTACTGTCTCATCCTAGCAAAAATACCTTGGGAGTTTGGGTTCCTTTTGTGAGTACGTCTGTTTCTGAGGGGAAAAATAAGTGGAAATCCCCAGAGTTTCAACCAGTGACCGACTCTCTTTTTTTCTCTGCAGGTTGGCAGTTCTTTAGGTTGTACAGTGTCCTTGATTGCTCTACCGCTAGACCCTCCCAAAGCTTTGGTCTTTTCACCCACTGGTCCAATCCAGAGTTTCCAGCAGTGCTTCTCAGATTTTCAGTGACCAACTCTTTTCTCTCTCCAGGTTGACAGTTCTGTAGGTTGTTCAGTGTCCTTGATTGCTCTACCGCTGAACCCTCCCAAAGCGTTGGTCTTTTCACCCACTGGTCCAATCAACAGGGACTACGATGATGTCAGACGCTTTGCAGATGCAGCTGGGGCCGGTATCCAACGGTAAACAACATAACTTTTTTCATTTGTGGTTTTGCCCTTGACCTACTTATTTTTGGCGAGCTGCGAAGCAGATGCGAGCCTATGTAATACCAATTTCCGTCCGTCTGTCCGGGCGCCCGTCCGTCCGTCCGTCCGGCCGTCCGCGTTTAGATAAAAATGTTGAAGTTTTTGGTTTTAGTTAACTTGGGGAAAAAAATTAAATGCAGTTGTCAGCTATCATCTCTAGGCCTATAACTTCAGTTAGGTTCATATCATTGCAGTAAATTTTATGATTTTATTGAGGAACTTTAATTCAAGGAAATGTTAAAGTTTTTAATTGTTACATGTACATGTATACTGGTATAACATGTACATGTGTGTATACCGGTATAACATGTACATGTACACTATGCATTTTGGGGATGTGCATGAGCTTCTGGTTTGATCTTTTAGTTTATGGGGTTGGAGTAGGGATGGGGTAGGGGAGGGTGGAGTGGGGTCGGGGTGGGGTATAGGGTTGGAGTTAGGGTTTGTGTGAGTAGGATGAGTAGGGGAGCTATAGGATGGGTGGGGCGGGGCGGGTTGGGGTGGGGTGGGGTGGGGTGGGGAGAGGGGTTGGAATACTGGGTTTGGGTGGGGTGGGGATTTGCAGGGGTGGGGTGGCAAAAGGTAGGGAGAGACAGGTAGGGAGAGGATGGGCATGGATGTAGGGGTTGGGTTAGGAGGGGGTTGGGCAGGGGGCGGGATATATGATCGGAGTAAGGGTTGGGTTGGGGATGTGTAGGGATGGGTTGTTGTAGGGGTTGGATAAGGGGAGGGGGCAGTATATAGGGATCAGAGTAGGGGTTGCATGGGGTCAGGTGGGGATGTATGGGTGGGGGAATGGGGTGGGCGGGATATTGGAATTCGAGTAAGGGTTAGGGTGGGGATATGTAGGGGTGGGTAAGGACAGATAGGGGAAGATAGGGTAGGTGGGTGTAGGGGGTTGGGGTAGGGAAGGGTACGGGTCAGGGGAGGGGGAAGGAGATAGGGATTGGAGTTTGGGTGGGGTTTGGATGTGTAGGTGATAGGGTGGGGATGATTAGGGGAGGATGGAATGGGTGTGGGTAGGGGGTTGGGTGGGGGAGGGGGCGGGTTGGGGATGGGGTAAGGTTTTGGGATGGGGTAAGGTATGGGGGAGGTGGTGATGGTGCTGTGTCTACATGTACATGTATACCCATTCTTGTTCTGCATTTGTGGCGACTACACAAGAGTTTTCCCATGGTAATACAAGTATGGGGAGCAGAAGACACTGTTGGGGCTGCAAAAATCCACAACTGGGTCCTAATTACCCTAACAATGGAAAACTCCCCCATAATACAGTGACGGCTAACCTATATACACATGTATTTATTAGGTAATCTGTTGACTTTTTATGTTGACATTTAAAAACTGACCCCTACACCTAGGCACATCAACAAGAATCCTGATCCCCTTCCATCATGCCCATCCCCAACCCTACCTTCAGCCTCCCTTCCTGCCTTGGACAGCGAGCCATGGCGGCTTCGCCGTTCTAGTTTTAAAAGCAGTGCTTGGAAGAAAATATTTAAAAGCGATCTCCGGCTTAGCAGTGCAGAGGTCTCAACAATTGAACCACTGAGCTTGCCAGGGTTATGCAGGGTTGAGAAACTGATCTATTTTTTTACTTGATATAATATGTTCATTTTGTTCTCTTTAGTGCAATAACAGCAGGCAGCAAGCATCCACTCCTTGTCTGCGCTCCTGATGATACTTTCCCTAAAACCAATCTGGTATCTCTGCTTGGTGCATTGCAAGTCTTGTATGTGGTAAGAGTTTAGACAATATTTTTTTTCTAGAAATTGAACAAACTTGTTCCGGTTTGAAGAGCCTATTGGCTCCATGGGCGAACAAGAGAGTGTGCTCCTTTACAACTTTAGAAATCCTAGTAGGCGAGACAGCATGTTTACTGGTTCAGGTGCCATAGCCTGAAGTGAGCCCCACTTTAATAATTCTGTACAGTAAACAAAGCTGTAGTGCATATTGCAAAATACGCCCCAATTAGTTTATTCTGAATGTTCACAAAGTCCGTATTGTGTGTAAATGTCTCTGCCAGTGTTCTCCGCCAACTCTCCCTTTCTTGCCATTGAGGGGGTATGAATACCTGTGTGTGGGGCCCATACACCTGAATTTTTAAATGTTTGAATTAAGCTGTTTGCTTTTAAACATACTCTTACGAAATGTAAAAGTATCCCATAAAAAAAACACATTAAAAACACTGTTTTTAATTTCTAGCATAGCAAATTTAAAAGAGATATATATCACAAGGAGACATTGATACATGGATTACTAATATTTTATGCCATAACTTTTTAACTTTTCAAAAGTAGAGAGATCTCCCAATATTTTTCAAATTCAAAATGTCAAGACCTTGTGCTTTGGGTGATTTTTGTGTTTGACAGAAAATCTATACTCGCATTTTTTTTATTACAATTTTGCTTTTACCATGTTTTATTTCCCCACAGCCCTTTGAGATCCGTCAAGATGTTTCTTCTAAGGCCAAGAAGGTGGAGAAACTCCTAGTTTGGTGCGAGGATGCTGCAAGCAAAGATGCTCTGATAAAACAAGCTACGGCTATCGAGAGTGGAAGGTAGCTAGCAAGGATTTAAGTTGTTTGTTTTGATTGAGAAAATCAGTCTTGTAGTCGAGATAGTTGTGATGGATCACGAGTACGTCACAAGTCTTGTCACAAATCAATTCACAAGTCACGGAATGAAAAATAACAAAGAAATCCTTTGTCACGGTTCTGAATAGCTTGTGTGTTGACTGGGGACTGGATGACTTGTGATTGACTTGTGATCATCTGTGATCATCTGTGATCCTTCACATGTACCTCTGATGCAACACGGTTCACATGTCATATTTGTTATTTTATAGTCGCTGAATCAGCAATATGTGACAGTTTTCGTATTGTATATTTCACTTCCTCAGGCTGGTAGCCCGTGATATCGGTGGATCTGACCCAGAGCGTATGGCCGCACCCAATGTTGCCCAGTATGTAGCGGGTCTGTTCCAAGACTCGCCAAGCATCAAGGTAATTGCCTATGGCTAATCGTCTATAAGTGCTAGCTTGCTGTGACTCTATATAACGCTAAATGGGAGAAGAAACCTATTTTTGAATGTGTTCTGGACCCACACACAATCTCAAAACAGATAACATGATCTCACTTCAAACTTGTTTGTGTGCGAAACGTCACAATACAAATTTTTAAAATCTGATGATTATCATTTACAGGGATGTAAGCCTCTTAGTAATTACAGGATGTCGGGCTTTGTACTCCGCATTTAACATATTTCCACCTTAAATATGTGTAGACGTTTACCGCAAATTTCTTGCACATGTCAGAGTCTACTTGCAACGATTATCGTTCATCTTGTACCATTAATTTTTTCACAGTACATTGTAAGGAATATAAGTATTAGTAAAGTCTTAAAAAGTACGTCTTAAATACTGTTTTGTGAATAACTGCTCAGTTCATTCACTTATTTCCATTTCAAATTATCTCATTCTTTGTTTCCTACAGGTGAGCGTTGTTTTTGATGACAACACTCTGATGCAGTCGTACCCGCTGTTCTCGGCCGTCAATCGTTGTGCTAAGCTTGTTCAGCGTCATCAAGGACGTATCATCAAGCTAGAGTATACAGGAGCAGGCGAAGTGAAGAAAACATTGATGCTGGTTGGTAAGGTAGGTTGGTGAAAAGAAAGGTCGAAGGTTAATGGTGTCATTATCGTGCAATATCTTGAGGAAGATGTCAATTTTAATACCAGTTTACAGGCTTATAGGATCATTTGCTTTTCATAATTTTGTTTCCAGTAATACCACTCAAAATCCACAGAAGAATGTTCAAAACCTAACCTGTTGAAGTTTCAGCTCGGTGGATATTACACTTTTCGAAGAAACAGTAGAGGAAAAACGCCAAACCTTTTGATCACAAGACATGATTTTGTCTGTACAACTTTTTATTTCCACCATTCAGTCAATTGACTGGTTGTTGGAAATCACCTACATTTCTTGATGTCTTCCTAAATGACAGCAAGCCAGATGGAATCATTTAACAGGGCATTTAGTGTCAGTAGGATCTTTAATCCTAGTAAGCTTATTATTGATAATTCTGAAGGTTGCTTTTTGGGATAAATGCAAATGATCCCATATACCTGAAAAAAAAATGGCATGCCAAATCAAGTGGTTAAGACATCAGCAGGAGATCATGGTCCGAGTCCCATCTAAGCAAGCTTGTGAATTTTCATATTTTGCTCTTTCAGGGCGTGACCTATGACACAGGTGGAGCTGATATTAAAGCTGGAGGTCACATGGCAGGAATGCACAGGTAAATATGATAGATTCAATTTTTCAAAAGTTGTCGAGGCCTACAATACTTTAGTTACGTTAAGTTTTGATCATTGTTGATGCTAAGAAACTTCTTAACTCAGTGGCGCACCGGGGGGGGGGGGGGGCCTCGGGGGGCTTGAGCAAAGTCGGCCGTATTGACGAGTCGGCCATATTGACTTGAAAGTGATGTAAAATCTCAATTTTTGGAAGTTGTGAAGACGAATGAAAGCAAGTTGTTTACTAATTAATTCCAGCCTGCTTCCATGAATAATTTAAAATTTGTAATGAAACATTTTCTAATGTTTAAAGCCAGATTTAAAAAAAAAAAATACAGTAAAATTAGGCTGCATTATGCCTGCATCAGTAGTCTGGCGCCATCTCATTCAACAATTAACAATTAATGCAATACATTCAGGGAACTCAGCAAAAATAGCCAACTCGGGCATAAGGCCCATGCTTAAGTAAGCCAATGAATTTGTGTTAAGATTTGGACTATGCTTTTTATCTCAACTTTGGAATGATATTTCTTTCAGAGACAAGTGTGGAGCAGCCACCGTTGCGGGATTCTTCCAAACCTTGGATCTCCTGAAGCCCAAGAACATCAAAGTGATTGGAACCATGGCTATGGTCCGTAATAGCGTAGGAGTGGGTGAGTCTGAAGCCAGACCATTAGTACATCCATCACCAGACCACAACTTCAATCTCTGAAAATACAAATATTTTCCCTTTCTTCTAAAGAAATCAGAGGCAAAAAAGAGTCATGGAATATGGCAGTTAATTCACACATCACCCACTACCTTGAGCATCTTGCAATGTTGCATTTCATTAGTCAACAGCAGTTGAAATTGAGTAATGAAAATAATGATAATAATGGATTTATATAGGTTATCAAGGTGTGGTAAATAATTGCATGAAATCTTGTATTTTCATTTCCCCCCCCCCCTTTTTAACCAATTATAGAAATTTGAAATCGTTTTCTTTCTTTTTTCTTTTTTTTGTCAGAGAGCTATGTATCTGATGAGATCATAACATCGAGAGCTGGTAAGCGTATTCGCGTCGGTAACACTGACGCTGAAGGACGTATGGCAATGGCTGATTGCCTCTGTGAAATGAAGGAAAAGGTTTGTCATCTATCAACTCTTGAAACATTCTCAAAGAACACTAAACACCCTTGAACAAAATCCCAATTCCCCATGCTGGAGCTGGGTCCAACCCCAAGACCCCTTTCACACTAGCACGAATCCAACATGGCTTCTACGCAAGTCCAGCAATGCACATAGGGAAAATGTTGCGAGGCTCTACCCAGATCCAAAAGAGGTCAGCTGGCATAACAGTCACCTCCAGTCAAAGCATATATATGAAATTCAGAAAGGGATTCTTAACTTTTCAAAACTTGATTGATTTTGACTACTGTGATGGTGTAGCTGAATTTGCCAGCCAGAGAGGGAGGGGTAACCAGTCTTTCAATCATTTTTGTTGTTATTTTTAGGCTGGGAATGAAGTGAATCCTCATCTGTTTACCATAGCAACACTGACTGGGCATGCTATCCGTGCGATGGGACCCAAGTATACCGTAAGTATCACTACGAACTGCACTGCTTGTTTGTCGTGCGTTTATGTTACTTTCTTTCTGGCCTGTCCTGTAGATCACTGTCCCTAGTACACTGTTAGTACGTGAAGATATACTGGATGAAATTAGAAAAAATTCATTAAAGATTTGACTTGTTTTGCACTGATCAGGCCATCTGAAGAGGAATACTGCCTTTGAAAAAGATAATTTTTACACGAAGGTACAGCAAACATTCCGTCGTCTGTCATTTCCACCGTGCAAACTTGTCAATCTAATATCTAGCAGGCCTTTTGAGAGTGGGAAACGTACTTTGTTTGTCCAGTTATTACGAAATCTGTCAAAACACTTATCGGATAATTTAAACACCCTCTCACACATGAGATGTGTCAAAAACAAGCTGTTCGCTTCGTCAACACAAAATGCCCGGCAACGCGCCCCTACGTTGTTTTTCATCCGTGTAGGTTGTACGCTCGACCTGCGGTATTATACAGTGTTGTTGCGGTAGATAGTGCAGTGATCCGAAATGTAACTCTCTATTGATAGACCGATTCAGGCCCAGGGGCGCGAGCTTGTTTATCGTGTTCCTGCAGTGTAATTTGCCCGTTTATCCTGCAGTCTGTGGCATAATTTTCCTGCTTGAATTGCGTTCCTTCTGCTTAATTCAATTGAATCCGTCTCACTAGGCTGGAAGTGTGCCGCTCTAACCCCTAGGCTACAGACCGGTCCTTACCCTGGATATTTTTTGTTGAAGATTGAAATGCATCTGTTGTAACATTATCCAAATCCACTGCCTTTTTGTTGAGACAAAAAGGAAAGAAAGTATCTCCATGGACACCGTAACATTGCCAGAGAAATCAGAAACATTCAATTTGCCCCTTGAGTAGTTGCCACTGTTTAAAAAAAAAGATATTTGCTTCTTTTTTTAACTTGTATATAATATGAGAATGAATTGTGTTTAGTTCTCTGTTAATAGATTTCTCCTTGTTTTCCAATTCACTGTTGTAGCATCATTTTAACTTAAAAGTTCCTTGATCTAGGGATTGGAATAAAATAAAAATCAGAATAAAAGGAATGAAAATTTTTCAGTGCAGACACATAAGATCGTTTCTCTGTTGTGTCTGTTTGTTTATTTAGCTGTTTGGCTGTTGGCAATTCCGTTCCCAGAAAGAGAGAATCTTTCTTCAGCTGTCTCTCTATTAAATATCATTGTTCTGAAACTCTTCACAGCTAAATGCAGCTAGTCAAACATGTTTGTTTTTTCTTCGACTGTCTGCAATTCTCCAGGCTCCATTGAAAAGCACTGTTAACCTTTTTTTTTCAAAAGTTGTGACAAGCAGTACAGCATATATTAATATTATATGGATTTATACAGTGAATACTGACAATCATTTTGTTGTTGTGTTATTGTCTTCTTGTTAGATTTTGCAGCCTTAGTTTTGTTTATGTAATCTGTTTAATTTTCTACTTTTCAGATTATCTTGGATAATGGTCCGGCTTTCCAGACGAAAAATGCACAGGCCGTGCAGGCAGGTGAGATAATAATTCTTGCAATTTAATCCATTATCACTGGTAGTACTGTTTGCTACGTTGTGAAAGGGAGAGTTGATAATTTGTCATTTGTTCATTTTGTTTTCATTTGAAGTAGCAAAATGCTCATAATCAAAAGAAGGGTGCTTAACAACTAACCTGATGAAGTTTTAGCTCAGTAAATGCTGTGTGTTCTGAGAAAACAATATTCTAGGATCTCGTGTTCAATTCAAAAGTTGATTCATATTTTGAATTGCGCCCGAAATCAGCGTCCGGGACACATTCTCATTCAGCCAATTGCAGCTACACGATGTCACGCACCTCGCATGCTTGTGCGTCGTGTCAACACTTGTCTGCACCCATTTGCTGAATTACAAATGAACTACTAACGGAAATTTCCTAAAATGCATCACTTGATGCATCTTTGGAAATGGCCTTCTTTTATTGTTTTCTTAAAGGGAATGTACAACATTTGCTTTTGCTGCAATTTTCAGAAATAAATGGATTTGGAGGATTAGTATGTCATAGCAAATATTGTTAAACTGACTTGCTTCACATTTTGGGTTCGGAGATGCTTGGAAATCCAAGAAAACGTACCATGTTCTTGTAGTCTGGTTCCCTGACCCCACTTAAGATGAAACAGAGCAATTTATAGACTTCGGGGAATTGTTAGGTCAGAGAATCAGTCTAGCAGGCTTGTACCCAATTCGCAGGTGTGTAATCAATTGCAAGAAAATGCGGAATAACTAAATGTGAAAAGTTAGGAGCATTTTTTTTTTAAAGCCAGTTTTCTCCAATGCTGGTCAGCCAACCAGCGTTGGAAAAACTTGCTTAAATTAGTGATGTAACAAGAGAAATCTCCATGCATGCGCAACCGTTAGCACGTCCAGGCTATGAAATAGTGCTTAAGGTTAGCACAATTTTCTGCTATACAGGTAGTTTATAGCGCAACTTCTCTGCTAACTGTTCAGCAGTGCTATGAAATAGGGCCCACTTCAGAAGCCGCTCGTGTTTTCTTAATAAATATTGAATTTACGAGGTTTAGGGGCAATGTAAAAGAAACTGCACGGTGGTGAGACATCGTTCGGCTGAACACGGATGAAATATGAACAATGCCCTCAAGCATATAAACATCATGATACATTATCTTTAGAGTCAGGTACCTAAAATCACCTACTGCATTTAGTAGGACTTGCTTAGAACAGGTTGCCAGTCTAATTATCTGAATTAGAGGTTTGTTAATTCCATTTTAGTTACATTTATTGTTTTGTTTTGCAGCCGGTGATCAAATGGGCGATCCCTTTGAGATTTCAACCATTCGTAGGGAGGTGAGCTTAGTTTTATTAATTTTTTTATGAGCTATTTAGAAGTTCCAAAATAATTATTTTGCGTTCAGTGGTTAAAGGGGAATCAATTTAGTATTCATTTTCATATTTTAAAAATTGTGATTTAAAATTGAAAGTACATGTATGTCATGTAGGAGCAAAACAAATTTAAAATATTTCATTTTTAAGCAAACTTGGACAGGATTTAAACAGAGTACTCAATTCCAGAGACTAAAGCTGGAATTTGAGTCTTTTGTATTTGAGCAAAAGTCTTAAATAACACTTTGTAATTTGACTCTAGTTTTGACATGAGTTTGACAACATTTCAAGTGTTCGATTCCAAGACTATCGTCTTTCTCTTAATAGCAGACTTGACTCGGTATTACATACATACATTTCGCAGTCTTTGCATAATTCCTAGGGGTGAACCAAAGTCTCCTGCCCAGAAATAACATTGTCTACTTCTTGTTTAGTAAACTTAATTAGGTGTGTGTAAATGTACTTTTCTTCAAATTTCATTTTTGTGTGTTGCCCCTTTCTTGTTCAGGACTATGAATTCCACACGGGGAAGTCTGAGTATGAGGACATCTTGCAATGTAACAATGAGCCATCTAGCTCTACAGCGCGTGGCCATCAGTCACCTGCGGCATTCCTTATCATGACCTCCGGCCTGGATGCGGTAAGTCAACTTTGACCTTTCAACCCCAAGTTACGTTGTGTGAAAAATTGTGTCTGTTTGTGGAGCAGTGTCATTGTGCAAAAGCACAGTAAAATGTTCATGAAGCTCACATGTATGTTTTTGTTAGATGTTGATGTTGGATGGAACACCGGCAAAACAAGATCAGGACGCTACCGAAAACATGCCAGATAAAATGACTCATGTTGTGAAAATCCAAGATATATGTACCTTTAACAATAATACATATCACCTAGCAGTGTTACGTGCGCATTCATTTGCAATAGGCCTGAATAGATATTCATTAATTATGATGTCCCTGAATTAAGGATATCAAAGACATAAATAATGTATTTCAGGACACCTCAATTTTTTTATGACATCGCAATTTATTTAACGACATTGCAAAAAAATTTGCAGCATAAGATTCACGACATGCATTCACAAAATTTTTGCCACGAATATTTTATACGAGCTCTATCTACGTTATTCAAAACAAACATTTATCGCATGTAATTTGACGGATTTACATAATCACTCAGACCCAGGCGCTGGCATGTGATCAGTTCGGTGACTTTAAAGCTACAGTCCATCATTTGCAGCTATCCAAAAAGTAACTGACGTAATTATTCTTTCTGGCATGCTGTCATTTTGAAGAAATCAATGAAAGAAGGCCTTTCAAACGGTGCGTCTATCATTGGAAATTTCCGTTAGTAGTTCGTTTTTTTATTTGGCGAAGTGCGCGCAGGCGTTCACACGATGCACACGCACACATCACGTAGCTGCAACCGGCTCAGTGAGAACGTGTCTTGTACGCTGAATTCAGGCCCAATTCAAAACATGATTCAGCAACTTTTGATTTGAATTCGAGATCCTAGAATGTTGTATTTCTCCAAATAAACTGCTGAAGCTGAGCTAAAACTTTGTCAGGTTAGTTGTTCAGCACCCTTCTTTAGATTTGGCGCACTTTTGTTGCTTCAAACGAACAGAATGCACAAATTACAAATGATGGACTGTACCTTTAATAAGGCCTTTGTAATATTCAACTTCTGTCCATACAGACAGATGTTTATATTTTACGTCTGCACTGGACCATAACCCATGCATTTTGGACGTGAAAAATGGCTATAGGAGAAAGTATGCTGTATACGGACCTAGGGCATGCAAAGTCATCATAAGCCCGTTTGATATGGAAATAAATAATCACACAAAAACTCCTGACATCAATACATGTCGTAAATTTCATGTCGCAAAAAAAGGTTTCCGAGGTCGTAAAAAAAATATGCATTGTCGCACAATTTTAGTTGTTATCTCATGAAATACATTTTTGTCTTTAGTGTCAGTGGCACCATAATTAATAACTGCCTTGCAAAACAAACCAAATTAACAAGAAGTCTATTGCCAACAAGTAACAAGTGAAATTTCATCTGTATGGATCTGTCGGTAAAATGGCACAAACAAGCTTTTTGGATAAAAGTCAAAGTATCATGCTACGGGCTGTGTTCCCATGTGAGTTGACATTGTGCATCGCATGCAACATTCTGTAATAGGAATCGCAGTCATTTCCCTCCGGCGACATTCGGCAGATTGCCCCCCGTGATCGATCCTTTAGAAATCCCAAGATGACATAATTCACGTGGAGTCATGGCTATGGCTATTAACTGTATCGTGTGAATGGTGAAAGTCAAAGCCTTGGCCACAAAACAGCTGATTCTGACGTGGCAAGTGTCTTACGCAAGTGCACAGTGCACTGCCTAGGGCTGGCAGTTGGGGAAATCTACGGAATGTGTTATTCCCCAAAAATACATTCTTTGCATGATTTTGACCACATAATGCCATTGAAATAAAGCATTTTGTGTTTTCTCAAGCCTGAAAATCAAACTGATTACTTTTATGAATCAAATTTCCAGCAAACTTTCCAATCAAGATCCATTCCATTATCTGGAATTCTATCCATCCACTAATCCATTACAAAGACTGTCTAAACTGTTAACACATTTATAACTGTAGAACACGGATGTGACATTGTGAAGAATGCGTTACGAGATTGAAGAACGTAACAACATAGTGCATTGTGTCAGAACAAGTAGCAACCTTAACCCCAACCTCACCTAAAGCTACAAAATACTACTGGTAGTAAACTGTAGTATGCAGTACTTCAGCATACATGTATAACTGGGCACAGCACTCATAGTATTTTGGTGTATGTGGTGCCTGCATACATAATTTTTGTAGTATTCTGTAGTACTCAGTTCTTTATCACAAAGTAATGGCTAGGACTCAGAAACGTACCTACCAGTTTAACGAGAAAATACCATGCTCAAAGTGAAGATAGGACTGATACCAAATACCCTGTGAAATTATTCCTCCTGCTATGGCATCAATCGGAAGAAAACAATCATTGAAGGTGGTCTGAGAAACTGTGCCCACCCGTACAGATGTGTTAGCAACAGAATCCAGTTACGAGACCCAAACAATTGTGCATACGCTCGCTCTGTTTTCTAAAAATGGAAACTAAGATTTTGAACAATTTTTGTTTCAAAATGCACTAAGGCAAATGTTCCCAGTATCTTTTTCCCTCCTGTTTGAACAGTCACAGACAATCACAAAATCAATCCTCTTCCCCTGCCATGCCTTTTACACAGGCTAGTCACCAACAGTCAGATCATATTTCAAGCAATCACTCTGACTACTCAAATTCATTCAAAAGACAAAAAGCAGGCGACTGGTAGGCATCAATCAACTGGCTTATCAATCACCCACAGTCAAATCATAGCTGTATCAAGTTACATAAACAGTCACAGCCAGTCAGTCCTACTTTATGTAGCTGGGAGCTCTTAACTGTTAAACACAGTCACTGGATTGAGTTTGACTGCAAGGACAACTTGGCACAGAATGTATGTTTGCGTAGGAGGCTTAATCCTCGTCTTTCCAGACATTGATGACGGTAACATGAGGAATGGCAGCGTTTTATTGCGACCAATTCTGAAGTGCCATTCTCTTGTGTTTCAAGACAGACGCACTTTGAATAGTCACTGTTTAGTAAGGCAATATTTTTGCTCCAGGCTTGACACGCATTGGGATATTCACATCCAGTGTGTTAGGTTAGTGACTGCACTTTGGAGATTAAAAGAACTAGTTCTTGTGTCCTGATAAAAAGAAAAGGTTATGCACTCTACGTCAGTTGAAAATATCAAGATGATCATACCTAGTCCATGATGTGGCATTCTTTAACGCTAACCCCCTAGGCATTTTTGCTAGGATGCAACCTCAATCCTGCAAAATCCTCTAACTGCCTCCATGTAAAACTTGCATACAGCCTCAATCCTGCAAAATCCTCTGCCATTTCTTGAATGTGGGCCTTGGAGTGGTGATCACTGCATCAATCCTGCAAAATCCTCCACAATCAATATGTTGAGGCAGAGCCAGTGACATCCTGGAGCAATGCGGAGGATTTCAAGAATAATCTAGGTCTAAATTTATGCACAGTTGAGCATAAACAACACAAGGTTTCGGAAATTTCAGATTTTCCTGACACAATGTATACTTACCATGAAATACGGTACCATACCATTTTTACAGCTTCAAAGTTGTATCAAGTTTATAGAAAATTACATTATATTGCAAAAATTATAAATTGTAAGTCATTAGGGTCAACATATTTATTTAAGAAACGAAAAACAAAAACAAAAAAGACCTCATATTGAGTAAACATCTTTTATAAATATATTATGTAATTCTGCCTGTCACTCTTTATGAATAGTCAATAGAGGGCACCATTTTGTGCAGTTTTTTACTTTAGTTCATTCCACCTCATGGTACATGTAGAATTCTTCTAAATAAATGAGATATATTATAACGATTAAGATAAAACAGTTTATTAGTATTAATAATAGCTTTTGGCAGGAGAACTGCAAATATCTGGCAGCTAGTCTCATCGTCAGTCTGAATTCTCTCCCTCTACAATAGAGCACTCATCACCCATTCATAGATTCAACAATCACGCTTGTTTCATTGTTCATGTTGATGCATTGTTAATGACGCGGCCAAGTGAAGGATTGTCAGAAAGCAGGCTAGCGTCTTATTGTGTTCACTCCGGATGTGGGTCGAGGCAAGCCAGCGTGCTCCATCAACCCAGAATAAAGGGCTTCCGGAAAGCCGTCCCTCAGATCTATGCTTCTCCTTTTTGATGGAGGTCTTTGATGTACAATAAGGTTCTTGGAGAGAATGGTAGCCTAACGGGACTGAGAAAAGCCGCCCATGTGAATTAATTTCCCAGTGAAATAGTGGGCTTATGGGTGTAAGAATGGGCTTATTCTTAGAAGGTTGTAAAGGTCTTTTGGGCATAGCTACATTTACATGTATTTTGGAAACAGCTTTTTTTTTTAATTGTTGTGCAGATATACAGTACCACCTTCTCAGATATATGGAATCCGATACCGTTAAAGTTTTAGCTTTTTTTTCTGGAATTATGAGGGCAAAAGCGTGATCTGTTTCCCACATACATTCACGCATGAACACTTGCATGTATAATCATGTTCTTCATTCAATTTGCAGTTTCTATTTAAAATAATACGTAATTATAAATGTATTATTCCCACAGTTCTCTATGGAATTCCTAACCAGTCTCTAAAACACCAAGGGAATAACTGCTGTTCTGGAAAAAAAATACCTGTACATGGTTGGGAAAAATGGCAAGAATATAAATTAGAAAAAAAAAGCTCAAAATATAATTTGTGTAGGCCTCAGGCATTCCAAGGCAATTTAGAGAGCGAGAATATTTTATTATATTATCAGCTCACCATTTGAGTTTACACATGCAGTCATTATGCTAATGTTCTTCTCCGTGGTATTAAAAACTTGGTATTTTTTCCTGTCTCTGCGTGCAACCTTGGTCACAAAGATTTATCCAGACAACTGCAGACACTTAATTCAATCCACAATTTTACCAGCGCGGCATGTCAGTACACAAAATGCGGACAGCTAGATCTATATACCCAACA